AATCCAGCCGCCGGTTCCGCGTCTTGTCCAGCACAGAGAAAGGAGAGTCATGCTTTCACGGATCCATGCTTGCCTCATGACACCAGTTGCTGGATTTCGTTCTCCACCACTGTAGTAGCACACGTACATCTAGTAGTCAGTGTTGACAGTTGTGTAGCTACCGTGTCAATGATCCACTTTAGTACTCGCCGGATTAGAATGTCAAAAATCCAAATTTTTGCCGATGATTTTTTGTTTTGATGGCGTTCGATGGCTTTGATCGCTGAGTGGTGAAATTTTCGAATATTCTTTAGAATCTACTGTTGGAAGTGTTGTATTGCTGTGGGGCTGTTTCGGGAGATGGTATCCCTGGTGGTATTTTTGCAGGGTTCTAGCCAGGTCAAAAAATGTGGGGGGGGGGGCAGGGAAAACAGTTATCCCGTAAGGGCCGTAACCCTTTTTTTTCCATTTTCAAAATAACTGTCTTGAAATGCGAAATGCAACGTACGGGGCGAACACCTGACTTCACCCGAAATGTGCCTTTATGAACCCTCTAGTACCGACTATCGACTGCATTTTTCGTTGAAGGCAAGAAAGAACACAAAAATCGGAAAATGAGGAGGGGCGGCACTTTTTCAAGGGGGGGGGGGTCTACGCCCCCCCCCCCCCCCCTTTGGCTAGAATGCTGTGCGTGTGTTTGTTTTGTATTTTCTAGAGGCTGACATGGACCTGCATGCCACCCCGAAATCGGCGGGATTCTACACCGGATCTGCTGGTTTCAATGAGCTTCTTTATGTAAGTGACTGGCTTCCTGGCACCGTCTTAGATCTGAAGTACCACTGTTGCTGCTGCTGCTGCTGCTGCTGCTGCTGCTGCTTGCGTCTGTGTTTATTGTTTAGGTGGTCATGCACGTGTGACTTTATGTGTGCGCACGCTAGTATGTGTGTGTCACTGTTTGTCACTATGACTGTATGTGTGAACACGAACGTAGGTGATGATTGTACGTTAAAGCACTTCATCTTTTGCACGTGCCAGGAGGCCACTGGCAATCTGCTGAGCTCTAACCAATGTGGTCATACTTAGCAGAATCTGGCTACCGGCATATCGTACTGATGATGTTTCGTGAAAGTGGCATTTGCTCCCAAGAAGCAAGGAGTACATCAGACTCATGACCTACATGCACAGCACTACAGTCATTCTCGGGTTTTTTGTTCAGTTTCATGCAGCTGGTTTTGCTGCTGCTCCTATGTCAGGCTTATGCTGCTTTCCTTTTCGGTCTTGTCTGCTGTTTGTCCCAAAGAGCATCTATCAACAAGCTGAACGGATGCAGCGCAAGATGGCGTCCGCTGGTTTCAGAGAGCTGATGGAAGAGTTCAACCAGAGGTAAAGTGCTGTTCGTCTTGTGTTCTTGCGGCTGTGTACGCTGGTACTAGATGGGTGTGCCACAACACACGTATGTGTATGTACTGCAGATACCGTAAAGTCGGGTATAAAAGCAGTGGCTTATATTATGACTTTTTGCAGGAAATTTTGCAGGCTTCTATACGAGACAGGCTTCTATACTAGACAGGTGTTTCTAAAACCAAGCTTATGTGCCGACAGTGCACCTTGAAAAATCAGGCTTGTATTCAAAACAGGCTTCTAAATGAGACAGGCTTTTTATACAAGACACTGCGGTAGATGTATTCTAAATGATGGCAATGATGAGATTTCATTAGTGTGAAGGAGGTGATGCAAAGGGGAAAAAGTCCAAAGAAAAATTGACTGTGACCATTAGGACTCCAGCCAGGGATCCTTGCCGTCGGCTAGCGCTGCTCTGCCAGTGTAGGCAAGAGTATCTATGCTAAGAGTGTGAAAATACAAATACAGTGCTGCTCTCAATGATATCCAGTCGCGTCACTCAAGTTTGCGCCTTGCATCAGTTCGCAGCCCAGTATTCGCAGGTCTAGGGCTGCGCAACGCCCGACGCTTACTTGAGTGACGACGCGACTGAATCTCATTGAGCAGGACTGTACATGTGCGGCAGTGTTGGAGAAAGCGTAATCCAGCGGTTACGTTATTTTTGACGTCAAGGACCTTAGGTACAGTAGGATAAAGAAAGATGTCACAGAACATATTGAATATTGATCCAGTTTAACAGTAGAATGGAGCGGATTGCAGCTGCCATGAATCATCACCAAATGCAATGAAGTATTATTATTAAAACGATGGAGTCTCCCCACATGCAAAGTTTCATAATAAGTACTTCGAAGTATACTGGTTTAAGTTGATAATGAGTTTGCTGGTCGCTACTGCTTCCAGTCTAGTATTGTGATGTCCATCTGGACAACTGTATGTCAAGGCGAATATCACGGTTCACGTGAGACTGTGTTTGGCCGAGCTTTCCGGATCCGTAGGAACGCCACCACCCTCAAGGATCAAGGCACAGTTGTAGCTCCTTAGGTGGTGGGAGGTAAGTTGATCAGACCCACCGCCAAAGTGGTCAAAGACCGTAAATCTCATTCGCGGCATCCATGTTTCCCTTGTACCAGGCCACGAGTTCCCAGTGTCACGTCGAATTGTTCTTCCTGCCACCTAGTGCATGTATCGGTATCTGCTTTTTTTCTCTTTGCTGCTTGGTACAGGACTGAAGACAGCTATATTTGGAAGAAGAAGTCAGAGATGGAATCTGCGCTGCGTGATCCACTCTCTGATGAACAGGTACATGTAATGTGCTTGGACTGCCCTCTCTTTTAGGAGAGGGCAGTTAAAACTCACTGCTGAGTACAAGTGTAGAGTGCATCCAATGATCTCTCTCCCTCTCCCTCTCCCCCCCCCCCCCCTCTCTCTCTCTCTCTTTCCTCCTCCTCCTCCTCCTCCTCCTTGCTTGCTTGCCATGGTCAATTTATTGTTGTAGTGGTTATATTTCTGGAGACTGTTCGCATCTCCATACGGGTATGAAACGAGTATACGGCAAGCACTAGTTGAATGCTCATTCTCTATCACTGTGTGAACTCTGAGAGTATTTTGCTTGTACAAGTGCATGTACAAGTGCATGTACACGTGTCTTCGTTCGCAGAGGCTGCCCTGAGTGCTACTCGTTGGGATTCGTCTAACCCTCATTTCGCCGACAACTCTAACGCCATTATCCGTCTTCTTTTCAACTTACAGTATGACATGGTGATTGAGCGGTTGGATAAACTTGCTAACCACAAGCTCTCCTACGTGGCCTCTAAGTTTCTGAAGCAATGGAGCAACCCACATGTCAAGAAGAAGGTCGTCGATGATGTAAGTTGTGCGTTTGTCGAAGAATCAAGAGAATGTGCTGGAGTTTCCTTCTCCACTCCACTCCACCTTGCTTTCTCCTACATTGTTGCAGCATGTAACCCATCGTGACTGGAATATCTGTAGCATAGTCTGCCTTCACCAGAGGCTAGCTGATCTCCTTATGTTATGTTTGTTCATGCTGTGTGTTGTGTGCTTGTTTGTGATTTGGATTTGTTCATGCAGAACTCTAGAACACAGCAGGGTGAGTGGAGTGCTGGCCAGTGTTCTACCCTTACTGTGTACTCTGTGTATGTGTTTGTGTATGTGTGTGTGTGTGTGTGTGTGTGTGTGTGTGTGTGTGTGTGTGCGTGCGTGTGTGTGTGTGTGTGCGTGTGTGTATGTGTGTGTGTGTGTGTGTGTGTGTGTGTGTGTGTGTGTGTGTGTGTGTGTATGTGTGTGTATGTGTGTGTGTGTGTGTGCGTGTGTGTGTGTGCGTGTGTGTGTGTGTGTGTGTGTGTGCACGTGTGTGTGTGTGCACGTGTGTGTGTGTGTGCTGTAGAAGGTGCATGTTTTACCAGTACAGTAGCGGTAGTACTCGGTAGCTATGGCCCTAGCCATGGCAAGTGCAAGTGAAAGTGCAGTGTGATGCCAATGCATGTCTATTTACTGGCTGCAGTAACAGTGTACTGTCGACTCCACTTTAGGGGTGAAACGATTAGTTCGAATATTCGAGTATTCGTTCGAAAATTTCAAACGAGCGAATATTCGAAATTTTACACTCGATCGTTTTTTTTTTTTTTTTTTTTTTTAGTATTGGCATTCTATTTTTCAAAAACTTTTGTTGTACAGCTCAGCTCGTCCACTGGTACATGGTATGCATGCTTTATGCATGCCTTTGAGTCAGTATTTTATGACTTGGACGATGCGATCACCACGGCAAGTAACGTTAGTTAGTAATGAGATATGAAAATACTGATGGAAATCGTTACTTTACATTCTGTACAAGACGTTGGCGACTTTTGTTCAATGTTCACAGATAATTTCTTCCGAATTGGTCGAGAACTCACAAATCTAGCGCTTTTGAATTTTGGTAAAATACTCGAAATAATCGGATACTCGATCGAATATTATGAATGAGTGATCGATTGGTCAAAATAGATACTCGTTTCACCCCTACTCCACTTATAACGAACTCGTATGTAGCGAATTTCGTGATATAACGAACTTCGTCTATGAAGCACCAATTCTCCTGCACAGTGTCCTTGAGTAGATGAAACCAAGAGTGTGCTGCTCGAATGGATTGCTGCCATGACGAAATTCACGGACTACATCAGTTTAGTCATAGCTCAGTTATACGCACCATGCCACTTCTCGCTGCATACATGTATCTTCATCAACTTTGATTTAATCCAGAAGTTTTGCAATAGTCCTTATGCGCGTTGTACAGATGTACGAAGTTCTGTACTAGGGTTGTAGGTGTGTGCATACCCGGTTGGGTGTTCATTGTGTGCTATACATGCGCGTTTGACCCATTTAGCCTCCTAATTCATGGCAAACAATCGCTTTTCCAGCTTCTTCACTTTGGGATTGAACTAACGACTAGCTAGATGCCTTCAGGGCCCTTTTCATAGTGAAAATAGCAGTATTATACAATTGGGTCCTGCACATTCAACACCCAACCGGGTCTACGGGATTCTACAATATTCTACGGGATTTCGTGCATCTGTACATCGTGCATAAGACCTATGACACTGACAGACACCCGTGCAGAAACGTCAGCAGCTTCACTCTCTTGATAGTCGCTAGTTCACACTTAATTAACTACTACTGTCATGGACATGGAAATCCAGTCGATTGACCGGGGCCGGCGCCCTCAGCGCGTACAGAACACTGCATGCAGTACACGTGTTGATCCGATGCGACCAGCGTGCTAAAGCGCATAAATGAAGGTACTCAAGGCTGAATGGCCAGTGCCCTGGGGCCCCTAGACATGCGACCGGAGTTCCATGTCCGCGACAGTAGTACTGTATATCACCTTATTTTCGGTGTTGTAAAATTTCGGTAAAAGCCAACCCCTGACCTTTCGGTGTGAGGATAAATTCGGTATGCATGGCACTAAAAAAAATAAAAAAATAAAAAATAAAAGGTCTTGCATCTCCGGCCGGCTGGGCCTGGGCTCCACATACATGTACATGTATGATTGTACATGTACATGTATGATTGTACATGTATGATTGTACATGTACTATACCAGTATACAAGTTGATTTTTTTAATTTGACAGTGATTTTCATGATTTTTACATATTTTTGGCACTCCGGGAAAATTTAGGTGTAATGTTAAATTAGGTGATCCAGGACCAGTACCGAAGTTACCGAAATTTAAATTACACCGAAATAAAGGTGTTATACAGTATGTGTGCTATCATGCACAGTGAAGTGGGTTGTTTTTTTAAGACTATCTCTTGTGCCTGCACTCTTCACGCAGGTCAGCGCATGGAATGTCGCGCTTGGGCCTCTGTTCGTCCCGGCACCGGCAAGCTGTTTATACGTGAGCGTCCGCAGATCCGCGCCGGCCTGCTCAAGGCCCTGGACATTGCAATCTACTGGCCCGATCTCGCCCACCGGTGAGTGGGAATGCAATGCTTGTACACTGTAGATCTACACTGTGCACAGTGTACAGTGTACAGTGTACAGTGTAGATCTACGCTGTGCACAGTACAGTGTACAGTGTACAGTGTACACTGTGCACAGTACAGTGTACACTGTACAGTGTACAGTGTAGATCTACGCTGTGCACAGTACAGTGTACAGTGTACAGTGTACACTGTGCACAGTACAGTGTACAGTGTACAGTGTACAGTGTACAGTGTACAGTGTACACTGTGCACTGTACACTGTACAGTGCACAGTGTACAGTGGGTTTAACGACGTGGTGATGCATGCGTGTTGCCCCCTGTCACAAGTAATTTGCCATGAGCCATGCCCTCGTGAGTCGAGCTGTGACAGCTTGCAATGGTATACCAGCAGTGAGTGCCAGTACAAGGTACATGATTGTTTAGGGTTTAACCCATATCCGACCGACAAAGTGGACAAATTCTCACTCCCAGCGAGACGCCGCAGCCCATTTTGATGATAATTTTAGTTTCCCTTGGGTGATGTTGGCAATCTTGGGCTTTTTGGAAAGCTTGAGCCATGAGGAGTTCTCTAGAAACAGTTGCTAGCCTTCATTTGTAAGAGGAACGAAAATCCATCTCCAATCATTTTTTAGAAGTACGGCTCATCGACACGTGGACTATTTGTGGTCTTAAATTTGTACTTTCATGCTAACAAATTTTGAATGTACCATCAGGGAAGCCTCCAGGCAAAGTTTTAGGAGGGCAACATAATCATTGCCAGAGTTACACCATGTGGAAACTTGTTTCGTACGTGGTGTGAAAACAGACCTCCCTCAGAGACTTATAACCTCTTTTTGGAACATGCTATTAAAGATGCTCCGATTTTTGCAAATGAATGTCGGGTCTTTCCTGTTTCTTCTGAGACCCAACTGGTGCGGTTTGGATCAAACATGAGTGAGTTACAGTTTGTTAAAGTCGTCGATGTTTGACTGGCCGGTCGGATAAAGGTTAACGTCGGCCCTGCAACGACGGCTGCAGTGGCCAACCGTGCAACGGAGAATTTGAGGCCAAAGAGAAAGATTAACTATTCTCGTGCATGCCTAATGATTGATGAGTGATGTAAGCGTCAGGTCGCTACACATGTTCTACCATAGACCTGTGTGTCACATGACTGTACACTTGTACAGTTGCACAGTCGCCGCCCGTGACCGGTTTTTCACTGGGTTTTGTATATTTCCAGCAACATTTGTACCACTTCAGGGTGGGTGGGGGGGGGGGGGGGCGTCATTGGCCGCACAGGTCCGGGGTTTATGCTGTGCACTTTGGATTGGGTTTCACCTAGCAGAACTACCCGCGTGCACGCCACATAACTGACACCAAAGAAGGGCACGTTGATTCGTGCGTGCATTGGAATTACCATGAAAGTATTGACACCCAAAGGCTAGCGGCAGTGATTTGCCATAACACCATACATAGACTACTGAAAGAGATTCACATTCTACTCATTCCACCCTCCTTGATACAACTACCGGTAAGTATCAACGTTGATACAACTAAATATCAACTATCACAAAAGCAAACGAAACGTACCGAACTAGCTACTTCAGTAGCTGCACAGAAACATGAACGGCTGCAAAACTGGAAGACTGTTGTTCTACAAGAGAGAAATACCCAGCCAGTAAGCATCCTAGGGCAAATCAGAATCAGTCCTTAGTACTCCGTACTATCATCAGATCCAGCGGCGTCCACCCTGACCAGTCGCACCACAGGCCTGGTCACCGTCTTCCCACCAACTAGCACTCTCGCAACACGCACGGTGCCGTCTTGACCTGGCATCACTTCCGTCACTCTTCCAAGGGGCCATTTACCCCGTGGTGTATCTGCAGTGACCACCAGGATGATGTCTCCAACTGCTATGTTCTTCTCCTCAGCGGGCCACTTAGCATGGCGATTCAGTCCGGGGACCCACTCCTTCATCCAGCGGTGCCAGAAGTGTGTGATAAGTTCTTGCACTCTCCTCCATCTTTGCTGTAGGCTGTAATCGTCACTGCTTGTGCCGATTGAGAACTGCTCCACATGTCGCTTGGTTCAGAGTCAAGGGCAAGTCGTCTCTGGCATCCACGGAAGGTGTTGTTAGCGGTCTTGACTTGAGGAGAGACTCGGTACTACAGAAAGCGGTCTGTAGCTCCTCATCGGTGATGCTGGCATCACTCACGACTGCGTATATGGCCTTCTTGGCGGCTTTGACGATCGTCTCGTGAACACCGCCGAAATGCGGGGCACCTGGAGGAATGAAGTGCCACCGTACACATGGGAACTTCACCTGGAGCGCTGCCTGTTCTTGCTCTAGCTCTTTCAGCTCGCGTTGTCCTCCGACAAAGTTCGTCACATTGTGCGGCACTCCTCGGCGGTTGCTCATGCTCTTGAAGGCATTCAAGAAGCTACTGGTGCCCAGGGAATAGGACATCTCCAAATGAACAGCATAGCACGTTAGACAAGTGAAGAGGCAGCGGTACCTCTTTACCCGCCTCTGTCCTCGACCTTGAACTGTCGCAAATGGCCCGGCGTAATCCACTGCAACCCGGCCGAAAGCACGATGTGGTGACTCTAACCATATCTTCGGCAGAGGGGCCATGACTGGAGTGATAGGTTTGGCTGTCCTCTTCCTGCACTCAGTACACCTCTGCTCGCACTCACAAACTGCTTTTCGTCCCGCAATTGAATTTTTGCCACTCTCATGTCTACAGATTATGCCACAGCATCGTCGACTTGCTCTTCCTGGTCGTCCGTATCGCCAGGCTCAACATCATTGCCTGCCCTGCTCCGCTTGTGACTGATATCGTCGCTGTGACCAGACATCCCGCTCCGATGGACTTCCGACTAGGTGAAGACAACCATCCTCTGCTACCATTAGATGAGAGAGGGATCTGACTCACTCACAGAGATATTAATAAATAATGTTTATTTCAGGATGAGACACTAGTAAAGCAACTGAACTACACGAGAGGAATACTGCAAGCTGTAACTGACTGAATAAAACGAAAGGAAGCCACCATGAACAAACCAGAACAAGGAAAAAGCAGCATTGTATGCAACACTGGAAATACAGTAAGAAAACCACTCACAGTCCACCGCAGGGTGCACCAGTCCGCCAAAGTACAAAGGTCGAAGGTCATGAACAACAGTTTGCATGAAAGAACAGCCAGTAATTATTTTGATTAGACTCGTCCTTAGGGGTTGTCGCTAAAGTTTTTTGTCGTCCCTGAAACGAACATCATTCGTGTGGGGGGGGGGGGGGGGGGGGAGTGCGAGCCAAAATCGCAAATCGACCGACACTGTGCATATGGCATGTATATGCATGCGACTTTCGTCGTCCAGCATAGCAAGCTGCATTCGTTTCAGAGGGAGGGGAGGGGTCCGAGTACGAAATGAACGATGTTCGTTTCAGGGACGACAGAAAACTTTTGCGACGACCCCTTACAGGAACAATAAATGCATCACCTCTATATGTACGCGTGCACGCAGCATAACTGACACCAAAGGAGGGCGCGTTGATTCGTGGATGCATTGGAATTACCATGAAAGTATTGACACCAAAGGCTAGCGGCAATGATTTGCCATAACACCATACATAGACTACTGAAAGAGGTGTTCACCTTCTACTCACTATCAGCTATATGCTAGGTGTTGTGTAGTCAGAAGGCACAACAGCTAGCACAATACTGACTGATGTGATACTGACCGGCATTCAACGACCTGATGATAAGCTCTATCACGTCTTGGATACGCAAACCAACAGCCTTCCAACTTGGAAGGTGCTAAGTTATGACATAGCATGAGAAAGGGGAAGGTGAGCACGCTCAAGACGAAAACAAGCTAAAAAATCACAGCAAGCTAAGAATTTTAGCTTTGACATCAACACTAACATCTTGCTTTTATAACATCTTGCTTACACTAACATCTTGCTTAAAAAAATATCTTGCCTACTTCAGTATAATTGTTAGTGTTGGACACAAACTAGTGAAACTACGGATAACATGTAACATTTTGGTCCTTTCTATAAATTTTAATCCTTGGCTCTCCATCCGAGTCTTACCCTCACATAATATGTGTATAGCATTGTCTCGGACTGAGCTAAGCGTTTTCTCAACTTTTCTACACATGTGCTAACGTTACTGGCCCACTCGTGCAGTCTCATTTGTACCTGCTGTAACTGATACTCCTCGCGTGCTTCACATGTACGGCACGTGCCGTATTTCAAGCTGCCACACTTGCTGGCGTGGTGTCGGTAGGGGTTGCAGGTGCTGCAGGCCTTGTCACCCCCCTCCCCAGCTAACGGCAAACATGACCATGTGCGATTTTCGATTTCGTTGCCAAGTGTCTTGGAGAGAAGAGAGATGGGACAGGCAGCTGGCACCATGTGGGAAGATGTGATACACAACACCAGAACTCAGGCCATGCATTTAGCTGGAAATAGTTTTAAGTTATTTCCAGCCTACAAGTACTGATATTGGCTAAAATGCCGGTGCAGTTGTACTTGTGTGTGTGTGTGCGTGTGTGCTTTTGTGTGTGCGTGTGTGTGTGTGTGTTGTTCTGCTTGTTCTGTAGTGTTAGCATCACCATGACTAGCCCCTGAGTGACACTCCTGTTGTTCTGTGCGCCTATCTCTCTGTATTGCGTTTCAGGCAAATAGTATTGCACCCGTTCATCGCGACAAACTCCATCGGCTTATTCGATGCCGAGATTGAGGTCTTGAGACACGGCAATGGCTGCGATATGGCAAGCCCGACGGGTGAGTTCAAATGAATATTTTAAAAAGGGCCTTAAAAAATAAAAGCCCATGTCAACACTGTGTTGCGAAGGCGCCTGGTTTGTCCTGGTGGTGACGGCCACTGTTTTCTTCAGACTGTCTTCTGCCTTTGCAACTACCCCAAGCCAATATGTTCATGAACACTGAAGAAATACTTGTAATTATTGTACCTTTTTTGCATTGCTATCGTACCTATTTCTATACACGTATTACCAAAAGTACATAACCCCCCAGAGTGTGCAACGCCGATCCAGCTGTGCATAGGGTCTTGGTCGAGCGGAATCGGATCTTATGATGTCGTGCGTACACTCCACACCAGCGCAAGGCCGGTCTCGAGGCAGGGCACCGTTGTTTTTGATCCGAGAGTACCCGCGACTCCCCGGGCTCCCTTCAGATGTGTATGACGCAAAGATCCGATTACGCTCGACCAAGACCCTGTGCAGAGCTGGATCAGGCGTTGCACACTCTGGGGGGGGGGGGGGTTATGTACTCTTGGAATTAGACGTCAAAATGAAATGCATCCATTGCAGTTGCTGTGGTGATGAACAGTGACAATATAGCCAGTACTAGGCTAGAGAGAACAAAAGAAATTTCAAAAGGCTTTAATGTTCTGGGCTGCTTGTCTCTACAACATGCCTGTCTTTCCTGAGCTGTGCGGTGTGTCAATTAGCCAATCCATCATCATGGTATTGAGTCTATTGAATCTATTGCTGTATGTGCATCAAGTGGAGCAGCTAGCTAACTTACCTCTGTGTGTGTGCGTGCATGTGTGTGTGGTATGTGTGCGTGTGTGTGTGTGTGTGTGTGTGTGTACGGGTGTGCGTGCATGTGTCTGTCTGTCTGTCTGTGTGTGTGTGTGTGTGTGTGCGTGCGTGCGTTTGTGTGTATTTGTGTGTGTCTGCGGTGCACATGTTCTGTCTATCTGTGTCTGTCTATGTCTATCTGTGTCTGTCTGTGTGTGTGTGTACATCAGTCGCTGCCGGTGCTACTCGCTTGGCGCTGAGTAGAGCACTGGCTGTTATTAACCCCGAGTACAAGGAGATTCTAGAGAAAGGTCAGTAACGCCTGTGCTGAACCAGTTCATGTAGATGTAGGATCTTTAGCTCATGGTGGGATGTGGATTGGTTCACCTAATACCTCTTCTAGGCTCTCCCAATGACATATGCACTGACTATGTGAACCAATGAGATGTGCCCTTCTAGGTTGGCCTCTGTCACATTCTCACATTTTCCCACCATAGTGCCGTGTAGGTAGATTGCCGATAGATGACCAGTCCACCTTACCAAGAGGACATAAGATAGATGACCAGTCCACATTACCAAGAGTACATAAGCTACCAAGGGTGCTCAACTCTGGATACCCTCTCTATGGGGTCGCCAACGGCGAAAACTCACATCACGTGGTGTAATGTTACCATTGTACGTCGTTCCCAGCCCGTTTTTAGTGAGCAGTGGAATAGTAAAAATAGCACTCCCTGACAGAAAGCCACTCAGCTTATGCGAGTCATCAGCATGATCAAGGCAGATATCGGGATTTTGCGGACTCCTTGGCGTTCGTTGTACATAGTACCGTACCTGGAACACGAGATGTGAGTTTTCGCCATCGGAGACCCTGTATGCAGAGTTGAACACTTTTGGGAGCTTATTTACTCCTGATGATCTTGCTACTTGAAGTAGGCACACTGTGTGTATACCTTAGTCCTCAGGCAGTTGTTTGCCACCGGAGAGATCGGGAGAGTTGCTCCTCCACTCTGCTCTTGTGTGTACTGGCGATATGTGTACCATGCTTGACGGGAGCAGAAATTTGGGGCTGCCCATGTTATGTTCTTCGAAAAATTCATGTTCTTGATGTCAATCCGTAGTACACGTCCATCGGTGTTCAGAAGCCGATTTGTTTATGAGGTATACGGTGCTCGGCTTGAATGACCATGTGTGCTGCTTTTGGCTGGTGTGGTTTGGCAGAAAATCTTCTCACGCAAGACGAGCGTTCAGCGCAGAGAAAGCAGCCCGGTAGGCTCACGGCCAGAAAGATTGGTCAATGGTAAGCACCCTGTGCTGCTGATGCTGCTGCTGCATATCAGATTGAACCATTGAATCCTACCCTGCAGGTTGCACATGTATATGATGGTGCTGCTGTTAATCAGACTGCTGAGTCAGATACAGTAGTCGTGTTCTGTGGGTAACAATCACGTTAGGCCGCAACCACACTACGTAAAAATCACAGTACAAAATTTCTTGCATATCTCAGTACAAGTCGGTACACAACCACACTACACTTTTCGGTCTGCATAGATGACGTTTTCACGCGACCAGCACGTGACGTTGTCGTACCAAAGCGTGTGACATGCGCTGGAAAAGACCGGGAAATTCAAAAAAAATGCTGATGCTGATGCTATGTACGACGACAAGGTACAAAAACAAAGTTGTACACAGGAGAAGGAGCGCGAAAACGACGAAAACGACAAACGTGGCTTTCTACAGGGGTGCGCCAGTTGCTGAAAACCTACAAAGCGCATTTTGCATTTAGCACGCGTCGCCATGACGTTTTCTACTGTAATGCCGTTTGTACGTGATTTTGTACCTAGTGTGGTTGCAGCCTAACTTACTGGTATCCTGCTCCACCTGTAAAGCTGTCATCAATGCACTGTAGTACTTTGACCACGAGCTAGTGCTCTACAAATAGAGAGGTTCTGCAAAACGAAAATGTGTACGAACTTTCGCTCTACGTCACGAAGTGAGAAACTTCGCACGAACTTTCGCAACTTTGGACGCGAAACTTGCAGGGAACGCGAAATGAACTTTCGTAGGAAGTTTCGTGAGATTGGGTCATGTCGTACGTGCACTTGGCGCGTGCAAACTACGAAAATGTGCAGAACACAAAGTTCGTGCGAAAATTCGTACACACTTTCGCAAGGCCTGTCGCGAAACTTCGTTCGAACTTTCGTTGTGCAGAACCTCTCTAATACTTATCACCAGTGCTAGTTATCAGTGTAGCAAACCTGAAACACCATTGTACTACCGTAAAGTCCGGAGCAAATGCCCACCCCATTTTTGCAAGATCTGCTGGCCTGTACACACTGACCCCATGCACTGTCACCACTACTGTACAAAAGTGCATCTCACACCGTAGCGGGAAGAGCACTTTGCTACGGTAAACTATGTCCACTTTCCGGGTTTCAAAATCTCTTTGGGCACGAGCCACGAGCTAGCTCATAGTGATTTTATAATGATAGTTGTTTTATTTCGCAAATCCGAACCGGGTTTTCTTCCGAATAGCAAGGTAGCGAAGAACAGAGTATTGAAGGAACCAAATACACTTCTGACGGTGTTTCAAGCCATCATTTCGAGATCACACAGCACCCAAAGGCAAGTGTTTTTCTCGGGCACTTCGGAGTTTTCAACAAGTTAGCAGCGGCTTTGTAGGTGTAGCTTCTGTGACATACCCTATTCGACTTACAACTGCAATACTAGTACTGGGACCAGTCAAGTCGTTGACTGACGCTTTATCAGAACAATTTCTGTTCCTGACAGTGCGACATCGTGGCACTGCACAAATTTCTACGGCATTACTCGTACCACATGGAGAACGAACTACCACAAAGACGACACATTTATCGAATGAAAGGAAATCTCGACAGAAGTTATTTCTTTGCAGGAAGATAATGACAATCGTTTTTGCACAGCCTCCTGGTAGGACATAGGCAGTTTGTAGGCATTACAGTCGTTCTCGTACGCATTCGACCTTCATGCCAGTTGTTTACAACTATATTGACCTGAAAAAGACGAAAATAGTATGGACCCGCTGGGGTGGGCGTTTGCTGCGAAGTGGGCGTTTGCTCCGGACTTTACGGTACTGGTGAATGACAGCACTTCCAAGGCCCACACAGCTCAGGCTAGAGTTCTTGTGCCCGGATGCCGTTTTGCTTGCACTTCAAGTTCACATGAAAGTAAAATTGTAAACGCAGTGGTGTGGACTGTGGCATTCCTCTTACCTCGTAGTGAGATTGAAGTCTTTGCTGGACACTGCTTGCATGTGTTAGTGCAGTGCTTATCTGTAGGACTGCACAAGAAGGAGTCATGATGTATACGCACTGCAACCCAAACTCACACGCACGCGCACACACACACACACACACCTTCCTTCCTTCCTTCCTTCCTTCTTCCACTGCCATGACTGGCTATGTGGCCCCATACGGGGCAGACCAGGAACGTGTTGTCCACCGGGCGGGGAACGCCATACTCAGCGCGCGCGGGCCGCGTGAACAGCGTTACACTTGTGCCTCGCAATATCCTGTGGCCGACGAAAACTGCGCGCACAAGTGCCACAGATGAGGAGCTTCGCCACAGGCTCCATGCGGGACTGGACAATAGCGTTGACAGCGTCACGGCAGGTGACCCGCCATCCCTGTCGATCTTGGACGATGTCACCAAGCTGCTCCAGAGGTACGCCAACAGCCATCAAGTCGCACTTCACGGAGTCCTTCCAGCGCTTACGGGGTCCATGCGGTGGACGTTTGGAGGGTAACGCGCCGTACAGCAGCTGACAAGGGATCCGATCTTGCATGCGGGACAAATGGCCAAGCCATCGAAGTCGGCGGACTCTGACTTTATCCGCGATCTCCTCCATATCGCCCCACATCCCGCGAACCTGGAGAGAGGAGATGTGCTCCTCGATCTGCCGGCCACGATTTATCTTCAGGATGGAGCGCACGCACTGCAGGTGAAAGGGCTCCAGGCGACGGACATCACGCTGCCTGACGGTCCAACTCTCAGATCCATAAAGAAGGACCGCCAGGACAGTCACTCCATACACACACACACACACACACACACACACACACACACACACACACACACACACACACACACACACACACACACACACACACACACACACACATACACGCACACACACACATACACACACACACATACTTGTACTTGTACTTGTTGCTCACTGCCAAAACTGGTCACGTGGGTCTCCCCGGGAGAGGGGAGAGAGACTCAAAAGGAATCTTGGAAAGATGACTCAATTGGCTATTGAACCGCCCAACGGCCGACACCCCCTGGAATCCCCAAAACTCTGGGTGGACTTGAAAATGATCCCACTTATGGGCTCACCACACCTCAGTAAGTGGGTGAGGACAAGGTGCAGAAAAAGGATTGACGGCATCAGGGTATCCGTCCTGGGATCCAACTGCAGAACCCCTGCCCCCAGTGAAGGTAATACTTGCTACTAGTGTGGGTGGCTAAATCAGAGTGGATCTGATATAAGCTTCACTAGCACCATTGATTACACAAGAGTTAATCTAGCCAGAAGCAGTTCATGGTTAACAGGTATGTATACTTCAAATAGAAAGTATATGAACCCTGGAACCAACAAAGGTGGCAGGTACAACATTACACCTTAAAGCAGCCGAGCCCGTTGGCAACAGACCCAACACTATCAGGCATACGTGTACCCACCAACCGAACTAGCTGGCACACATACACACACACACACACACACACACACACACACACACACACACACACACACACACACACTTGTACTTACTTGTACTTGTACTTGTTGCACACTGCCAAAACTGGTCACGTGGGTCTCCCCGGGAGAGGGGAGAGAGACTCAAAAGGAATCTTGGAAAGATGACTCAATTGGCTATTGAACCGCCCAACGGCCGACACCCCCTGAAATCCCCAAAACTCTGGGTGGACTTGAAAATGATCCCACTTATGGGCTCACCACACCTCAGTAAGTGGGTGAGGACAAGGTGCAGAAAAAGGATTGACAGCATCAGGGTATCCGTCCAGGGATCCAACTGCAGTCACCCCTGCCCCCAGTGAAGGTAATACTTGCTACTAGTGTGGGTGGCTAAATCAGAGTGGATCTGATAATAAGCTTCACTAGCACCATTGATTACACAAGAGTTAATCTAGCCAGAAGCAGTCCATGGTTAACAGGTATGTATACTTCAAATAGAAAGTATATGAACCCTGAAACCAACAAAGGTGGTAGGTACAACATTACACCTTCAAGTAGCCGAGCCCGTTGGCAACAGACCCAACACTATCCGGCATAAGTGTACCCACCAACCGAACTAGCTGGCACACACACACACACACACACACACACATACACACACATACATACCACCAGACACACGCACGCACACACCTCGGACCTCTCCTCAGACATGCCCATCGCGGAAGCGATGATAGCGAACAGCTATGTTAGACATAGCAACTTGTGCTGGGATTACACCATTCAACAGCTTGCAAGGCTGATGAATTGACCGCCACTATTTTTAGCCTGGCATCCACCACACAGCTGTTTGAAGTGACTTTTTCTGGCCAGTGAATCCCTATTTTTCATTTTTCCATTTTTTCTACACACTACAGTCACACACACATCCCACTGACTATACATTGTCATTTGAATGTCTGCTTGTGCTGAAGAGTTGAGATCAAAGTCAAGCCATCCTGTGCCGTTCACCGTAGTACATGTAACATCAGTGTCTGCATGACGTGTTCCTTCTCTTCTTCTTTGCTTGTTATCTATGTCCTCACAGGAAAAAGCGATAGTACTCCTCGGCACCCACCACCTTCACTTCTATCCGTATTCGTATCATCTTGGATGATCAAGAGGCTTGCCCAGTTGCTTGCCGCTGCGCCCGAGTTCTTTCATTTGCCAGTTGACCAGTGTCTGGACTTGAAGAGCTTTTAAATTAATATTATGGAACTGGTCTTTGGACAGCTAGCGAGCTTGTGGAATGTGTAACAATTCTCTTGAAAATTATAAATATTTCAGCCTTCTGGTGTGGTATTCTGGGCAAAGCGAGAGTGTGGTGTGCAGAGTGTGATGTCACTTGCGGTATCATACCGATTATTCACACACGGGGGAGGGAAGCTGATGGAGGGAGGTAGAGAGGACCTTGAGCAAGTTGAGGGGAGGGGGCACTGGCAACAAATATAATTATAATTAGATGAGATGTTTGTGAAGTCGCTGTCAAATGTCTACGTGTCCGGCTCAGAATATCTCGGCTGCTTTTGGAGCGTACATGATTCTTAGCTGGGCGAGAGGTTGAGATCACGACCGGTCGACCGTACTGTCCACTATTAAACATGACATCGTGCGGCTGTCAGCATTGCTGCCATTCGATGAAGGTCATGCCATGCGCCATGGCGCCAGTGGGTGAAATCAGATTTTTTTTAATGTTCATAATGCACTCGAGTACTCTGTGACTGCATGCACAGCCTGCTGGTACATGGTCTCAGCTCCCCAGCTGTCATTATTATTTCATTCGTCCCATCCCATGCATCCATTTCACTCTCATCATCTTCTTCCCCACACCATACCATTACGTGTTCACTGACGTCATGTAAAAGTTTGAAAAATACGAAAATTTGAAAAAGGTGCAAAAGCAAGAAAGAACTAACTACTTGACAAAGACGAAAGACTGAAAAGTCAAAAGTCGTCCAAATAGCACTAACGTGAACTGGAGTTCCTGGGCCTGGGGAGTTGTCCACGAGTTGAGATTTCATTTCGGTTCCTTCAGCATCCCTGTAAAATAATTTGTCATTCATGGAGGCGAAAAAAGCTGTGGTGGACCGCACCACGAAGGAGACAGAGATTCATGTTGAACTCAATTTGTATGGCACTGGATCTTCTACACTTGACAGCGGAATTGGATTTCTGGATCATATGCTCTGCGCCCTAGCCAAGCACGCTAGATTCGATCTTGTTCTGAACTGCAAAGGAGACCTTCACATCGATGATCACCACTCAGTGGAGGACTGTGGTATAGTTCTGGGCCAGGCCTTCAAAGAAGCCCTGGGTCAGCCAAAAGGCATAACAAGGTTTGGCAGTGCATTTGCTCCTCTGGACGAGGCCTTATCTCGTGCTGTGGTGGACATCTCCGGTCGTGCGCATGCCTCTGTGGACTTGCAACTGCAGCGCGAGAAACTGGGCACGTTGTCGTGTGAAATGATCCCGCACTTCATCGAGTCGTTCGCTCAGAATGCGGCCATTACACTACACGTGGATGTGCTGAAAGGATGCAATGACCACCACCGTGCGGAGAGTGCATTCAAAGCGTTGGCGTTAGCTCTGCGGGCAGCACTAACACCCGATGCTACAGCAGGCGTTCCAAGCACAAAGGGCACTCTTTGACACTGGCGCGGTTGCTACTATTACAGCTTATTTTTCTTCAGTTTGTGTACACAATTCGAGTATGTTATTTGCACTCCCGACATTTAAATTATTTTTCTTTATTCTATGGTAGTATGGGAGAACTCCATTCTTGATTATGTTTCTTTCTTAGTCCTAGGTCTATAGGGTTCCCGCTTTCCCCATCTTGTGCCGGCTGGGCTGGTCGAGTGCTGAGGAAGTAGGGCACTATGCAGCTATGTCACCGTTCATGACTGCCTACGTGCAGTGCTGACAAATAATTGTTCGCCTCATTGGGCACTGTCCGACATCGGTCTGAACAAGAACAGTTCCGATATCAACAGAAAACCCGACACTTTGTTGTGTGGCAAGCTTGAAAACAAGAAGTACTGTATTGCACTGCTAGTCGCTGGTTGAAAACAATCATGATCAGAGAGTCGTAAAATACTGGTTTTTATTACTCCCTGATCATGATGTGCAAGACTACAGGATATAAGACTAAGTACTTGAAATACATGACTGTGACTGACTGTACATACTTCCTCCAGGAACAAAAAAAAGCTTGGTGACTTCCAACAACCTGTCAATTCTGTAGCTCTGAGGAACCGAGCGATGGTGACCCCAAGTGTGACTCGCACAGTGCCAATTTCTTTTGTAAAGTAGTGGCAAGAATAGGGGGGAGGGGGCTATGTACTCTTGGTAGCGTACATACATGTACATGATTGTGCAAGGTATCCGGAAGTGTTTTGAATGATTCCATGACTCATAATTATAATAAGTACCGGTACGCAAGAGGTACACAAAAGGAAGTATATAGGGCTGTTTTTTTGTTGTAACTCAGAGTTTCATGGCAAAAACCAATCATCAGACAACATAAGGAGATTAGAAAAACGCAGGTATATGAAGGCAAGCAGAGGAGATAGAATAATTCAGTGCAGACAATATGATAATCATTCAACACCTCCCAGAGGCATTTGAGCACTATTGCAGGTTAAGGCGCACACCCTCTGTGTAATAAGTACCGGTAGTTACCCCCCCCCCCCCCCCTTGGGGCTGACAATGTAGAGGCACCTACAAATTAACAATGTAGAGGCAATCCAAGAGATTGCTTGTAGAGGGGAGCGATGATTGCCACGAGCATAAGATGGTGTACATAAGAATTTTCCATGATGGTTGAAAATCAAGAGTTGCACTGGACCAAATTTATTGAGCGCAATACCTCCATCCAGCATGATCGATCATTTTTTACAGAGCGAAATGGTTTATGACCGTCCCCCGCCCACCAGGGGCAGGGAGTCGTAACAGGCTTTTTCACACGACTCAGTGGGCCATGTCACACATGGATACGACGTATTGTGCCAAGCATACACACTACCAGGCCAGGCATCGTCCTGGTGTTCATTGACATGTACAATGAAATATGAACGCACGCCTGATGGGAGCTTGTGCAAAACCATGCCGAAGAAGGTGAAGCAGTCACACTGTCAGGAAAAAGCAATGCAAGAGCGGGCAACCAACAGCAACGCAAGGAAAAGAAAAAAAACAGATTGCCAAATGGGCCTATAATGTTACTCGTAGTCTGATGATCAAAATATAGAATAGATGCAAATCATAGTGCCAGTAAAAAAAAAGCAAGCAAAAGCAGCGGGAGTGCTAGGAACACAGCAATTGACAGGGGGGGGGGGGGGGGGGGGGGGGGGGTAAGCAGCAGTACTATCTTTACACAAACAAAATCTCCTGCATCAACAAGTAAAGTTAATTTAATTTTCATGACCATACAGGTAGAGAGAATCTATTGCAAGCAACGGCTATCCAACTGCGCTGCATATTAAAAGTACGTGGCGGTATATACAATAGGGGTTGGTCTAAAGAGTATGTTTGAGATGTCCTCGCAAGAGGAGGAAGAAGAACTTATCTCTGGTGTATGTGTGCTTACTATACGGCAATCTAAACGCCTGTGGTCGTGTTTGTCCGGTAGAATGAACAGCACGGGCTGGGAAAGGATCAAACTAGAGCCACAGCCTCAAAGTAAACTATCTTTCTGCGAAGGCCAACAAGCAGAACTACGACGCAAACGCCATCAGCTCCTCAAGATCTCTGTCTTCCTGCGTCTTGGCAGGGGCCGGCTTGGCTGCAACTGGGCATCAGACAAGGCAAAAACATCAACTATGAGTACTGAGAAAGAGTTGCCAATGGGAATTTACGAGCCGTCCAAAAAAAATGCTCGGGTTGTTGTACAAAGAGCACAGAACACACAAACAGAAGGATGAGCGGTTGCGTTTTGTCACTCTCAGAGTTTCACAAAATGCTCAACAATCAGACGAGATGACATTGCCTCTATGATGTACAGCACTCCTGTAATATGTTACTCCAGCAAGAACTTGTGTTCTGCGATGAAATAAAGACAAAACCCAAGTGCTGCCACAATCATGCCATGATCTGTTGATACAGTTTTATACTTGGTACAAGTACAGATATGTTGATGTATACAGGTAACTGGTATTAGCAGTGCAAACTCTCAATGACTAAACAATCAGTGCACTTCAAAGTACACAGACTGCTGATGCGCGTGAAACTGCTAAAAGGGATCGGAAAGCGGCATAAGAGGTGCTGGATTTAACATGTACTATGAGGATTGAGTAGGATTGAGAAAAGTGGGATCTACTCAGCAATCACAAGCGTTGCTGCAGTTCAAACCACGGCACACCTACACATGCGTATATGACATGTACCGTAGCGTGGGCTATGTTAACCAGGGCCAACTTCGGTTTATTTGATCCAACAAGACAGCAATACAGGTACTTCAAGTTCTTGAAGTATAGGAAAGAAAGATTACCTGGTTCGACATCGGGTACTGATGGCAGGCTGACCTCCCCTGGAATGGAAATCAGCTTCTCTTCAATCTCTTCCTGTTCCATCTCCTCCAGTTCAGCCAGAAGGTCATCCTACAACAAAAGCAAGGACAGTGGTAACGGAGAGCGAATTTGTCAATGGTGCACAGATGGCTGCTTTGTGCCACATACTGCTAACGTTACTTTCACAAAGCAACTACTACGGTAGACACATACAACACACCAGCAGACCAACACACATACACACAATGCTGTCGAGCCAAAGTGCAGACGAGATTTCCGGTGTGGTGAATAAACTCAAGAATTCTTACAACAACCCCCCGAGTAAAGAGGGTCTGAACCAGTGGTATTAGTATAACCCCATACAGTTCATATAGTTGCAGGGTTGAGGCCCTGCCAAGTGGTGTCTAGTTACAGCCAGCACTGCATTACCCCACGCTAGTATAGTGGAGGCAATGACTAATGTACACATGCACCCATAACCATAGCCGTCGCAGGAATAGCTGTACACAGCATACACACCTCGTCAAGGTCCTCCTGTCCAAAACCGGCCGGTGCAGAAATGACATCGCTGATCTCCTGATGCAGCTCATTGGCCTCCGCAATATCGTCCATCATGTCGTGTACTTTGTCAACATCACTGTGTGCAGCCAATACAAACACACACACACACACACACACACACACACACACACACACACACACACACACACACACACACACACACACACACAAACACACACACAAACACACACAGCCAGGGAGTGAAACAGCATAGAAGATGATATTAAAGAGTAATGGCAATACAGCAGCAGCGATGTAACGGTCTGTTGTAACAAATACAATTGTTGAAGATTTTGATGTGAAGTTGCCTCAGCACTACGGCACTTGAGCATTGGGTCATGGCACTTCTACGATACAATAATAAGCTACATACGAAAAGGTACCGGCCAAAGAAATCCAACCTCATGAATAAATATCGCCGGGCGCTACGCAGCCCTAGCACTACACACACCGGTCTGTGCACTCGAACGCGGCGCTACTTTATTCATGAGGTTGGATTTCTCTAGCCAGAACTGTACATGCATGTATGCTTTCAGTGCATACTACATGAAGTATGCCAATATGCTTGAGGTAAGTAGTCCTACAGTTCTACGCAAAGAACCACACAATCTGACCAGTGAGCTGTTGCACTCCATGGTGGCGTTAGTGAAACACAGCAGCACGACCTGTCCTAGAAACACCTACGTGTACGTGTAGCACCAGTGTGACAGTTCTATGGGTGTGAGTTCAAACCAAGGCAGGCAGCTGGCACATAAGTATAGGTAGTGCGACTTTCTACACCATGCAAGGGTGTGCTGGCAGCTGTTTTCTTCATATCCATATTCACAGCTTATCTTACCATCTAGCCCTGATACATGCTGTGACTTGTTAGCTTTACAGCGCATACTCACCCCCACACACCCCCACACAACACCACCATACTGATTACCTCTCCAGCAGCAAACTACTAGGATGCCAGACAGCCTTACTTCCATCCTATGTGTCGCCTCCGACGTAGGGGCTAGAATTCAGGCATCACTAGTCAATCAGGTGTAAGCGGACACTGTTCATTGCACCTATATCTTGTTCAACATCGTAGCACATCTCAGTTTCACTCAACAGCTTCTTCTGGCAAGAGAAAGGAAAACCTTCCTATCCAGAGCAGTGCGCAGCTGATTGCTGTTATTTTCATATTGTCCAGCCTGTAACACATCTGTATTTGTGCCCTATAGGCACATGTATAGAGACCCGCTGTTTCTTTTCCTTGGTTACAATAAGACCTCACACTGGTTTCCGCAAGGAGTGACAACCAGCCACCAGGGGTCAGCCTCGAGTGCGAATCTCGAGCCAGGACGCTACTGCCGTGCTGAAAGGCTGGCACAACGGCACGAGGTGGGCTGAGGATGGGCTCACAGCGGACGCAAAGGAGAGAGCTTTCCAAGACGCCCGATACTGCAAGCTTGATACGGGTAAGTCAAATGCATGGCCCTTTTGAAGTTTGTACATTGGCACAGTTGCAGTGCAGCCACTGTGCCCGAATGTGTTTAATACGCACCACATGGCCCCAAAGTAGTTCACCAGCATAGCAGCACCATGTATAGCTATGTGACCAAGCCACCAATGACAGTGTAGTGGCTATTCTAACAGGCTTTGCCTTACCACCAGTGTACACTGCAAGACTATGTTCAACATGTGTGACACTGTTGGCCACTAAGCAGTCGTATCATCCAGGGACACAACACGAGACTGGTAGTGCCCGAGGCGGTGTGCAGTTCGACCCCGGAGTTGGAAGTTCTACATGATTCGTGGTCTATGCAACTAGCAATTGCGGTCTTGACCTGCTGACTCGAACCGCTACCCGGTACAGCGATGTCATATGTGAGCACGTGCATGTATCAACCCTGCCCCAAGGCCAACCAGGACAGGCAGGCCGGGAGCGAAGCCCACATCGTTTCACGCTCCACTTGCCCATGCCGTCTGCCCAGATTCTACGACTCCCTGGTGACCATGCAGCACAAGAGATTAATGCAATACAAGAGACTGCCCCCCCCCCCCCCACACACACACACATGCACACAATGGTACTGTGTTGCCAGATAAGCGTAACTCACAGGTCTTTGTGCGCTGCCTTCAAAGCCTCAGCAGCAAATCCCATGCTCTGAAGAACAGCAGTATTCGATGCTGCATTCTCCAGCGAGTCACGTTGGAACTCGATTGTGCTCAGTGTACCGTCAATCTGTTGAAGCTGCTTTTCAAGACGCTTCTTCCTCTTCAATGCCTGGATAGCAACTGTTTGCCAGGAATATTGAACAAGTGCATGAAACAGGCTTTCGGTTTACTCAGTACATGCATGAAGCTGACAAATGCTGGGCATAGAACATACCTCTTTTGTTTTTCGTTCCTGCCTTTTTCGCTATTTTCATCTGCTCATCCATCTGCTGCTCCAAGTATTCAGTTTTTTTGTTCAGCATCTCCTCAGTCTCACGAAGCTTTTGAATAGCTACTTGCGGTGATGGCTGGGCCTTCGGCTGGTTTTTGCCACCGCCACCGCCTCCGAACAACCTCTGAGCGAGACTCATGGTTTTTAGATTGTCAACGAGCCAAGATCAAAAGATCGAGCCAACAACTAACGTTACTTCACCCAGCTCTGGGAAACAAAAGTCGTGACTGAGGAACCAACTGTCTTCACAAAAATTCCGCATATATGACTCAAGACGACAACATCAAGATCATACTTTTCATAGACAATCATCTGTCTCAAATCTCAGCCTCTCATACTGTATCCATAGTCATTCTCAGCTCAGGTACTAGGTACGAATGATGTGGTGGTGACGTCAGAATCACAGGAATGACTGGCCTGGCGCATGGCCTGCATGCGCTCAGTGCGCTCACACTAGCACTGCGCTGCCCTCGGCTCGAGCCTCTGCGCTGCCTAGCCTAGCGCCTGGCGGAAGTCGTTGAAACCGGTGAGTAGTAAAATACCGGTATTTTACTACTCCCTGATTGAAACTCAAGTCAAGGCAAGAAGATAGAGAACGACTGTCTGTAAGTAAAACTAAAAGGGACAGACCAAGTGCAATAATATCAGCAAGAGTTACTCAATCAGCAAGGGTTACACGTATGACTCTTGATATCAGCAAGAGTACATAAAAAGGTTTATCTCTCTCTCTACAGTCTAAGCTCGGTGTGACATTACATACCAATGCCTTTGGGTCATCCGTCATAATAATAACACTACACACTCCTGTCGGCCTTGATCGGTCAAGACAAGACAGAGAGTACATAACCCGATTGATTGTGGGCATGTCCGGCAAGGAATTCTCGAATCGGCTCGCGTAAATCTTGATAATTTCAGGTTTTGCATTGTAGCCTACAAAATATGCGGAGGTGCTGCCAAATTGTCCGATTTATCTCACGCGATCCATTGAAAATTCATACTCTCTCTCGCGCACGCATCCGGGGGCCTCTCCTGGAAGGTTTCCGAATTCAGAGCCAAAATCACTGCATAGGTATCATTACTCCACAGGAGCACTACAGTGTTGTGGGGGTGCGAGAAGTTGTACGCAGTCTGTCCGATTACTTTGTAGCAGGGAGTAGTAAAATACTACTCCCTGCTTTGTAGTGTACTTCAAAGTACATGACTGTATCCGGCATGATAGCCGATAAATTAAACAGTCTAACCAAGTGCACTTTGACAGGCTACGGTGACCTAGCTCCAGTCACCATCGGGTCACTGCCTGGGCTACTGCTGCACCACCGCCATTGCGTGGAGCTTTCCACAGCAGAGTATCAGTAATCCAGCCAATCACTCGGCTAGCCTTGGCCAACGCAAGGTGACAACCGTCGGCACATGGCACAACACATCCACTGCAGGAGGGTACAGGCACAGCAGCCACCACTGATACAGGTGGGAGCTGCATGGGTTTCATTCGTGACACGCCAGCATTGCTTGTTAGAGCAGTGCCATGGAGAGGCGGGCAGGGGTAACCAGTAAGGATAGAGTTTGACATCACTGGCACGTGATCTGATTCAAAGAAAAGCGGACATAGAATGCTGCTTTAGTACAGTTCGTGGCTTCTATTTAGAATGAGATGTGTTCAGTTTGATTCTAAGAAACTACCCTGAGCATGATAAATAATGTCTCGATAAAGTCGCAGTTGCCGAGGCCGGAAACAAACAGTTAGGAGGTATGGGCGATATAAGGAGTATAGGACGGAGATTGATTATAGTAACATATGTATATAAAATATATGAACATGGAAAGTATATCTGAACCTTTTGATCAGTGAAAATAGAGATGCAGATTTCATGGAGCATGTAAGCATGAGGTTGGCTAGAATTATCAAATCAACGAAAAAGCCCTATGAACACACAGAAGATCTACAAACAGCGAACAAACACACCCCATGCACTCACACAGTACTCGGCTTCGGCTCCTTGGCAACGGACAGTGCATACACTTCGTCGTCATTCATGACCTTGACATTCTTGAGGTACTGATCTATCTCATCCTCCGCCTTGAATGGGTATGGCTCTTGCTGAAAGAGAAGAATGCCCCGCACTATCTCGGAGATCTTGGACAGCTTTGAGTAATTGACCAGGCCCTGTGACGTGAACGTCTGCAAGCTAACGTCCGAACTGTAGATGAGATCTAGGAATGCACCAAGATAAGGTACACACGGTGGATTGGATGAGCTGAGTCGCTCGCGCATGCAAGTGCACTTCTCGGCCGGATCTGCCAGCTCTTCGACGACAAGGAACATCTTCAGGACCTTCTCTGGTAGCTGCTTCCAACTCTTTTCCAAGCGCTTAATTGCAGACGTTTGCAAGCTGTACACAACAAGCAGTGTGTCATTGAAGTTATTCATCTCCAGGCAGAAAGTTGCCAGGCGGATGAACTTCTCGATCAGTTCAGCGCGTTCCAATGGGGAGTCTCCTCGAATGATCTCGGTTGCTACCCAGTTTGACACCCAATTGCAGCGGGTGATAGCGGAGACAATGTTTGGCGCTGCATCTTCTTTGTTGGAGCGTTTCCAGGCTCTACGCGCAAACTCGCTGGCCTTGATGGCACAGTAGTGCTGGTGGGCAGCGATCGTCAGCGCCTCGGCTAGGCCACGAGCAGATAACGAGTCAAACTCCTGCACAATAACACAATCGTCAGGCGTTCGCGGCGCCATCACACACGACGCAAGCGTGTTCCTATCCAGGATCGGATGGCGCAGTAGCTGCTTGGCAAGCGGCACGTCAGTGGCCGGTGAATTGGTCACCACATCGTGGAAGAAGTCCTTGACCAGTACCAGCAGCTCTGGGTACGTCTGGAAGTCCTCCGGGAAATTTCTCATCCACTGTTTGAAAATGTTGAACACTCTCAGCGTGAGCGTGGAGCATCTAGCTACTCCATGGTGTGTAGTACTACATGTACTGGACGTAGAAGCTATGCTGATGTTGTCATCATTCAGACTATCCACGTGGGAATCTGTCACAGAGGTCCTATAGCGACTGCGAATGTTAGAGAACAAATGCTTCACTTTGGAAGGTCCCGACTTGCCTGGTAAACCCAGCGAACTTTGAGACAGACACAATTGGTCGCTGACTTGTTGTAAAGTTCGCTCGGAGGCTAAACTTGGTGCACGGGGTTTAAATTTTGACAGAATCGACGTCCGCGATTCAGAAGGAGCTACAGACCCTCCTGCGAAGTCGTCAGTGGGTGACTGCAAATCTGACGGGCGCGGACTGTTTACAGCAGCCAAGCGTGGGTCAGACAAACTGCTGATACTCGATGACAAACTGCCGCTACTCTGAACTCCTCCAACACTCCCATTGTCTGTCAAATCGTCATCGGAGCCAGGAAAATAGAACAGCGTATCCTCATCAAAGCTGGGATCAGTTTCGTCTCGCTGTTCCCTGTAAGACCTGACAAGAGCTGTTACCAATTCTTCTCCTGTTGTGAAGTATCTATATGTCAGCAAGAGAGTCCACAAAAAGTCTGATCCGGCAAACCGGGGATCACCGAGACGAGCCACCAGCCTCTCCAGAGATTCGGCACTGACGATTCGCCTGTCTTTGCTGTCCGGCTTGCTCTCCATCACCGTCCCATGCTACACAGCATTGCTCCAGGCTCTGCCAAGAGACAACTGTATGACAAAAGTGAAAGAATACAGTTGTGTGTCGTTCTGCGCCCAACCACCAAAAGCTGGATACACAAACAGTTCCGTTTGCTGGATTTCACGGCATCCGCCTTCGCGGTTTTCGGTTTTCAGTCGGTTCTGCCCAAATACTAGTAAGCTGCCTCAATATAATTCGAAACCATTGGAAACTGACGTTAGGTCATTTTCGAAAATGAAAATGCGTACAACCAGAATCCTACGCGCAAAGATCAGCAAAGTCAAATAAAATAAAAAAAGAAGCCACGATACGAGTGCACAATGTACCGATCCGTACTCGGACATGATGATTGTGGCGTCGACATGTCGTGGTGTGTGTCCAACCAGAACCACGTACCAGTCCGTCAACTCCCTTACCTGCGCTGCAGCCTGTGTCCAACCCACGGTGACACTGCAGGATTGTTTGTAGACAGTACTACAGTCATGTAAGTAGTAAACTGGTGTGTTGTTTTGGGATCCTGGCCTGGCTTGATGGATGACGCCGCGGCATGGCCAGTCACCCCGGCAGGATGGCCAGGCAGGCACAGTACAGGTAACCAATAACTCATAAAATAATAGAAGAGTTGGGCTTGGGGGACCCGGAAGCTGAGCTGCCAGAGCCAGCACAAAGGGAGGATCTCTAGCTCTTTAATGTAATCACAGTGATTATTACTTTGAAAGAAAGACCCAAAGGTAACTATTACTTTATACTGCCCATATATGGGCATCATTTTTGGTTTCGAATCTGATTTCGGTATTCCGAATTATTTTCATGATCAGCTGCATAAAACATTGCAGGCTTTCGGCCGTGATACGAATGCAGCACCGGTCTCTAGCTGTCAGAAGTACGTTGGCGTAGATCTTTGCGGTTCATGGCAGCGACGTCTCCGCTACACATTGTACGTCAACGTGGGTAAGGAATGAGAAGCACTATGGCTTCTAGCAAGTACAATAGAAGTACAGTGGAGATTGGATATACGGTAACGACACTCCTTCGGGAGGAAACAAAATGTCGCTACATTCGATCTGTCACTACACCCGATCTTCACATTTTAGCATGCAATATGTACCGTAATGTCGCATATAAAAGCAGCTGCTTACGGCCGTATAAGCCGGGGTTCAAACCATACTTCTATTCAAGGTATGCTTCTATTCAAACCATGCTTCTATTCAAACCATGCTTCTATGCAAACCATGCTTCTACTTCAACATAATCAGCCTACACCGTTCAGCGCATACTGCCATGCATGTACTTGCACAATATACATGACAATTGTGCTTTGTAAAGAGTAACTTCTATTCAAATCGTGCTTCTCCGTCACGGCGCGCTTGGAAAAATCGGCTTCTATTCAAGTCATACTTCTATACAGGTCATGCTTTTATATGCGACACTACAGTATATCAAAATGACAGAAATGTATTGCAGATATGCATGTGCATAATGTAATGCATATGGATTTCGGATGTACATGATTGTGCTGTGTCTCCATGCATAGTTCAAGCCAAAAGTCGTGCATAGCAACTACACCGCTGCACTGCGGCTACAATGTGCAGTGGCCAGCACTCGTGGAGTGACCCAGAGGTCCAGGCATGTGACACAGACATGTCCCATGCATGCCACTCCGCCTAATACACGAGGAAAGTCGTTATTATTCTATGCATTTTCAGGTCTTCGGGCACCGAAAAAGTGTCAGTAAATTCGATGTCATTATTTTCGAGGTCCTTATACCCGATCTATAAAATAATAATGTACAGAAAGGACTTGCTAAACGACTTGAGCAACAGAATTCTGTCGCTAAACTCAATTTTGTCGTTATCCAAGGTCGTTATATCCAAGGTCGGTATGTCTAATATCCACTGTATGGGCAAGAGGTGTGTATAAGACGTGGAGTGACCCAGAGGTCCAGGCATGTGACACAGACATGTCCCATGCATGCCACTCCGCCTAATACACGAGGAAAGTCGTTATTATTCTATGCATTTTCAGGTCTTCGGGCACCGAAAAAGTGTCAGTAAATTCGATGTCATTATTTTCGAGGTCCTTATACCCGATCTATAAAATAATAATGTACAGAAAGGACTTGCTAAACGACTTGAGCAACAGAATTCTGTCGCTAAACTCAATTTTGTCGTTATCCAAGGTCGTTATATCCAAGGTCGGTATGTCTAATATCCACTGTATGGGCAAGAGGTGTGTATAAGACCCCCCCCCCCCTGTTATCCGGGTGCTTAGGCTAAGTTAGGGACCAGGTACTGTTCGCAACCACAAACTGCCCACAGTTGATGTACATGGTACTGTACAAATTGTTTGCATGTAAAAGTAAACGCAGAGACAATTGCAAAATTTCACGGAAGCCCACAACACGAAAAAATCCGTTTGTAGGTTTGGCCGAAAATCACAAAGGATGCATGCAACATGTACAATGTATATAATGCATGCACGGTGCATTCCCGGGATTTCGAAAGCACATGTACACTCAAACGCCTCTTATCCGGACGCCTCAGATACGGGCACGTCTCTCTACCGGGCACCTTTAGCTTGAGTTCCTATGGCAAAAATGCTTCGAATTTGGGTTTTTTGAACTTTTCCGTATTCGGAAGTGCTTATTTTTCACTGCCAACCTATGTAATCCACACATTTTTACCAATGGGTTCCTTTTGTATCCTGAACATGTGCAATGCGTTCCAAATAAACTTCTTCAAAAAGTGATATGATACATGGTAGATGAGTTATTCTGAGATACGGGCAAATCTGAGATACGGGCAGTGCCCGGTCCCAAGGTGCCCGGATAAGAGACGTCCGAGTGTACGTTCATTTTTGCTGGGAGGGAGGGCTAGGGGATCTCGCCTGAAACTAATTAATTTTTGTTTTGTAGGCCTCTGCGAACTTTTACGGTGGTCCCTAAGCAGTGCATGTGTTGCGTGCATGTACATGTACATAGACTACAGGGATAAATTTATTGTCATATTTTGCATAGCAGTTTCTGCGATACAAATCACAATTGTGTAGCGCATATACAGTGGTGGTCAAAAGTTTTGACCCACCATGCAGATTTTTCGAATTCTGAAGGTTTGGGCTGTAAGCTACTAAATTTTTGGTCGAGGACATCTGAATCAGGCTGAATAGTGAAGAAGAAATGAAAAATGCTGAAAGACGGAGTCATCTGGGGACTACTGTGGTCAAGTATATGTAAAAGGCGGGTCAAAACTTATGGCCAACGCCCGCACTATCATAAACCGCCAACAGGATACACGGAATAGTGTGATTTCTAAAAAGTATTCAATTAAACTAAAGTCTAAAAGTCAGTCCTGGCCTATTCCAGATACATCCACCACTTTGTAACCCCTCCCTTGGCCTTGATGATCGCTTGCATACACTGCCGCATTGAATCGACGATCTTCTTGCGCTCGTGAGGAGAAATCAACTTCTATGCCTCCCGGCACACTCGCCACAGCTCATACTGGTTTCTGGGGGTGATTTCAACATCGTGCTGCTTCAGCCCAGCAATTTTGCAGAGATTCTCAGTTGGATTGAGGTCAGGTGGCTGCAGGGGCCATGTCAGGACGGTGATGCCGTTCACCGTCCGCCGCGCCTCCGTTCTGTTTGCGGAGCGTTTGCGGCCATAAGACACCACCCACACCATCCACAAGCTGCATCATGCTCAGCAACATCATGTTTTCGGATGATGCGAGGTACTGGTCCGCATTCATCGTATCCACCACCCGGCAAATGCGCGCTACGCCGTTGCTGGCCATGGCTCCCATACATTGATATTGCCGTCGCGGCGCTTCACAGTTTTGCGGGTGCATGTGCCAGCCAGAGCCTATCCTGTCCACCTCCTGACGTAAACTGCATCACCAGAGCCCTTGAGGTTGATTTTAGACTCATCAGTCCACAGAAATTACCACCAGTCATCACTGCTCCAGTCCTTGTGCGTCTATACAAATTTAAGGCGTTTTGCCTTATTCACAGCACTGATGAAGGGCCATTTGATGGCCATACAGCCACGTAGGCCTGCTCTCTGCAACTTGCGTCTCACAGAACGCACAGAAATCGCGTTATCACCGTCGCTCACCATCTCAGCTCGCAGGCAGTGACGGATTTGAGGCGATTCTCCATTGACTTCATGATATGGTGGCGATCTTGTCTTGCACTGGTCTCTCTTGGTCGGTCTGATCGAGGTGAAATGTAGTCAATTTTTGTTTCCTGACAATTCTACGTATCGTAGGATTACTCAAATCCAACAGAGGAGCGATACCACGCCAAAAGAGACCGTCAACACTCAGCTTCACGACCATTTCCCTCACATCCTTGCTAATCTGACCTCGGTTCACTATCCTGGCTGAAAATACCATCTCCGTCGTCAGAATAATCAAGTTTGATATCGCAAACTCTCAAAGTGAGAAGTCAAGTGTTGATTTTCAACTTTCCCGGCACGTGCATCAGCCTGACAACTTTTTTGAAACCGTACGGTACGGTAGAGCAAAATTTGGTCACGTGGCCATAAGTTTTGACCCACCCAAATGTATGGTGATCCATCACAAATCTCAGTTGACAACGGATTCTTGCAAATTTTAGTGTCCTTGCCAAGTTTCAATCGGCTTTGGCCTCAAAGAAGTCAAAAACGGCGTGTTTAGGAGCCAGGCTGAGCTGTACTGACGATTCCATGGGGTGGGTCAAAACTTTTGGCCACCACTGTAGCAGTCTTTGATTTTGATTAGCATTTTTCTTTGAAGGTCGGGTGTTTACCACATTGTCCTTCTTGAGAGTGATGCCTGAAAGCCCATTTGGAAAAAGCGACTGAATCATACATGTGCACGCAGATTGAGAGTGCCTGCACCACATACACTGCATGTTACTTGACAGCACAGGCTAGGCATGGATAGTCTGTATGTATCGCAGTTTTCTGCGAGTCACGGTGACTTTTGAGGAGCAGTAGATCGATTTTGCATCGCAAACTGCGATGCGATACAGGATAAATTCATCCCTGGACTACATTGTACACGGGTTAGATCTAAGTGGTTGTGTAATGTATAATAATTACGCTCCAAAAGAGCGAGGAGTACCCGGTATGTAACATGCAGTTCGCCATTGCGTGAGACCCAGCGCTGCTCATCGACAGTAAGCTGTCTTTCTCTATGACTGAGTCCATGGTTACTACAACTCGAAGCAGAGCAATCGGCTTGTAGGGTACAACACTGTATGTCACAAACAATCAGCAGGCGAATAAACCACAATCTATGAATAGCCGTTTTAAAAGATGATGTTGGTCTAAAAAAAGTCTCTCTCACACACACACACTCTCTCTCTCAGCATTACAGTGCCCATAGCAGCAGGCTCAGACTACTCTGTACTGTAGTAGTACATTGCTGCTACTATGTTTGACGACACGGCACAAAAAAAAGAAAAGTAATACGGAAACAAAGCCGTCACAGAGCCTAGGCAGTAAAGAAAATAGAGCTCTCTTTCTCTGTTTCTCCCAGTTTTACAGCAACCGCTGCTCAACGAAGTCCTAAGCGAAACACTCTATAGCCAGACTAGGGCATTTCTCAAGGCAGGTCATGTGATTACGTGCTGTTTGGATAGATGGTTGGTGATGAAACATACCTACATGTACATGTACATAGGCCATGTCTATAGTGTTGTTAGCAGTGGCGGCAGCAGCAGCATGATCTTGAAAGTACTCTTGTAAAGGCATGTTGGATATAATAATACTCTCTGATAGTCTCTCTGTGCGTCTCTCTGTGCGTTATAACGTTTTAGGCTCTCCGTAGAGGATACGTGACATACTACCTATACAGCACATGTGGTACATGTAGTAAAGCTAAACTGAAAAATGACCAAGAGATCTACCCACTGCTAAAACACAGACTCACAGCATAGCGCGCGCACACCGTGTACCATGTATACACCCATCACAAGAGAAGCACGCACACACACACACACACGCGCCACACACACACACGCGCCACACACACACACACACACACACACACACACACGCTCGTGGCATACAGACATACTCATTCATCATGGACTGCTGTCTCAACTTGTGGGCCATCCAAGCGGCTCTCACACGGATGTACATATTCCTTCATCCTGGTTCACTTGTGTGGCATGGTTCCACTGCGATTCCGGAATGGAGATTCACGACCTGCAGCAAGATCAGCAACGCATTGGTCATCACAAATCATTTTCGAATAACTATGAATGATAAGTAAAGGACAAGTGCATATCATGTTTCGTGTGCCAGTGACAGTAGGGAGGTGTAGTCCCACGTAATCCGTGTGTACTTTACGTGTGTGTACCACGTGATACTCAGTGACCCACGTACAGCCGTTTTCTGATTCACGACATACCGTGTACGGAGGCTCACCCACGTTCCGCCAGAACGTAGGTGAAAATCAGAATGGAGCGCATTGTGCAAGCCGTGAGGGTGCTCAGCTGAAGAAGTTTCCGAATCACGAAATCAAAATATTCGATGAGCTTCGAAGCTTCGTCTTTGACCAAGTTTGGGCATTTCGCTTCATGCTTTTGTTTGTTCCGTGTGACTAAAAACAACAGTGCGAACGTGGGTCCATTGCATGAACTTTACGTGTATCACCCACGTTCCCGTATCCGTTACGTGGGACTAAACCTCCCCAGTAACCCAAAGGCGGTAGATGTACTTGAAGTAGGTAGCAATGTTACCTCAATACTATTGAGGTAACATTGCTAATATTGAGTCAATAGTCAATACTATCAACCAGCTGTAGTGATTGAGGAGTGTGGTATATCATAATAATTAATATACACTGCTAGGACTACAGTAACACTGCTCGCTGAACACTAACGTGTCAGGTCGGAAGCAAAGATTTAGGAACATCAGTATGACTTGTTTTCATGTAAAACTGCACGCAGATTGTACCTGTTACGTGGAATGTACGAGCACAGAATAAGGGCGAAGACGCTGAAGTCTCGAAAATAAGATCATCACTTGCCTGATATGGTTATTCGGTGCCCAAGGTTACTATTATCAAAGTACATAATCCCCAAGAGTGTGCAACTCCAGCTATGGGGTCTGCAGCGGCAGAACTGCACACCACGTAACGGACTCATACACATTAGAGAGGTTCTGCTACACGGAACTACGTACCAAACTCCGTGTCAACTGCAGTGAAGTTTGACACGGATTCTTCGTACGTTGCACCGGTTCTGTTGTACGTAGCATGCTCGACGCATGCACGAAAACCCCGCCACATGTACTCTGTACGCTCACTTTTCACACGGAGTCCAGTCCGTGTGAAGCGCGCTTCACACGGAAAACGGTATGAAAAAATCCGTATCAAACTAAATCCCGTACCGCGGCGAAGTTTCCATACGTACTTTGGCATGTTTTACCGTGTGGCAGAACCTCACTATTATTTGCGCCCTGTGCAGGGTTTCACGCAACCCTGCCCTGGGTTCAACTCTCACTCTGCACTGTCTGCCAGCGTAACCTACCGGACCATATCACGTGATGTGATGTTCGGCCGTCGCAGCACTGGATAGGGTTTGTGCAGACAGCCGCATGCTCATGTACACTTGCTATTCTCGGTACACAGTGTACAACAGTGGTCAGTGGGTCCACATGCGTGCGGCGAATCTGGGCAAATCGTTTTTATTCCAATCCAAACGAGACATTCTACTAGATAGGTGAGATGGTTATACAAATACTCGAGAGGTGTAAAAACAAGACTAAAACTGATTCATTTCATGCTGGGCGTGCATGGGATGTATCGTATTTTGCAATTCTGCTGGTTATGATGCTGTTCCTGTGCAACTGATCATGCAGCATGGTGGTGCTGCTGCATGGAGGTCAGCTGGGAGTGGGAGTGCAGCAATGACTCACCATCTTGTTTCCGATCACTGGATGATCGCGACACTGGGCGTTCTTTGGACTTGATTGAGCTATTGTGACGTGGGAACTTTGGAAAGTGAGACGTGTCCATTGTGTCCGGTCTGAGTCAAAACAAGACATTGCGGCGCAAGTCAGCTATTCGCTAAGAGACCAATGCTAAACCACCCATATCCTTGTGGCACACTCGCAGACGGAGAGAGAGAGAGAGAGAGAGAGAGAGAGAGAGAGAGAGAGAGAGAGAGAGAGAGAGAGAGAGAGAGAGAGAGAGAGAGAGAGAGAGAGAGAGAGAGAGAGAGAGAGAAGCCTCTTTAACATACTAAACAAGCCACCCCTTAATTGTTACTGGATATCATGGGCCACCGACATCTTTCTTCAAGTTGCACTCGGTGACTGGCAGTGGAGTCCAGGATTAGACCCCGGCTTAGGCCATGTGCAGACATTCTTACCCACACTGCACAGTACAGTGCTGGCTACTAAAAAAAAACTCGCTCCCAGGTCTAAAACTTCAACATATACCGCACAGCAGCAAGACTACAAACACGGTGACCTGTGCTCGAATGCAGCGTTACCTTATCCAGAGGAGAGGACAGAAGGGGGGGGGGGGGGTCACTGGGGAATGCTGCACATGTCCAGTACAGTGGTTTCTGTGGGTCCAGCACACTGCTGCGCCGCTATGGTGATTCTCCAATGGGATTCTATTCTGCGTGCGGTTCTTACCTGGCCAGCTGCAGAGGAAGATCTCCATGGCTCGAGGCTGCAAACTGGCCGAGTCGGAACACCCAGAACGACGCCACGCTCTTGTCACTGGCCAATATCAGAATTAATTTACTGTTCTCATCTCCTACACACAGCAGCAGCAGCAGCAGTAGCAGTAGCAGTAGGAAAAGGAACATGATGAAATCTCAAAGAATAGAACATAAAATGTAAAGCTGCAGTACAACAGAAGTGCATTTAGGAGACGACGCATGCACCCCGAGAGAAGTCACACAACAGGAAGAAAGTTCAAGAAACACTGGAAAACAAACAACGGGATTCGACCAGATTGCTTTGCGTGTACTTGGCAGCTGCACAGTTTCATTTCTGTTACACTGCTTTCCAGCATTGAACATTGAGCCGATGGTGCAGCTTCAAACAAGTTCATGCAATCACTACCATTGCAGACAAAAGCAAACAAACAACAGCACAGCTGTTCACTTACCAACACACTTGGTAATGATGTCGTCTTTCTTGTCGACATGCTGCTTGTGGCACTTGAACTGGCAGCCTGCGCGGAGAATGCACGCGCGCACACATGCACGCGCGCACACATACACGCACACACGTACAAACGTACACGCACACACGCACGCACGCACACACTGTAAGAGTTCGTTCTCCAATGCCCCCTTCCCCCATCAAGCACACACAGACGCATGTCATGCAGTCAGCAGGCTCACTCAGTGGATGAAGAGTGCACAGAGAAACTTACGGCTGCATTCGTACGCCGTGGAAGAGAAGACCTTGGAATAGGAGATGTCCTTGGAGCAGGCATCACACACAGCATGCGAGCGGAGCGGCGAAGAGACGAAATGATGACCGCGATACTGAGTAACCTACACCATATTCGAGAACACACGAACAAGAACAAGAAGTCAGAGCGAGAAGAATAGCATCACTTCAAAGCTTCACCCTGTAAAAAAACTTTAAAAAAGGACAGTCCATGAATGAAAGATTGCAGTAAATCTACCTTCTCTGCAAGTTCTTACAACTGTCAATAATGATCTGCAAGGAAAGCTTGAAGCACAACAGCAGTGCCTGCTAATAATTACAATTAGCTAGAATCGTGCAGTTTCGCCAGGCTTTCTTCACTACTAGTAATTCACAAACAGCAGCACACATGCTTACATCACCATGGTCATCAGACAATGTGGACACACTGGAGCTGGCCGTGCTGTCCGCGTCTTCTTCCATTTGCGACGTGTACGTTATCTGTAATAACACACACACACACACACACACACACACACACACACACACAGCGCGCATACCGGTACACACATGCATACACACACACACACACACACACACGCACATGCATAAATGTATGTTCCGTATCTCTACATTCGATGAGGAGTCCACACCGATGTAAAGGGATGACACAGTGACACACAAGTATTCCTCAGACTGTGCAGTCGTAGAGTAGAGGTGGTGGCGGTGCAGAAGAAAATGATGGAAACTATACGTGCTGTCACAGAACAGATTTAGTGTCCATACCTGGAAAATACGATCCCTTTCTTTGCTTGGCAGCCGTGAAACCAGCTGATCTGCTTGCGTAACTAACCGCACACGCAGAAGATACCTGCAAACAACAGCAAGTACACACACACGTACACACACACACACACACACACACACACACACACACACACACACACACACACACACATGCACACACACACACACACACGTACACACACACACACACAGAGGTTGTTGCCATGACATTGCCGCATCTCAGATTCCCTGTGCATGGCTGTGATTAATTCAACCAGACGCAAACGCACGATGCAGCACATGAAGTACACATGCACTGCTTGTGTATCTTGGGTAGATTCTGCTCACACTGCGACGCAAGCAACAAGTCATGAAAACAAACGATGCACTGCTCAGCTCTGCCAAAATTTAATAGGTATGAGTTTTATCTCGTCATCTGCACTGTTGGCAGGCATCTCTCCAGCTGAATTTTTCGTTCTTGATTCTATTTTCTTCACACAACGTGTATCCAGAGAAACCTGGCTAAGACGACCGACCACTCAAGGGACCTTGAAAACATGCTCGCTGTGCACAGATGGTCTCCTTATCCAGTGTCATTTGACTGGTAATGACGCCTCTACATCCTAGTTGTAGTGGTCATCTGGGACAGGTGGTTGCCTTATCCGAGTAAGTTAGTCGCCTCGATAGGTTTTGTTGCATGCAATGGATTCGGAAGTCCGTAGGCACATACAGGTTCAAGTGGAGTATTACCGGAAAGCTATTGACAAGACAGGAGAATCATGCTGCCGTCGATCCTCGTCGTCGAAGAAATTGATACACTGGTTGGCAAAGTTCACAGCGATGACCTAGCCAACACACAGCACATGCAGACATAATGTTGAAGGAGTGCAAATGGTACGTGTGTGTGTGTGTGTGTGTGTGTGTGTGCGTGTGTGTGTGTGTGTGTGTGGTGTGCGCGCGCGCGCGTGTGCGTCCCTTTTGTATGTAACTAATAATGTAAGTGTGTATGCATGTGCATGTGCACGCATAAGAGGGTAGGGCAGTCATTACAACTGTCATCACATCGACAAAAAAATTGGGAGCATGCTAGCAAGCAAGAACATTATTCATTTTATATGAACGACGTTTTCCATCGCTCACCTGTGGCTTCCAACCATTCTTTCGGATGTTCTTGACATTCTTCGGTACCTGCATATCATGACTAACCAACTGGTCTGGATAGGACACAGCAAACAAACCCAACGAGAATCAACATTATTCTCAACAGATATGAAGCCAGCAGTGTTACCACCACAAGGCAGGTCACTAAACGCCACATACATCTCAATGCCAGGACCGACAATCATACCAACTGTGAACATTAAAACCTGCTGGCAAGTAACATAGTGAATCATACTCTTCTATTCTCGCTCTGGAAAGCCTAGGGAAAAAAGAATGTTTGCATTCTTTCGAGAGTTACCTGTCCTTTCGTTCATAGTAGCCTTCGCTGACGTGACTGCCCTCGGCATGGTATGCCCATCAACTTCATCCACACTGCCTTCTCGCATGAGTGAAGACGAATGAGACATGTTGTCTCCATCGCCGTTTCTTGGCCGGAGTGCACCGTTCGTGGTTGCGATTCGCTGCTCGTTCTGTCTCTGCAGGTCCTTGATCTGATCCTCGCGCTCCATCAGGTCCTTCTGCAGCAGTCGCCTCTGCTGCTGTTCCTCCACGACCTGTGCCTGGATGTCGGTCAGCTCCTGGTGGAAGCGGCGGCGCAGCTGTGCCGCGTTACTGCGCTCCTTCTCCAGGTCGCCGCGCACCTTGCGCAGCTCGTGCTCCTTGCGATGCACCTCGGCAGACACTGCCTTGCCCCCCTTGCCCGTACTGGTGGCCGTGCTCAGAGTGCGCTGCTGAAGCAGCTGTTCCAGCTTGCGAATTGCCTGTTGAAAAAAGAAAACAGTCAAGGGAAAAATATGCAATGCAATTTGCAGGATATTTATCACAAAAGACTATGCATACAGGTAGGCACTGTTGCTAAAAGTGATGCAAGTTGGACTTGATTAACGCGTCCATAGACACGGACACAACAATACATGTACATGTACTTCCAAGCTGCACAGGTGTAAATAGTGCCCCACCCCAACGGCTGGACTGTTTACCACACACTGGTGTAAACAAAACCCACTTTACACACATGCACACATGTATGCATGTACCGCGCACACGTACACACACGTACACCCACCCACTATACGCATGGACGCATGCACACACGCACACATACACACATTCACACCCTCGTTCCTACAATCTCGACCGCGTGTACTTCAGAAAAGAAAAAGTAGGCAGATCCAGCTACACATAGAATTACATGTGGCCAATCTCCAAGACTCACCTCCTTCTTCAGAACCACCTCCGTCTCGTACTTCTTTTCCAACTCAACACACTTCTGCTGCAGGTCACTCTCCTTTTCAATTTCCGAGTATTGTTCTGTGTACACACAAACACCAGAGTGAAGATGTGTGCATACTGCAAAGTCAGCAATTCTGGATTTAGTCAACGCTACTTAAGCCAATCCAAGTCTGTGATTGCATGAAAGTTACAATAGCAAACTAGAGCTAGCTGTTCTTCCATCCTATTTGAAGAAAAACTGCTTATTCCACTAGGAATGAGGGGGATTCGGTGATAGCGAGTGCAGTGCAATCTGTGTGCTCTGCAAACCTCTCCCTAGCTGGTCAAGACACATCAGCATTTGTGGCAATACATGCGGCGGCATACCAGTCAACGACACCAAATAGATCACTCTCATTGCATGTCTGTCTACTCACGCTCCTCCAGGTCCTGCAGTCTGGCCTCCAGATCCTCGTTGTCGTAGGTCAGCTGCTCGTTCTCTCGGCCCATATCCTTCACCTTGTGCTGCAGAGTCTCCAGCTCCTCGGTGATCTGCATCTGCTGGTTACGCTGCGATGTGGCCGCTGTCCTGGCTCTCACCTGCATCTCATTAATCTGCAACTCCAGCATCATCTTCTCCTGCTCCAGGTCACCCATGCGATCATTCCAATCGTCCCGGTTGTGGCTGTACGAGTCTTTCATCTTCTTGTATTTCTCCTTGATCACACCGCTAAGCGCACGGAACGAAAGTAGGATACAGAAAGAAAATCGTTTCATCAAAGCTGGCCATTACTGTATTAACATGTACCTAATACCTGACCACCTGCACTATAGCACTTACATTAGTAAGCAAGGCCAGGCACAGCAGGTGTGGGCGATAGTGTGTAATCACACCTGCACATCTGATACACCATATACCGTATTTCCACAAATAGTAGGCCGGTCTACTATTTTTTCAACCTCGTCCTTACCCGGCCTTATAATCGAGGACGGTCTTGTATTCGAGGACGGTCTTTTATTCTTTCAACCCAGTTTGACCCCCTGGTCTTCTATTTCTCGCCACACAGTTTTATCCCCGTTCTTCCATTTTCTTCTACACAGTTTGAGCACGGTCTTCTATTTTTTCCCACAGTTTGAGCACGGTCTTATATTTTTAACACAAGAACAAAGACTCATTTAGTAGGCCCGGTCTTCTAATCGGAGACGGGGGTCTTTTATTTTTTCAATCGCCCCCTGCCCCGGCCTTGTATACGAGGAAGGCGTTGTATACGAGGACGGCCTTTTATTTGCGGAAATACGGTAGCTGTATACATGTACTCCTGTGCATGGCTATTGTGCGTGTGTTCATTCACTTGATACTAGCCTTGCATGTGACGACGTGCACGGAGCGAGTCTGCATGCATCAGCATTTGGAACAGTACACACTTATCACCAACCCCACAACCGTGAGCTAGTGACAGTTCTTTTGATATTTCCAAACATTTTTGTCCAAGCCGCACACTGCACACTAACAACAACTCACAGCTCTTCTTGAGCAGTAGATAGCTCATGGCGTGCTTCCTCCAGCTCCTCGTTGCGCTTGTTGACAGTGTTCTTCAGCTCGGCCAGGTCTTCACGCAAGCCGGACACCAGATTGTTCTGCACGGCCAGGCTCTCGGAGGTTCTCTGGTGCTCGGACAGTGCTACGGTGGTGCGCTGTAGCTTGGACAGGGAGTCGGACAACTGAGACTTCTCCTGGCGCAGATCCTTAGAGGACTGGGCAAAACAACAGCGACCACACACAGTACATGTATATCACATGGATCACAAATTCAATCATAAAACAATTCACACACACAAATGTATGCAAGGCATAAAGATATGGAGAGGTAGGGAGAGAGAGAGAGAGAGAAAGAGAACCAAGAGGGAGAGGGAGGGGGGGGGGGGGGTCTCAGTTAACACCTTACTAGTATCCAGCTGGGAGAAACTTTACCAGCGGCGTCGGGGCAAGCACATGTGCAGCATCATAGGCACGCTCAGCTGAAATTTCAGCCGGCATATCCCTAACTATGCAGCGGGCATCATGCCCGTGCGAAGATCATGAATAGTGAAAGCCACGGACACACGGACGTGACAACCAACCTGTTGCAGCTGACGCTCCTTGAGCTTCCACGCAGCCTTGTCGGACTCGAAGCGTTTCGACTCTTCCTGCAGACGCGCTCTGCGCTGTGCCTCTACCTCCACCTGCTTCATCAACTCATCAACCTAAACAGCAATCAAACCATGAGCAGCCATACACCACCACCATTCAGTAACATCTCAATATTATCGTACTCCACTGAAGTTTCTTCAAAGGAAAAAAATCCCGGTATCTCTCCAGTACAGAGGGAAACGAGTTAGAAAACTTGAAGAACTTTCAGCCCATTGTTCTACACTCTGCAGTGCAATTTAATTACGACTCTCTCATCACCGCATGCATGCATCACGGGGTTTCCAGTGGCAACATACTCGTTTTCTCATCTCCGCTGTTGACTTGCTGGTAGCATCCAAACGCTCTCGGGCGACACCCATGGCTCGCACAGAGTCCATGAGCTCCTTCTCAGCATCATCTGCTTTGCTCTCTGCCACCTGCCTGGCCAGGGCCTCAGCGCGTAGCTTCATCTGTAGCGCTGTGCAGGACGACACAGCGATACAGAGTCACGTCATTGCGAGTTGTTAGGCAATATGAGTACAGAGGACACAGCATGACAATATCGACGGGTAAGAACACTAGCTATACCCCAGCATAAGTGCATAATCCAGTGTTGATATCAACTCTTGGGGAAATACTAACTAATTGAAGGTCTTATTGAACAACATGTTTTAGTAAAACGTGACTGGAAGCAATGCACCAACAGACAGGTACACCGAGGCAAGCGGGGTGTCAATGTCACTCCCCGCAGCTGCCAAATCAAGCATTCTTACCATTGATTTCATCTTGACTAGCACTAGACTTTGTGGCCTTCTCCGCACTTTGCACGTCCATTATGCTCTGAAAGTAGATCACACACAGAGGATAACATACATCTTAGCGGCATGTCACAACGACATTCTACAATAGTTGATCCACTATGCCAGCAATACTACTGGGACTGCTATTGTACTGATATGCTATGGGTTACCTACACACAGCACCGCTATGCCACCAATACAGGGCCGTAGCAGGCGGTCCGGCAGGTCCGGCAGGTGCCGGACCAATATTCGGCCAAAAAAAAAAAAAAAAAAAAAAAAAGCAGCTCACACATGTAAGCCGCTCAGGATGTCCACCTATGATGTATGCAATAAGTAGAGGTAGTGAGGTATATAAGCAAGTAAGTAGAGGTAGTAGATTCTACATGGTAATACCGTACTGGCAATATACATGTATATGGTCGCAGTGAGGCCATGAAGCGTTACATTGGCACATGTTTACCGCACGCAGGGCGTTACATGCAAAGTCGCACAGGAGCCGTTACACAGGTTTCTATATTGCCGCAGTCCTTTTTTTGCTATTGCAGGACTTCCTGCTGCGTCCAGTTTTGAACTTTTCACCACGCGGTACACGTGCTTTCACAGTTTTCAGCCTTTTTGCAATGAAAAGATCGCCGCACCCCGCCGGACGCGCGTTACGAACGCAACGAAAATTTGTCGCACTAGCCTGGTCGCGCGTTACGCCGCACCCCCCTGCGTTACGCGTTACGCGTGCCAGTACGGTAGCAAGAGGACACTACAACATCGAGTGATTACTTTGAAGTTTGAACTCTAGTTGTACTCAAGTACATGTCATGTACATGTTGTTGCGAATACCATGTACATAGATCTATGTGGGTGTTGAGGTCGGATCTTGCCGGACCAACCAAAATGGGGCTGCTACGGGCCTGCAATACTACTGGGGCTGCTATTGTACTGATATGCTATGGGCTACTTACACACAGCACAAACATACATGTACTACATCATAGAGAGTTCACTCCACTGCTCAACATCACACTCTGGACCGGAACAGCATGACAATATCCAACTTGCACTTCACAAACACAGCAGTTGTGAGAATGTGGTGGACTACTCGAGTAAGCCTCATAAAAAAATGACCAAATCTTCTGCAGCCTCCCACACTAGGCCATCAGATTGGATAAGTGATGGCTCCCCATTGCATTACCTCTAGTTGTTCACAGCGCTGTGCATTTCTCCTGGCTTCGGCCTCTGCTGCATTCTTCTCCTGCGTCACGGTCGATCCGGGGGTAATGCACACAGGAATGGGAAAAAGAGGAGCTGATCAGAAACACGATGGTGCTCTTATTGCCTATACACTAGCATTACTAGCACCGGTACTGCCACACTGATGGTCTCGCAAGGGTGCAAACTACAAAGCCTGCTGTGATATTCACACCAGTTCTCCCACTACTGATCAGGTTCTGGCGTGAACGTTCTGTAAAAAGGGTGACAGGGACAAGCAACTTCAACACCAGTGAGTTACATGTAGCTGCACTGTCAGTGTGCCCAGTGTGCTCAGGTAGACAGTGAAGTTTGCCGACTGGTTGCTATTTCCACTACAGTGCTATAGTGCTGAAAACCAGCAGGGCTATGCGCTTGCCACGCCTGATTTCACACATTACGGGCCAGTATAACACACCGAATACCTAAAACAGCGCATCACAGTTTGCACCACAATTGTCACAAATGGGTAGCAAAGTCAGCTCATTCATATAGGCTGTTCATGATGGTGTTTGGGAATATTGGCTAACTCAAGTCTGCGCGATGTGTCTATGTAGCCGCACTGGCAGGAAGGACTTACCCGCCTCAGGGCACTGATCTGCTCCTCGTAAGACTGTGTCTGGGTAAGGCTTTCGGTCATTTTCAAGCTATTCATCTGCAGTTGGTCTTCTAGCCAATGCTTCTCCTCTGTCGAGATAAGTATGACATTATCGTAACACACACACACACATGCACATGCACACACACACACACACACACACACACACACACACACACACACACACGCACACAAATGTGCAGAAAACACACACGCACATTCCGATCAGCACACAGATAAATCACGATAGTCGAGCGGCGATAATACACAAGTAGCCGCGGGACACAAACGAGATAACCACACCAGTTGGTGATGGATAGCATCATCATTAGCAAATGTTGCTGGACTTCATCACTCTTTAGTATCAGAGAAATTATACCAGCATACAGCAAGTGGAAAGCATGTCGGTCACTCTGCGACCAAGTAGAGGAGGTAATTCTATAAAAGTCATAAGTGTAGTGTGTAGTGTTTGTCAAAGCATTGTCTCTCTCCGTACTGTCTCTCTCCGTACTGTCTCTCTCCGTACTGTCTCTCTCCGTACTGTCTCTCTCCGTACTGTCTCTCTCCGTACTGTCTCTCTCCGTACTGTCTCTCTTCGTACTGTCTCTCTCCGTACTGTCTCTCTCCGTACTGTCTCTCTCCGTACTGTCTCTCTCCGTACTGTCTCTCTCCGTACTGTCTCTCTCCGTACTGTCTCTCTCCGTACTGTCTCTCTCCCGTCTGTATCGTAATGCGCATGCTCTGTAAATAAATCAGTCCTTGTCTTGTTCCGCAATGGACTCCAGCGTGGCTTGCGTGCCGAACATAACAATAAGACCCTACCTTCCAGCTTCACCAAGCTGCTGAGTGCGTCTCGCTTAGCTTCCGTCTCCATTGAGGCAATTTCCACTTCTGCCTGCAGCTCCTCGGCGTGCACCTGCTGCTGACGTTCTAGTCCCCTCACTTTCTGCGTGAGCTCTTCGATCACTTCCTCCAAGCCTTGCTTCTCTCTCATTGAGGTCATTTTCGCTGCGCTCATCCACATGTTCTTGTGCTTCTCCTCTTGTAGCTTGCGCGACATGTCAGCAAGCTGATACACCACACCAGCAACAACAACAAAAAACAGCAAGGAAAAGAAATTACGTTAAAGCATTGTTCATGTCAGGTATCTGTAAACCGCCAGTAGGTCAACTCACACAACAGCACAGGGCGCATGCACCAACACAGTGCGTACACATGAGAGGCACACAAAAATAACGTACAGCAACATGAAAGCAGCAGGAAGGCTCAACATCCCCCCCCCCCCCCCCTCGCGACCACATGATGCGGAATACCATTACTGAGCTGCTACACTCGGCCACTTACATCTTTCTCCAGACTTTCAACCTTGCTGCCAGATGCACTGGAACGAGACGAAGACGTCATCTTGCGCTTCAGCTCGTCCAAACGACTTTCGGCCTGTGAGCGAGGGGCAGAACAGTGGGGTTGCACAGTGCAAAGCAAGTCTTATGAAGAAGCATGAAAAGCAAGCGCCGATAACTTAGAACCAATACTACGGTGATATCTGGCTGTGAGGAAATTAAGACCATAGGGCCGAAGTCTATGTATTGTTACGGACCAATGCCTCCTTGTCAATAGGAAATTCAGAGCTTGCGTCATAGATAGGACGGGAAACATCAATACCAGCAGTACATAGTCTGCGGCTCAAAGCTCTTATAAGCGCACTCACTTCCTCGCGTAACTTGATTTCTTCCTCTAAATTGGACTTGACCTGCACGGGAAGCAGAGAAAGCAGAGCAGAGGTTATGGGGAAAGCTCGCACACCAAACACCACTACACGTACAAGAAGACATGCAATCAACTTATGACATCACCACAGAACATGACACCCACACATACACAGCCCAATGACATCATAGCAGAACACGACACACACAAACCCAGTGACATCATCATAGAACATGACACACAACCCAACAATATCATCGCAGAACAACACACAACACAATGATAATCGCAGAATACAACATGCACATGTCACGTCCCAGGATAAGGCAACTGCTGCCTGATAGTCCTGTGACAGCAGGATCTACATAGTGAGCAGCTCTGTGCTGAGCTGTCACGCCCTTTTAGTACAACATGGTTTGGCCAGTGTCTTGTCCCACGTGCTTAGCATGTAGGTTGAGCGACACGCGCTTTCCCACGTAGGTGACATGCCTTCTTGGCATGACACATCATGTGATCCAAGGCCGGAACCTGGTCAGGTAGGTTCTCACGGTGACTTCATGTGCACCAACTAACGACATGGCGTCCTTTCATGCGGTTTACCGCACGGATTTATGAAGTCGGACATATTCCGATTTATTTGCATTAATCGCACAAAATTAGGTACATTTCTCTTGTAAACCCTGTCAGTTTGAGAATTTAGACAAACACCGAACAAATTTTAGCCGCGACGAGGATCGGGAGGAATCCATCATAATTATTTTACATAGCTACTACCATCACGTCGACCGAGTGAAGATCGAAATGATAATGGAGTGGAGAGAAGAAGACCTGAACTAGAGTGCTTGAGAGACTATGTAGTGTCACATGAGAATTGCTTCGTTAGGAAGGCTCTCCTTTTGAATGGAGAAGCCCAACGTCGCTGATTTGCATCGCCGTTTTCAAGCGCTGATCTGCAGTAGGAATGTTTCTGTAAATTATTCGTAGTTGTGGACGTGGATGGATTCAGCGCTCTGTTCTCTCAGCAAGCCTACTCAGTCCAACACGAAGGACTTCCATGAGCGAAACAACGTGCTCCTCGAGCAAGTGCAGCTCGGGGTAATATGGCCAATGCCACGGGAGACCACCTCGTGCCTGCATAAGGCCAAGAATTGATGGCAAGAAATCTTTGATGAGCGCCTTCGACTTCAAGGACGCAATATTATATCTCCTCAGCAGTAACTGCAGCGCTCTTGCTGAAAATATCACTGCAAGCATGCACTAGGCATGATTTAGTGAAGAGCTACTTGTACTAGCGATTGGAGATTTGGTGTTGGCATATCTGCTCCATCATGGTAACTGGTGCGCTTGTCAAGGCAGTGCTGTTTCTGCTGGTGTTTCACAAGCCATATGCGCAGTGAGTAGGAATTTGTTGTATGATAGCTGAGGATCACCAGCCTTCATGGACAAACCTATATTGGGACTGGTTGCTGAACAGTGCACACCTAAATTTCTCAGTAAGCTCTCTTGCTCAGCTGGTGACGAACACTATATACCCGCTGCTTTGGGCTTGCAGCCCCGTCTCCCGACCGTAGACCGATCGAAAGGCTGTCACGGTCCTGTGACCATCGGCGTACAGTTGACACTGATGGGGCATCGGATAAAGTGCTGGCGTCAGTAATTCTCTGGTATACCTGGAATCTACATCTACAGCTGGTTTCGACTTCCAGCCATCCTTCGCTAGTTATGCTTGTGACTATCATGCCAGCAAGTCGATCAGCAGCATCACCTCGCATCTTTGATGGTGAGGCCTGCAAAACGTCACCGACCAGTGACGATGCTCAAATAGGGCACCCTACCAGAGCTGGCGCAGTGTATGGTGCAGTCTTTCTTGAATCCATAAACTATGCTGTTTGGCTGCTGTAGCTCTGACGCTTGCGTGTGTGCCTTACATTAAGGACAGCGGGCCGTCTGCTCTAGCCATTTGCCAATGCATGCACGGCTGAACGTCTACCAGCAAGCTGCAAACACTTCTCTCCCTACCTGTGACATAGTGGACATTGTGCGTGTGTTATTGCATTCCTATCTGAACTGTTCTGGATGCAGAGATTTACCCACTAAGCCCTAGAGAAATATGAATAAATACTATACTACTACTACTATTACTAAACTTGGTATGCGGGTGTGACGTGCTGCTGCTCATCAGATTCGGTCCATGCGACGCTCGTGTTTTTAGTTTTGTTATTTTGTCTTCCTTTTTTCAATTCGTAAACTGAACAGACTAAACTATCCAGTGATCAGGTACTGGTGTGGTGGGGCGAGGTTTTGTTGGTGATGCTGCTGTCAGTGGTGGCGGCGTGCATGTGCTCGTGCTTGCGGGCGATGGCCCGCGTTTTCTCCCATGCCGCAAGTTTGTCTTGCGTTTGTGTTTTGCATTTGGACTTCCTGCCAGGCTTGGAAGACTTGCATTTCAAACAGTTTGTCCCACTGTGTGGCTCCCAGTCTTTGAACGGTGTACATCCACCTCTGGAGCTCCAGAGAATGTTGGGCCCCTGGCAGTAGCAGTGCATTAAATGGCCAATTTGCAAGTGTGGTAAAAAAGTTCAGGGTGTATTTGGTTTCATCCACATTGAGATGAAACACTGCCAAAATGGATTGAGTATGATCTGCCACACGATACTTCGTCCGTCCACTCCTTGACGCGAATTTCTCCCCTCCAATACGACAACACGACGACAGGAAGCTAACATGAGCCTCCATTTCTGAACAAAATAACGTCTCTAACATGGCCACGAAAAGCTACAGTGATGCACGTCAAGCTTAGGAATACACAAAATCGAAAGGCTAGGACATCGAGGTATACTAGAAAATTGTCTGCGAGGCGGAGAAAATTCGCTGACGAGGTTGGTGAGCCCTTGAAATCGAGCGACGATCCAAAAATAATTGCACCCACGTCGAGAAAGAAACCATGCGTAGCGCGTGGGTAACCCAAAAAGATCGCTCGAGCGGCGGCACAGTCGAAGGCAAGGCCAGTCCAAGCTCTAAACTCTATCGAATGACCTGGCAAACACCCGTGGTTTCGGTTGACCTTGCCCGTTTGAGATGGAAGTCGAGCGAAATTGCAAACATACGACTAGGCCAGATCGCGTAAAAAATGAAAAAGATTAAAATTTGGCCGCCATATTAAATGAACGCGCTTCGCATGCATGGGACAGCCGTGTTCTCGCGTTGTACGTTTCCTGGAAGTGCTTCACTTCCTGGAAATGTGACTCCAGGCTTTGTGCAAAACCACGTCACTACGACGTTCTACAGGTTTCCACGATGCCTCGGTGCTTCGTGCAAAGAGCCAAGACTAATATGACATTGTATATCAAGAGCTAAGTGCAAGGCAGGAGACGTGTGCAAGAACCAAAACCGTCACCGCGCAAGAGGTCAGAGTATCACGCAAGCAAGACCAAGAATGCAGCAGAACTTACCATAAGAAGCCGCTGAACTATGGCACGTTGGGTGAGCGGGCTCCCCAACGTGACCCTCATATACTCACATTGTACTCTGACGTGGGTGAGCGGGCTCCCCACGTCCCAATTTGGTCTTTCTTCTCTCGATGTCTTTCTTTCTCTTTCTTCTCGAATGATCACCGTACGTATATTCTGCATTTCTGCTGACTGGCTAGCTGCGCACATTCCGGTTTGACTTGTTCTGCTATTTCCTGGAATTACCTCGCCATGATCACGCCATTATATCTCTGAAGCACCCTATAAAAGAAGCTCTCATTCTCTCTTTTACTTCAGTTTTAGTCTAGTCTAGTCTGGTCTAGTCTAGTCTAGTCTAGCAGTCGAGACTCGGTCTCAGCTCTCTGTCTTCGTTTACTTTGAGCTCGGATTTGATACTACTCACAACGTAAAACTAACAGTCTCTGTCTGTTGATCGTGTGGGGTTGAACTTGGACCAAGCCAGCTATATTGGTTGGCCCCTGGGTTGTGTTGGGCTTGTCGTGAGGCCACACGTCTATATTCAGTCGCCGCTCGTAGTGATTTCGGGGTCCGGTCACTCTGAGCCAGGGACGCGACATTTGGTGCTGTGACCAGGATGGTCTAAGTTCTCCTCACTCCGTAACTGCAACGACGCGATGTCCACAGCAGTCTTTCGTGAACAACCTCGTCTCTGATGGCAGGTTCTTGGCGATAGACGTGGCAGAGCAACAGCAGTGTTGGACGCTCCAACTTGGTACGAAGAAAACTCCGAGTGCGTTTCTCTTTCGCATCCAGCACTGGCTTTCGTTCCGTATCTCGTGTTCCTGTAGCGCTGCAGTGCGAGTTCGTAGTGCACGACGAGCTTGCTTTGCTGCGGACTACATGGCGGACACCAAGGTGCGAAATTTATTGTCAGTTGCACGATCGATCGAGGAGTTGTTTGCATTCATGCAGTTCTCAAGTACGAGTGCAGTGCGCGTTTGTTCAGCTTCAGATATGGAAGGGTTCGTGAACCCGTGTACCATGTGAGCCGTAAACAGGGCTTGGGTCCTCTTTACGGAGCGTTGTGAAAGTAGTCACTACGACTGGATCACGGAGTAGTGCAGTGTAGTTTTCAAGTTTCGACAAGAAAACGCCACTGTTCGGACATGGTGTTTGTTGAGACCGCTTGAAGCTCTTGAAGCTTGACAAGTCGTCTCTTCAACGATGAGGCCTTACTGACATTCGAACTCAGTTTGCTCTCAGTCGCGAGTGCTGTTTGAAGACGCGGTTGTTTCATGGCTGAAACGATGGGAGGATGCAGACCACGTCGTTGGTTGTGGACGAATTCAAATCTCGTTCTGCGTGTCCATGCACCAGACGAAGATTCGCCGAGTGTGACGCCCAGCTTTGGTGCTGGTGGAAGCAGTTTTATCTGCGAATGCTCTTGACGATCATGTCGCGAGGATGGAGAAGTTCTGACCTTGTTGTCGACCTTCATTCTCCAGACGTTCTGTTTGTGAAAAAAAAGTTTGTGGAGAGGATGGCCGGACAGTACATGACCTACTAGTATGTGCTGGAGTGTATACTCGTTACTCTTCGCGGTCCTTGTCCTTGATGGGAGTTGACCAGTTTCCTGCGGAAGGAACTGTGTCCTGTGAAAGTGTGATGTTGATGGGTGCCTTTGCATCCGCAACAAATGACTGAACTGTGCACCGGTTCGGGTTGTGTACTGCTCAGAGGAGTCAGTTGGTCTCTGTGGATGAGGCGCCCGGATCGGTCAGTTGTAGCCAATTTCGGTTGGTGGTGATGAGCTTGCGTAGTGAGCAACGCGTTACGGAGAAGGGGACGGTGGTGACCATACAGGCCAGGATGGGATTCCTGGGGCCGAAGAAGTATGGTCTGCGCTTCATATAGGACGAGGTCCTAGAACTGAAGTGGAAAGGCTGTGGTGGGAGAGGATGATTTGGATCTGGATCCCACGAGCACAGTGTTGGCTGATCAGGGGACGCCCTGTGTCGAGGAGCCTGGTAGGCGAGACTCATCTGGGGATGATGAGTTGTTGCGAGTGAGGTCCCAATTTGCTCGTTACCGGATGGATTTTACTACGAGCTCTTTACCGATCTGGTTTCACAACTGTGTAGCACCATCGGATTGAGTGAATGCTTTATGTGCCTGGCACCTGGCGAGGAATTGTATTTTCTCGTGAGCAGTCAGTGATATTGTTCAGTCGTATGAGCCCGATACGAGTGATATGCTGTATTCGGCTGATGACATGGTGTTCGCACCAAAACCTGTGGTGGATTGGACTTGCATCCTGCAACTCCAGTTGACTTACCTATTGTATCCGTCGCGGAGCCTGGTGGATGACACTGGCAACGTCGCGGTATCTCACCGACTACCATATCGGTCGAGGATAGTCACGGGGACGTGATTCTTCAACGGCGGGGGAAATGTCACGTCCCAGGATAAGGCAACTGCTGCCTGATAGTCCTGTGACAGCAGGATCTACATAGTGAGCAGCTCTGTGCTGAGCTGTCACGCCCTTTTAGTACAACATGGTTTGGCCAGTGTCTTGTCCCACGTGCTTAGCATGTAGGTTGAGCGACACGCGCTTTCCCACGTAGGTGACATGCCTTCTTGGCATGACACATCATGTGATCCAAGGCCGGAACCTGGTCAGGTAGGTTCTCGCGTTGTACGTTTCCTGGAAGTGCTTCACTTCCTGGAAATGTGACTCCAGGCTTTGTGCAAAACCACGTCACTACGACGTTCTACAGGTTTCCACGATGCCTCGGTGCTTCGTGCAAAGAGCCAAGACTAATATGACATTGTATATCAAGAGCTAAGTGCAAGGCAGGAGACGTGTGCAAGAACCAAAACCGTCACCGCGCAAGAGGTCAGAGTATCACGCAAGCAAGACCAAGAATGCAGCAGAACTTACCATAAGAAGCCGCTGAACTATGGCACGTTGGGTGAGCGGGCTCCCCAACGTGACCCTCATATACTCACATTGTACTCTGACGTGGGTGAGCGGGCTCCCCACGTCCCAATTTGGTCTTTCTTCTCTCGATGTCTTTCTTTCTCTTTCTTCTCGAATGATCACCGTACGTATATTCTGCATTTCTGCTGACTGGCTAGCTGCGCACATTCCGGTTTGACTTGTTCTGCTATTTCCTGGAATTACCTCGCCATGATCACGCCATTATATCTCTGAAGCACCCTATAAAAGAAGCTCTCATTCTCTCTTTTACTTCAGTTTTAGTCTAGTCTAGTCTGGTCTAGTCTAGTCTAGTCTAGCAGTCGAGACTCGGTCTCAGCTCTCTGTCTTCGTTTACTTTGAGCTCGGATTTGATACTACTCACAACGTAAAACTAACAGTCTCTGTCTGTTGATCGTGTGGGGTTGAACTTGGACCAAGCCAGCTATATTGGTTGGCCCCTGGGTTGTGTTGGGCTTGTCGTGAGGCCACACGTCTATATTCAGTCGCCGCTCGTAGTGATTTCGGGGTCCGGTCACTCTGAGCCAGGGACGCGACACACACAACCCAGTGACACAGCCCATGGTGGTACAGTACATGATCACAAGCAGCACTTACTTCTTGCAGTGTTTGCAGCTGCAGGCGCAGATTGCCTATCTCGCGTTTCTGATCCAAGTTGTGCGCTTCAAACTCCTGACATGCTGTCTCCTGCACAGACCACAGTCAACGGGGAAACATCACAAGAACGTATTTTTGCACGATCATCTACAAGTACAGTGGAACCTGTCCAAGACGACCGCTCAAGGGACTTTCAAAGTGTGGTCTCTGTAACCAGGTGGTCTCCTTATCCAGTGCCATTAGACTGGAAATAGCATCCCTTGGTCCTGGCTGCAGTGGTCTTCTGGGACAGGTGGTCACCTTATCTGAGTGGTCGCCTTGCCAGGTTTTACTGTAGTTCTAAGCCAGCAAGTTAACCCTTTGTATCCTTTACAGTAAAATCATGAACACGTATACAAAGAGACATTCTTGCCGAGACCTATCAAGAACACATGCACTGCGGGTCTCACCTTGGTAGCCACCTCTGCAGTGAGCTGAGTTTTGCGCTCTTCCAGCGTCTTGATCTTGGTGTCCTGGTCGCGGGACAATGTCTGCAGGCGCTTCAGCTCAGCAGAATCAGCACCACCGCTGGCTCCTCTCGCCCCATGCGCATCGCCCTAAGCAAGTAAACCGGCGAAAGCAGCCAAGACTAGTTTACCTCTTGACACCGATACATAACCATGTAGGGCAAGCCAACACCAGTGCCGCTCGGCAAAGCTCATTGTTACAAACGGCATGAAAGTCGTGATGCAGACTCGGCCTACCTCTTTCGCTCCACTCTTTACCCGAGACTTGAGTGTTCTGCACACGCACAATCACATCAGCAGGAAGAGGCATTAGCCATACATGTAAATCCCAAGGTAAACATGCATACATGCACACATTCTGTATAAGAGGAAAACAGGAACAAAAGAAAGTGCCCCCCCCCCCCCCCCCTCCCCACACACACCTTTCCCCGAAGCAAGCAAGCCACATCCCAATACAGCCACATTCTCAACACCTCGCAATCTCCCTGCACAGGTGCGGAAATTTAAGTGAATATTTTAAAAGCCACCCGGCACGATGGTATGCTGCTGATGTACGAATTAAAAGGTGGATACAGCTGGGGCTGCTGCATGAGCAATATCACATCAACATATCCTGTGCTATGATACAATAGAATTTGTGAATGTGCTGAACTTCCTATACATGTACATGTAAGTACTAGGCAAGGCACTGTCTGGCCAGGACTGTCTGGCACTGTCTGGCCAGGACATTAGCATCAACAAAAAGCACTAATGATCGAAAACAATCTCCCCGTGTGCAGTAAGCACTAATGCAAGGCAGGTCCAGCACATTGGCAGTAACCATGGTGATAGTGCAGTGCTTACAGGCACATGTGATCCTTGTTGAAGAATGTGAAGCCAATGAACGGGAGCTGGTCACCGGAGAAGTTCTGTAGGAAGTCCGCACGGCAACACCAAAACACAGACAGGTTTTTGACACGTGCCCACCATGCATAATACAACACCAACAAGTTGTATTGTCATACCATCGTTTATACACTTTGGGTCATGTATTCACACACACATGGGAGATGTGCGTGTGGGTGTGTATTGAGGGGAGGGGGAGGGGGTCCATAATGTTATTTAAAAGTTGCAACAAGGCTAGGCAGACAGGTACACACGCATGCTGCACAAACACGGGACAGAAGTAACACAGCTCTGGCAGACACATGTAGTCCCATTGAACGGACAACACAGCACTGTAGCTAAGTGCACCGGCGGCGCTTACCCTTGGTGTCTGCAGGGTCTTCTTGCTGCCATCTTCCTCGTCCATATCATCAAAATGCCGCGTATCAATGTCACCGGAGAGTTCTGGAACCACCGGTGCCACGGCTGAGAAAACACAACACAAATCACGACGTAAAGCAATTTCTTATTCTTGTTGGAACTAGCTCTGTCTTTCGGTATTGAGCGCTCTATTGGACAGCCTGGAACTTCTCTGTTTTTTAAAGCAATTTCACTGTGTGAGTTGCAATAAATGTGCTGTGCGGTTTTCAACTCGGGCAGGAAAGTTTCGACTGTGAAGTTGATCTTCCAGTCACATTGTGTGTGCACTTTCGTGTGACGCATTCTGGGATACTGACTTTTAAAGTCCCGGATGTGGCTTCAGACTCCTTGTACAATCAGACATACTACAGACGTACCCCTGACTACTTTGAAGCAGGTGTGTACTTAGTTGTTCATGATAGACTTACAAAAGTAGACCGTAGCACATTTCGGGATCGGTCACCCAGACCATAGCCTACAGCGTACATACTGAAGTACATTAAAACTATGTTACCCGCTGCGTTTGGTAAACCCACTTCACATTAGCCGAGGTTCTCATTACGCTTCAAGATACTACAATAAATACAAAATGCAAATTGTGAAGACGAGAACATGTTGACTAACACTGTCTGATGTTATCCCAGTTCCAGTCTTCATCGTGCTGCATGAACGGCTCGGCTCGAATGTCGTCAGGTGACTTCGTACCCAGTCGAGTATCTCTGCAAAGCAGCATGCACAGAGCACACGCATTGTAACATCACACGGAGAGACAGAATTTAAAAAAAAATAGTCCAAATCAGGTAATGCAAGGTGTGTATCACCAAGTCAATCCGATCTACATGCACGCTTGAACTAGGGTTAAAACGAAGGCAGGTTTGTGCAAACAAATCGGTAGCAGTGCCAGTACAAAGGTGGCATTTCATCACACAAAAGTTGCACGCGACGCGCTGATAGCAGCCATGGGCATGCACAGGACCATGCACTCGTTTATCCGGAACCTGAAGCTTCAAACCTAATGCAACGGCACGTACAAGTACTAGCGTCAGCATGCAATGTGCTGCACTTACGCATGCAATGTGCTGCACTTACGCATCTGACAAGAATCTTCGGATCATGGCCTTGGCCTTATCTGATACTTCGAACTCGGGTGAAAACTTCAGCGACGTCTTGTAGTTAGCAATGTTTCCTGAGGCAAAACATATCATTGTGACAAGCAAACATTGAAGTCAGGGTGAAGCATTCAGAATGCAAAGTGCCCTCAGTAAAAGGTATATGAACTATGACATGTGTTGTGTCAACAAGAATGAAGAGACAATGAACAAAGTATGTTTTCAGCCAATCCCATACATACTGGTATGCATTCTTATCAAGAAAGGGGTAGATGTAACTGTAAAACTTGGTTCTTCCAAAAAAACAAAAAAGGCAGTAGTGACGTTACTTGATTGCTTTCACTTACGATACAGTTGAAGTATGGTCTCGTTGGCAAATGGAGTTTCCTCTGTCAATGAAAATAAACAACAAATGAAGCATTGCGCACACATACATGTACATACATCATACGCCCACACATGCAGCAAACAAAGAAACACACCATCAGTACTACCAACATTGCTAGCACCAGCACAAGCAACAGAAAGTCCTCGAAATCATTCGTAAAACGGCTGGCATGGGAGTAGTTCTCGTCACAAGATATGCTTTCCTACATGATTTGTTCTCATGCATCACAGGATCATTTGTTGCACAGGATATGCTATCAAGCACACTGACGTCAACTCATGTAATAGCAGGATGTAAACTTCAAATTGGTGATGAACAACTGTGCTCATGCTAGCAGTATACATGTATAGCAAATCACACGGAAAGGCTGTTCAAACTAACTTTTGTCAGCTACAGATCTAGCCAGATGATCCCACAGCCACACAGTCACACGGTCACACAGTCACATGATCACATCGTCACATGATCACATCGTCACATGATCACACTGTCATAATCACACAGTCACATGACCACACATTCACATGATCACACAGTCAGAACATTGCACTACACAGCAGCATACCATAGAGCATCTCGTAAAGAAAGACGCCGACAGACCAGAAGTCACACTCCTTCCCATAGCAACCATTGCCGTTCTGTGACTGCAGCACCTGCAAGTTACACCATCACAAGCCAAGTAGAGTAAAACATACTGCTAATCCGTCATCTCAGGACCCTGGCCATGCCCCCACCGTCATACATTCAGACCTATTGAAAGTGCTGGCTTTTAAGACCGGTTTTCTGTGCACCCTGATCATGAATTAGGGTAGTCGCTAAACTCATGTAGGAACGTAGAGCATACGCACAGCAAACACACACACACACACACACACACACACACACACACACACACGCACGCACGCACGCACGCACGCACACACACACACACACACAAGTTGATGCGCACCCACAATGAGTCTCATGCACATAATGACACGTCCTATCAGATCATGTCAAACATGCACACACGGAGGGCACGCGCGCAGTGCTTGGAGAACAGCCAATAGCAATGTTCTGCAGACCCATTCACCAGCAGAGTCCCATTGTGATGTGCATGGCCAAACAAGGAGACCTGCAAGGCTGCAGTGCATACTTACCTCTGTGATGTGCATGACCAGACATGGAGACCTGCAAGGCTGCAGTGCACACTTACCTCTGTGATGTGCATGACCAGATATGTAGACCTGCAAGGCTGCAGTGCACACTTACCTCTGGAGAAATGTAGTCAGGTGTGCCTACAGCAGACTCAGCATGTACCTTTCCATCCTGCAATGAGGTAAGGTCACATACAAGTACCAGATCAGCACATGAGACAGGCAGGACACAGCAAAGCAGTCAGCACACAAATCCAGACAGGACAGGACAAAATCTGACGACTGGCTAAGAATCCAATATCAAACTATATGAACGCTGATACTTTTTTGCAAGTTTTTACAGGGGCGTAGCAGCCAGTCCAACCGGTCCGGCTTTGGCCGGACCACTTTTTTTAACACAATGCCAAAAGTGCCCAGAATGCAGGATTTTGCACCCTAATTTCAAAGTTTTCCCAGGGAGACCCCCTCCGGTTGGACCACCTCCAATGGTGGTGCTACGCGCCTGTTTTATTGTATTCAAATGGTCTAGCTGGTGTAACAGGTGGTTGCACATCCTGCATGCAGCCCATAGAGCACCCTCCAATCAGGAAACACAGAATACCTTGCCCATCTTGACCGAGGTGCCAAAGTCGGCCAGCTTCAAGTGCCCGCTTTTGTCCAGTAGCATGTTGTCGGGCTTGACGTCCCGATGCACAAATCCCATGCTATGGATCTTGTCCAGCGCCAGGCACACCTCTGCTGTGAAGAACCTTGCCCAAGACTCGCTGATGTCATACTCTGCCATTAGGTTCACCAGGTCGCCGCCTGAACAGCACATCACATTCAAAGCACAGACGTGAAGTTCAATCAACCTGTACCTCACGAATATATCAGCGACACATTCAAGTCCCTAGCTCATTTACGTGGTGCCAGTGCCGTGACATAGCCTGAGATGCAACTGGCACTCACAAGTACAGTCAGACCTCGCTTATCCGGTCCTATTTTATCCGGATCCCTTGTCATCCGGAAGAAAACTGTTGGTTGCCGATTTACAGCACATGTCATGCATACATGCAGTGTGTGTGTTCGATTATCCGGTTCCCTCGCCTATCGATAGTATACGGATTTTTTTGTGGAAAACGAACGTGCGCGGCTAAGGGAGGTCTGACTGTACCCGGATCAGGACATCACATGCTACAGTTGTACATGGATACGGATGCCTCAAAAAGGAAAGGATGATATAAACAACTGGCTTAGAAATAGCCACTCGTATTTACTTGAAACTACGTCCTTAGCCTCTCACCTGGCATATACTCCATCACCATGTATAAATACATAGGGTCCTGAAATGCAAAGAAGAGCTGCATAGATAGACACAAAACAGACATCAATCATACATACATGTGAAGCACATTACATGTATAGTGCACTATTATACCCACACTGGAATGAACTCATGTGAATACAGGACGGTCATGCAAAGAGGCGTCAGTAACAGTCCGGAATCAGTGCGAGATTCTAACGAATAATTATCATTACTTACCTTCACAATCCATTCGCTGTCTGCTTTGGCCATGATGTCACGCTCTTCCCAGAAGAATGCAGAGTCCGACCGCTCGATCTGTTCCCAGGGCAGGAAAACAACAACATGACATTTTATCAGATATCGTCAATGAGACAAAAAATGGGCTACCTTTAACCATTGTGGCATTGTCATTGGGAACAAAACCGAACTTACAACTTTCCTGGGCATGCTTTACAAAACATGCACTTACCAACAGAATAAACGCTCCGTCTGGGTTCAAGTAAGTGCGCAGAAGTGAGTATAAATAGCTGTCCAGAAATCCCACCGTCATTCTCCCGGTTTTATTCGCTCTCAGGTATCTTCGTCTGTCACTCTACCAAAAGCTAAAACTCGTTTCCGTCTCTTTTCAGTTTCTTTCATCGGTTCCGACCGTTGGAATGCACTCCCCGCCGCAGTCCGCTTATGCTCTTCACTGCACCTATTCCGTAATTCAGTACTTTCATTTCTAGGGTACCCTGTAAGAAGGCCTTAGGCCTGTGGGGATTGCCCTATCAAAAATTTGATAATAATAATAATTATTATTATGAGACCACTGACACGAAGTAGAAGCGTACATAATCATAATCTCACCATTTGCAGCTTGCTAAGCATCTTCATAGCAAATACCTGTTTTGTAGGCGTATGGCGTACCTGAAAAATAGAAAACATCATTTCATACGAAATAACACATACATTGTAATACCTTCAATATCATGTTCACAGGTGAACAGGTGAACAAAAGAGGACGGACCTGAATGTAGAGAATGTAGAGAATGTAGACGGACAATGTAGAGAATGAACCCACTGAGTCACAGCATGGAATGCGCATGACCGTACAACTAGGGCTGCAGTCCGTCCCCCCCCCCCCCCCTCCACATGGGAGCTGGCATTAACCTCCCCCCCCCCCCCCCCCCCCCAGTGCAATGAAAATGGCCATACAGCTTAGCAAGCACCGCATGTATGATAAGCACCTAGAACTAGTATGAGCGGCAGAGATTACACAATCATAGGGTGGATTATTATTATTATTGTTCGTACAGTGTACAGTGTTGGTATGCATGCACACATTCAGCCGGTACTATACTAGGAGTAGGACACTGTCTGACTTGGGCAATACACCATCAGAAGGATGAGTGGTGATGGTTAATTAATCCAATCAAAGCTTTCGGCAGGCAATTTCCTGTTTATGTGCATTGGAATGTCGCACCACATAGGATGACATAATCATTGGACATCAAGTTGAAGGACCAAATATTGACCTAACCTACAACTGACCGGCAGTGTAGGGCTACCCAGGTCTACCCGGCCATAGTCAATAGTGCTGACAGTGCGGAGGTAGGATGAGTGCTGTGTACAGGTCCCAGGCCCTGGTCGTTACTTCTGTCATGCGTGCAACTCTCCGCTCACTTCCACCAAACTAAGGGCAGCCATTGTTTACCCAGTGCATTGCTGTTTCATGAAAGCAACTGTATTCTCGGGTACTGGTAGATCTACTACTATCTACTACAGTCGTCCCTCTCTAATCCGGCACTTGTTAATCCGGAACCCTTGCCAACCGGCGCACTTTCTGACGAAACCGATTTTTTTTGTTCAATTCCTACATCTTGATCCGGCACTTGAATTCCGCCTCCGGCAGTGACTTTTTGAAACGAATCGCTCAAACTGCACGTAGTTTGATTTCATAATCCGGCAGTCGTAAATCGCGTACCGTACAGGTGCACTCCTTGCCAGGCCAGGCTAGGCCAGTCTGGTCAATGTTGTCCAGGAGACAACGGCAGTCAACCATACTTCCTTATTTTAGCAAGGAGTAGTGTCCTGCCAATTTTCAGGTGTGTGTGTGTGTGTGTGCGTGTGTGTGCAAGAGTACATGTGAACATGTTCTCTGTTTTACTTTATCACTTTATCACTGTGTATATTCCTGGAGAACAATTGAGAATATAAAGCCGTGCACCAAATACTTGGGTCGACACGGAAAAGCCCTGCGTTTTGACGTACATATGATACATGCATGCAATTGGGTAGGGCCGGGTCAGAGGGCAGGATTTCTTAATCCAGCACCCTCGTTAATCCAGCAGAAAACGCCGTAGCAAAAGGTGCCGGATTAGAGAGGGACGACTGTACTACTAGAGCCGGGCATGCAGAGCAATGCCATGCCCAGGGCATCATACCGGGATAGGTGGACTTAGGAGTGCCCACTGAGTACTCATGTTACGTGTACAACAATAGCGTAACAATAGTGTAACATCAATTCAATCCTGGACTGGGTTTGTGATCTTGGCTATTCGCAATGAATCACGGTAGTACTGTAGTACTGTAAGTGGTGAGTGCCTAGCTTGGCTCCTACCTAGATGGACTAATCGGTTGTTGCTTATAGCCACTTATACACACAATGTCAAAATAGTACTGTTGCACAATCTACTGACAATAACCAGGTGCCAACTAACTTGGATTCCTAGCTAACTAGATACTGCAGTGATATCACTAGTCTTTATCACTATTGGCAGTATTGCAGTGCTCAGTGTTTCATAGACTACTACAGTACTAGTTCTACAATTCAATTGCCAGTGCAGCATCTAAAGCTAGTTCTGTAAAAGGCAGTCAGATGTGTGGGCCTTGACTTGAGTCAATCAGCCAGTGCCTCAGATCACATTAATCATTATTTTGGCCAGCAGGTCAAGCAGCATAGCCATGCACTGTTGAGCTGGACACACGCCCACCCACAGTGCTGGAAACAATGACTGGAAGAGTGATGGTACAAAGATAAGGTTAGCAGGATGATTAGCAAGAGCTAAGTAAAAATTAGTTGTGTCCCAGCTTGTCATATTTGTCATACTACAGTCTACACCATCACCATCCCAGCATTACTGTAGCACTATGACTACAATCCGTCAATCGACATGCTTCACTGACAGTCAGACTATTAGTACTACTTCACCACTGCCACTGCCCACTGGTATGGCACATTGGCAGTGCTAGTGGAGAAGAGATAAACAATGATAACACCAGCGTTGAATCTGTCCCATCATGCACGACATACATGTCACACAGACGGTGTCATGAACGGCCATGTACACGCATGTACACTTCCCTGTCCACTGACCGGTGACCCGCGTATCCAAACAATGAGCTCACGTGCCCCGATACTGAAGGACACGCATTTTTCAACGGAAACGATCCCACGACCATCCTGACGGCAAAACGGCGTCGAAAGAGAATCAGCGGATGAGCGAGTGAGAGGAACAAATCGGCACACCGACAAGTACGCCAGATCAGCCGCGCCAGCACAAATCCGGAGAACTCAAAACTCTCACGATGCACGGATGGTGATCAGATGATACACCTCCTTGTCCGATACACTCACACAAGCAAACACTTGTAACATTCAGTATGTGAACTAACTATTTCCCCAGAAACTAGGCGAAACAGGGGACGACGCAACACGACACAGTGATTGCCCGTGAGCAGTGGGATGGCGTTACAGACAAGCGCTACGCGCGGTAGGGACTCGAAGTCGAACATCTAGATTCTAGTAGGTGCCCAGCGGATCTCCTGGCAGACACAACACCAGCTACTACTAGTACTAGCAGCTATCAAGGAACAGCACTAGTGCACAGCGGAACAATGTCAGGCTGACACACACACACACACACACACACACGCACGCCAGGGCAGCCAGTAAAAATGTAAACTGTTTAGTGCTGTGCCAGTCCCAGTAGCCATGACGGGGGAAAGACGGTCCCCGGGGCCCCGATAATCCACTCCCTTGGCTTACGAATGACGAAATACGAACACAAGGCAGTGGTGGGTATAAGCCCAGGATAGTGACACTACAGCAACAGCAACACCAGCAGTTTGCCTCACTTTCTCCTTACCAATTGCACCTCGCCGAAAGCACCCCGGCCGATGACTTTGATACATTTGAAATCATCCTTGGACAAGCGGGACTCGCTAATTGCCTTCACCGGTTCGACATCTAGTCGGCAAAGCAAGGGAATTGACACACATCACAGTCAAGCTTGGAAACCATCTATAACTAATAGAACTTCACACAAGACACGAAGCAAAGGACACCGAGACCTTGAGTACTACCTGACTTTCCTTACTAAGGTGGTGGCAAGGAAAACGCAATGTGAATCATCACTGAATGGCGTGGTACGTTGTAGGTAAACAGTTGCAATTTATTTGATAAACAACTCGATGAGGCACTACATCATGTACTTTGCTTGACAATAACCATAATGACTATAATGACTATAATGATCAGCAGCACATGCACGACTCACAGCGATCCAAGAAGTTCTGAACATTCTTATTCCGTTTGAGACTTGGCAAGTCACAATCTTGCACCAAAGCTGCGATGGAATCCTGCCAGTCACACAAATCAGCATCATCACCACCACCATCAGCCGCAGCAGCAGCACCAGCAGGAACATCCATCACGAATGGATGAGAACATACAAAACACGCACACAGAGAAACAAGAGAGACAACATGCAGAGAAAAGCGAGACAGAGAAAGGAAGAGAGAAAAGAGGTCGGCCAATATTTATCTACTGGCAATTCGACCAAGAGCAAAATAGCCTAACCCAGCGTATCTATCACTGCATGCCATTACTGACTGCCATTCGACTGCACCAAGCATGAACAGAAGATAACTGTGCTCAACCAGCATAGTCGGTTCACGTCCAAACTAGAGCCACCTGCTTATTATCACGGTTGCCCAAAGCTAGCGGTAAGCAACTACACTGTAGTTAGCAGGACAGGCTTACAAGGAGGGCATCGGCATGAAGAAGGGATTCCGTATCCACAACCTTCTCGTACAGACCCGTTAGTCGATCGTCCAGTGGCTCCGCGCCACCGCCGCCAATGGCCTTCGAGGCCATAGCGACTAGCTGCTTACGACGTGGGCAGCGCACAGATTTCGTGCAGCAGCAGTGCAAGCGACAGCGACAAGCGACGCATCAGCAAGGAAGGCATTCAGGATTTGTAACTTTGTACAGCACCCAGTCCGTCATCACACACAACAGGGTCACATAGGCGAAGTACAAGGACACTACAGTAGATAGACTACAGTACATGTAAAAAAGGCACAAAAAAAAAGCAGAGAAGCAGTCTGTGCTCCGCGAATCCGGTAGTAGGTCTACGGCGGTAGCAGTCGACTACAGTACGTGTTGTGCACACAGCCAGTTGAACCAAGACTACAGTCATAATTATTATTTTAATAACCATGATAACTCCCCTACTTGGTTGAACCCACCAATCCATAGATATATCTACGTGCGTGCTGCACTAGTCTACAGTGTAGTACAGAGTACAGTACAGCTATGAGTCTGACTGACCTGTACATGTCATTTTGGTAGTACAGAACTGATACAAAAGAGTCGTCTGTGAACCGTGAAACTGGATAGGAGGTATGCGGGAACGCACGAAATCATGTCAAAGAAGTCTCCTCGTCGACGTCGTGCCGATGATCGACCCTCAGATCTGCAGAGAAAGTCAGGCTTTGGCTCTTTGCACTCGCCGCTGCGCGGATCGAGCGGACAGACTGCATAGCAGCTGTACTGGATCATGTACATGGTGTGGAGTCTGGGTGACGTCGTCATCCTCCTTCTACATGATGCGTAGAGTAGAGAGAAGCCGTGAACGTCATCTGTAGATCTACGTCTACGATCGATCGAGCCGTAGATCTACATGATGTACAACCAGCCCATTACATACATGCACGGCCACGTACACGGTACAGTAGTAGATCTACTCACTAGATCTACTTCTACACGTACTCGATCGCATATGCGTATATGCACGCACGCGAGGACAATAATTTAATTATTTTTGTTTTTGAAGAACACATGTTTTTTTCTTGTTGTTTCCAATCACGATCAAAAGGATCTTTCCAGTTTCATTACCGGTAGTCGTTCAGCATGACCGAGGCTAAAATGGAGGCAAAGAAGCAGAAGCGAATGGAGTAAGAGTACTTTGAAAGGCTGTGCAATCAAATGAGGTTGTTGGGTGCTCATAAATATATATTTTGTAAAATTTGTCGTTCAGGTTTTTGAAAGAGAAAAGGAATAAAATGAAAGCATCAAGGGCTGAGACAAAAGGTAAATGTTACTGGTTTGTTTGCTTGCTTGTCTTCATCATTGCATGAGGATTGGACATTTAGAACAGTGGATTTCTTATCGTCGCTACAAGGATGGTTATCTGCCTAATGACGTATGTGTAGTAGAATCATGATACTATACTCAGACAGCAATGACACAACCAAGTCGTTACTCAGAGTTTCGTGTTAAGAAACACTCATCAGGCAGCATGATGGTATGGTAGTAGAATTATAAAATCGTAAAATAGGGAAGATGTTTTCAAAGTTTTCACCCTCCAGCATGGTCATTTTCTCTTACCTGAGTCCATTATGCTGGTTCCTGTCTCTTTACGGAAATACTGGGATGCAGCAGCGAGATTCTGCTTTACGTGAATTGTAGAAAATCTCGGGAAGAAAATGTGCCCGGGTTAAGAGTCTGCGTCTTCGCATGTTCGGCGTAGGATTCCTATGCAGATATGAAGCTCTCTACGCCCCGGGGACTAAAGTAATCAGTACTAGGGATACAGTGAAACCTGGTTAAGCGACCACCCCACAGTGCAAGCAAAAGCGGTCGTTAAAGCCAGGTGGTCTTTAGAACCAGGTCCCACAGTGTCTGTGTAGAGAAAAACGGTCGTTAAGAGCAGGTGGTTGCTTAGGCCGCGGTCACACCGAGCCCGACTCAGCCATTCAGCCAAAAAAAGTGCTTTTTTCGGCTGAGGTTTCCACGGAAACGGCTGAAATTCGGAGCACCAGCCACTTTCAGCTTTCAGCCCTTTCGGGAGCGCTGAAAAGCTGAAAGTGGCTGAATAATTTTGGCTGAAGTGCAAGAGGCGTTGAAGAACTTGAGTTGACGTTTGTTGTAGTCAGGTAGTTTCTTCTTCTCTTGTATTGTAGTTGTGTGAAGTGTTTGAAGGTTTTCGTTGTCAGCCATGGATAGTTGGAGCTTGGGACTGGAGCGCCGATTGCTCGAGCTGTGGTACGAAGCAAAACTCCCTGGGAACACTCCCTGGGAAACACTCCCTGGGAAAGCCAGTGCAGTGTCACTGCCAGGCGCTTTGCCGAGGACACAGGCGCCCTGTAGTTTGTGGTACACCTCTCCAGCCAACCGCCCACCTCTTCATGGAGAGTCCGGAAAGCATCCTTGGACATCCTCAAATGGAGGCGATACTGCTCGTTCTCCCAGTCAGAGACATCCCACTCAATACCCATGGTGGCCCAGTGCTGGATAACGTCATCGTTCCAGGCACCGGGACTGCGAAGGGCGCACCAAAAACGCCGTTTTCTCCTGCCAAACATTGTCAAGGGCAAGATTGCCAGCAGATCCTCCTCAGTATCGTCTTCATCAACAAAGTCGAAAACGTGTCGCTTCCTCCGGCGACAAAGCCTGATTTTTGTCACCATCGGCAAAGTGAGGTGATTCTCAGCGGAAATTATTCGGATCATCACCATTGTACATATTAAAATACAGATAGCGATGCGGCTCTTCGTTTCCGAATCCATTCTCAATCCACTGTGACAAATCGCTCTTCTCTCTCTCTACTCCTCTCTCTTTCTATCTCTTTTCCAGATCCCTACTTCTCCTTCCATCCACGACGAGGCCCACGTGGAGATTCAAAATTAGGACGTAGTGTGTGCGCAAATCACGTATACTGGGCACAGGGGTCATCCTCCAAAAAAAGAAAAACCCGGGAAAACCCGCGTCGGCCATTTTTGGTGTGACCGTCAGCTGGCTAGTCGCAAGCCACTTTCTGCGCAAGCCAAAAACGGCTGAACTTGGTGAGACCGCGGCCTAAACACAGAGGTCGCTTACACCAGGTTTTACTGTACGTGCAAAGACATCCGCACATTCGCGTGCATATCTGTGCTGATCATGTGTGTACGTTCCGAATTTGGCAGCAAACCTTGACAAAATTTGCCACATTCGGCACAGGGAGCTCTCAGTACACACTTCGCTTGATTTCTTCGTGTGAAGAAAGTAGAGAGCAGATAATGTTCTTTGCACCATGTGAAACCCCTGATCACAAGTACCTCCCAGAAGTGTTCACATTGCATTGCCATCACGTAGAGCAGAACCTCACTGGAAATTCTTACGGCGACAGTAAATAAGCGTTTCGGAGACAGCAACTTTAATTTGGCAATCAAGAGTACTACCTGTGCGGTAACCATGCTTTATTATTACAATAGTAACAAACATGCCATAGTAAATAACACTATTTTGAAATGGAAATGTAACACAAATGGAGTGGAAACTGTTTAGCACGAGTAATGCATACTGAATATGTTTACTTTAGCACGATATTCTGATAAGAAGGAACACTTTCCCTGGTTCCCAAACACCATGCAAGTCAGCGAATGACATCAAGGGTCAACTGTAATCACATGGAAGACATTTACTGAGTTTGGAAAGGGTTTGCTGCAACTGTACTTTGACTCGTGTCCGGTAGGCTGCGTGTGCTGCCAAAGCCGTCAGCTGTGCACCCATGTGTTTCACAATGTGTGCTCCTGTTTCTTGTTTTATTCATAGGTGCCCCACCCGCAGCAACTCCAACACCCACAGCAAGCAGTGCGCAAAGTCCAAAGCAGCCCAAAAAGCAGCAAAGGAAGAAAAAGCCATCGCTAGTGCAAGAGAAGCTAGGGGAAAGGCAGGAGAAGAAACAGGCAGGGCCAGCTGTGGCAGACTCCGGAGATGATGAGCCCATGGCAGTGGACGATACAGTGCCCGAACAGAAACCGGCCTCCACAGAACAATCGCCATCCTCAAAGAAACAGAAGAAGCCCAAGAAAGTGAAGAAGGCTGGATCTGCGAGCGACATTGCTGCATCTACGTCCCCAACTGATGTCGTCTTGGAGGAGGGTGCAGCCCTTGCACAAGCATTTGGTGCATCTGGCACTGATTCCACCACTGCTGAATCGGGAGATACCACCAATGACGCAAAGAAGCGGTATCTGCTGTTTGTCGGTGAGTGCAATAGCAAAGTCACATCTTAGTGGATCCAAAAGTATAAATCTGATGTGAACTTACTACACCCTGGCCGTTTTGACATCATCACTTTCAAGCCCTATTGAGGAGGGAGTGGTGCTTTCTTGCAGGTTTGCCAATTTGATTAATTCACTAGTATGAACTGATATTCGGTTTGTGATACTGTGCAAATGAGGTTTGTTACTTAAAGGGGAAGTTAAGGCAAAAATAAAAATTTCACCAGTTGTAGTCTTCGGGGTGCTGAGTCGAATGGTCGTGGTCCGAGGAAGCTGAGACGCTCCCTTCCTACTTGAATCCCAATCGAACTCGCGCACTTCCACCGAAACTGGGTGACTGCGCCCTACTAGATGGGGATTTGTATGCAAAATGTCACTAAAAGCGCCATTTCGTTCTTATAAAAACGTGGATGACCGCGATTGGCCCATATGTTGTAGTCTTTTGGACGCTGAGTCGACTGGTTTTGGTCCGAAAAAGCTGCGATGCAGCGTTCCTCCTTTATTCCCAATCGAACATGGTTGAACAAGCGGTCACGTGCTCCTGCGTACGCCAGTCACCTGGTCACCGTGCCTGCAGGGTACAACTTACTAGCCTGTTTGACCTTTTTTGGGTGCAGTCCTGTCACTCGAGTTGAACCTTGGTGTGAAAGTTGTCGCCTGCTGGCGTGGTGACCAGGTGATTTGGGCACCCAGGAGCACGTGACCGCTTGTTCAACCATGTTCGATTGGGAATAAAGGAGGAACGCTGTATCGCAGCCTTTTTGGACCAAAACCAGTCGACTCAGCGTCCAAAAGAGTACAACATATGGGCCAATCGCGGTCATCCATGCTTTTATAAGAACGAAATGGCGCTTTTAGTGACATTTTGCATACAAATCCCCATCTAGTAGGGCGCAGTCACCCAGTTTCGGTGGAAGTGCGCGAGTTCGATTGGGATTCAAGTAGGAAGGGAGCGTCTCAGCTTTCTCGGACCAAGACCATTCGACTCAGCACCCCGAAGACTACAACTGGTGAAATTTTAATTTTTGCCTTAACTTCCCCTTTAATAGGTAGCAATTTTGTTGCTTTGCGTGCATTCGTCTTGGCCGCTCATGCTCGTCTGGTTTTGAACTTCACTGTGTGCTTTGTCAGTGTACCTACCGTAAAGTCTTGTATAAAAGCCGTACTTGAATAGAATCCGCAATTTTGGGCCCATCAAATCACACAATAAGCCTGGTTTTAGTGTTGACATACATAGAAATGCCTGTCTTGTATAGAAGCCTGTCTCATATAGAAGCCTGCAAAATTTCACCAAGAAAGTCATAGAAGCTGCGACTTTTATACAAGACTTACGGTACATTGTAGCAGAACTCATTGCCACTCCATCGTATGTTAATATTATTTCTGTTGTGGTGTGAATGTACACTATTTTATGACAGGCAATCTTCCATTTGATGTAACCGAAGAGGATATCCGCACCCATTTTGGGAAAATCGGTGAGTTGTTACTTAGTATGACCTGGAGTCTTTGTTAGGGACAGCTACAACCCCTTTAGAAGTAGGAAGAGCATTGTGTGGGACATGCCGTATGGCTGCAACAGCTGAAAAGGAGGTATCATGAATTTCACATACCAGTGCTGTTAATTTGTAACACTTGACTTGTGGCGTGAGCTACTATCAGAAAAGTCTGGTCCACATGTGCACGGGCAAAGTTTCGAGTCCCAACTTCTAGTGGGCTGTGTATGCAGAAATATTCAGTGGGAATCTGATTTCATTGTTCTCGTCCAAGAAATCCTGGCAATAAAATTTCGACCGGATGAACTGCCTCCCTTTGGAGTTGGACAAAATCATTCACTGACTAAAATGTAAGGTCCTACGTCAAGTATAGTATACAATGCTGTCAAGGCAGGCTATCTAAGCTGACTGGGTAAAGATAGTATATAAATACAATACAATATGGTCAGCATCTATGCTCTGTTTCACTTGTATTTTTGCTTACAAGATGGCTTGCACTGTGTGCGAATGCTACAAAAGCGTTCCGGTGAGCCTCGCGGATGTGGTTTCTTGGAGTTTGACACCCCCGAAGCTCGGAAGGTATGTCTGCAGTAGTCTGTCCTCTCCCCTTTCTCCTCTCTCTCTCTCTCTCTCTCTCTCTCTCTCTCTCTCTCTCTCTCTCTCTCTCTCTCTCTTCTCTCTCTCTCTTCTCTCTCTCTCTCTCTCTCTCTCTCTCTCTCTCTCTCTCTCTCTCTCTCTCTCTCTCTCTCTCTCTCTCTCTCTCTCTCTCTCTCTCTCTCTCTCTCTCTCTCTTGGTGTCATCCTTTCTTTCTTATCTCATCACTGCTGTGACTGTATTGTGGGAGTTGGCCCTTCCCAGGGTATCAGAACAACGGTCGTCACAAACGCAGGCCGAAAGTAAAGTGCCACCCATTCTGGCTGCGGAAGCCGCTGATCTTGCTCCTAACATATCTGACAGATCCTGATTCCTGTGTGTGTGTGTTTGTGTTTTTGCGTGTTTGTGTGTGCTTTAATACATGTGTTACACACTCTCTCTCTCTCTCTCTCTCTCTCCCTCTCTCCCTCTCTCAGCTTGGACTACGGAGGCATCATTCCAAGATGAAGGGTCGACGCATCAATGTGGAAGTCACAGCTGGTGGCGGTGGAAATAGTGATCAGCGTCGTCAGAAGATCCAGAAGAAAAACAAGAAGTTCCAGAAAGAAGTGGACAAGACGGTCAAGACACTGAAGACAAAGCAGAAAAGTGAACAAGATGATGGTGGTGATGGTGACGGTGATGATGATGAACGACCAAGGACGCCTAGTCGTGGTCGCGGCAACGGAAGAGGTAGAGGGTTCGGTGGACGAGGGCGCGGTGGCGGTGGTCGTGGCAGAGGCGGCTCCAGTGATGGTGACTCCAGAGGAGGCGGCCGTGGTGGATTCAGAGGTAGTCGCGGTGGTGGATTCAGAGGTGGTCGCGGTGGTGGTCGAGGTCGCGGAGGTGGTCGCGGAGGTGGCCGGGGTCGTGGTGGTGGACGAGGCGGTGGTGGTCGTGGTGGTAGTTTTGGTGGTGGTCGCGGTGGTGGTGGACGCGGTGGTGGTGGTGGCCGCGGTGGCAGTCGTGGAGGATTCAGAGGTGGTCGAGGTGGATTCCGGGGTGGCAGAGGCGGTGGCCGCCCATCAAGCAGTGAGTAAATTCACTCATGGACTCAGGAGTTAAGACTGTTGACACTGATGTCCAGATGGAGTGCTCTCAACCCACTGATTGGATTCCAGCATCATGCCCTAAGTCTGACCCTTACACGGAACGGAAAGAGGGCAGTTTGTTAGGCCTGTGTGTCAGGGAAGGCTCAAAGTCTTAGTCCCACCAGCCGCATCCTTGCAAGGAGTGTTTGTGCTGGAGTTTTACTGCTACTATGATTGCTGGTTCTTGGACATCGTGTCAGCGAGGTGCTACCAAGAGTATATTGGTGTGGACAACAGTGATGGTAGTGGCGACGGTCATGCGGATAGGTGCCTTGAATCGCCCGTTCTGCTATGACCAGTGCAACATCTGCTTGCTGCAATCGACGTGCCAAGCAAGTTGGGCGCTATACATCTGTGCAAAATAACCCATGTCATCTAACTATATTGATGCTGCAAAGTTACTGACCCTAAGTGTACCAGAAGCATCTTTTTTCTTTTCTTTTTTACATTCTTGTTATATTGATAGCTATATTGATAATTCGACAAAGACTTAGCAGTCGCTGGATCTCGACTGAAATCACGGTAGTATTTTAGTAGACGCTTTTGTGAAATTGTACATCACCAAAGTGCATGTACATTCCCTTTATCCCATCTTGGTACATTGGAGTTGAAGTGAACGACTTGAGACTGAGAAACCGTCGTCTTTTTCTGATCTCTGATCTACGAACATAGTGGGTGTGTAGCTTTCTTCTATTGCTCTCCTGTGCATATAATTCTATAGCTACAGTAGCTCGGCTGGAACTACATTCTAATGTTACACTCCTGTATCACATTGATACTTTGCCAGCCGCTGTTGCAGTTGGATATGGCTGTAACGTGGCATGACTTGATAGCGATGCTTGGCATGGTCTGGGGTGTGGATGTGTGTGTATGTTGGGGGGGGGGGGGGGGGGGGGATGTTTAGTGTCTACCAGAGATTAGTAAAATACCGACATTTTACTACTCCGTGGTCTATACTGTGTACACAGATGTACGCTCGTACTGTGTCACACTACGGCAAGTTTGAGGCTGGATCACTTGACGTTGATGAATTTGGGGATGTCCCGGTTTCGCAGCCTGCACATCGCATTGCAAAATTATAACAGCACACGTGAACACACTTGAGTGCAGGGCCAATGAAAGTTGCCGATTCGAAAATAGCATAGAATGTGTTGAGTGCGCAAGCTGGCCTTATCAAGTCTACAGCTGTGCACATCAACTGACAGGGTTCTTGTGACTAGGGCTGAAGTTGACATTAGGTACACGGAAAGTTCCCTTCCACGGTCAACATTGACCAACTGAGAAGAATAAAAGTCTACAAGCTGTTCAGCAGCACCAACAAATTGCCTGCAACTGGTTGCTGCCAACAAGAGCAGACTTCTCGCATTGTAGGGTGATGATGGCATGAAGAGTAGAGATTGAAAATCCTATGGCTTGCTTGCTGGATTCAGTGCCAGATGTTCAGCCACAGCTACATTGTAGTGCCGTAAGCCAAAGATGACGCCGGCACTCCTGTGCCCCAGAGCAAGCTCACCACTCCAGCTGCAGGCACTCAGTAGCACATGTATTCAAACTGCATTGAGACAATGCTGTCCATCATAGCTGACTACTGGATTGTGTGTGGGTGTGGGTGTGGCACAGAGGGATCAGAGTAAATGCCAGCCAAGCAGCTGTAATGGTACTGCCACGTGCGTGTGTGTATACGCGTGTGTCCGTGCGCAGAGGGCTAAAGCTCTTCCTTGGGACTTCCCTTCAGCTGTATATAATGTACTTCTGCCGATATGTGCGTTGAAGCAACTCCGTCCGCATTGTCCGCCTGGAAGCGGGCAACATCGACTTTCTGGTTCCCTTCGACAAGCTTTCGTGCCAGAGTCTTGCTCTTTTCCGCTGGTTCAATCTGCAAGAGGGATCGGGAACAGCACCACATCAACACTGGCAATTACTGCATTAGGCACACACACACAGTCACTGTATCGTACTACATTGTATCATAAGTGCGTATCAAGAGCATGCAACTGTTATTGCGTACTGTCGTAAAGTACCACGAGAGCACCCCATCTCACTTTAAAATTTCCCCCGTTTCCATTTTACAGCCAGGAAAAGGAAAAGCGAATGGCAGAGTGCAACTTAATTAAGGTTGTAAGGTGTGTGAACCATAGTTTACTAAGATCACACTTTATGCAGAATGTTCTTGTTCGGAGCTCGCATCCACTCCAACTTCCAAGGTCAATTGAGCATGGACTACAGTCCATTTCAAAAACATAGACGCATGGTATTTTTGAAATATTTCAAATTTGGCTAGAGCTTTTTGAGAATTGATTTCAGAATATTGCTCAGGTCCTTCCCACAGTTACTCTCATATAGATTTTGAAGCGATCAGATAACCAACACCCAATTTGGAAATATTTGTGCACAAAGTGATCACAGATTTTATGTGGTATAGATGCTGGCCTAACGTTTTTTTGAAATCACGCGTCTATATTTTTGAAATGCACTGTAACCGCACAACGGGCAGTATGTGTACAAGGTACACGTCATGTGACCTACACACAGAAACCCACGTCCAAAATACGATCACGAGAAGGGGTGGTGGTGGTGGTAGTGGGGAGGGAGGCAGCACTTTACGGTAATAATCAGCCTACATCACACCCTGTATACCTGATGCACTCAAAACTAACGGTCTCTCCTTTTAGCATGGCCTTAGCATGGCCTTAGCATGCTAGTTTTCAAATTCTTTTGTTATGGACTCTTGGTACTGAGAAATTGTCAACAACGATCACACGTAAAATACCATCGTCAGGAAAAGGAAACGGGTATTGACTGCAGCAATAAAATGCACTGATGTGGGAGCTCTAAGTTTCGAAGCCTTTCAGCGAAACCCAGAGTGGACTGCAATTCACATGGCTGACTGTACCACTCCTAAAGTACCTCCTCCCCCCCCCCCCCTCCCCCCCTCAAAACCCCTGCTCTATACTAACAGTGCCACTCAAAAGTACCCTCCTCCCCCCGAAGCCCCTGCTTTATACTGACAGTGCCACTCAAAAGTACCCCCCCCCCCTCAAAACCCCTGCTCTATACTAACAGTGCCACTCTAAAGACCCCCCCTCCCCCCGAAGCCCCTGCTTTACACTGACAGTGCCACTCTAAAGACCCCTCTCCCCCCCCCCCCTCCCCCCCCCCCCCCCCGAAGCCCCTGCTTTACACTGACAGTGCCACTCAAAAGTACCCCCCCCCCCCGAAGCCCCTGCTTTACACTGACAGTGCCACACGTACAGTATACCTCCCCTAATCCGGGCACATCCATCTACAGGGCACCTTTCTGACCCATATAAAGTCACAAAAGTTGGCTTTTCAACGTAAAGCGGCCCCAAGCCCATTGATCGGCACGAACATGTTTACTTGCAAGCAGTATTAGTTAAAGTATGTTCTGATTCACAGGCAATTCCTAGTTACAGGCAGTCCTCGGTCCCAACCTCATACACAATGAAATCCAATCTCATGACTATGTAAAAGAGAATGCCCTGTACCCAGTACCAGTGCCCTGTACCCAGTACCAGTGTCCAGGCCAGTAGCAGGGGTGGCAGCAGCATGATCTAACCTGTGCCAACACGCGGCCGTCTTCCAGCACGTTGTTCACCAGGTACGTGTGAGCGAACGTTAGATGCCACTGGCGACAGCGCTTCGGCAGTCGATGCACTATCCAGACATTCTCCAGCCTACTGGGATTCGGTATAGTGGACAGTAAGTCCTGCAAGTCGGTCACTACGTCACTCCTATCGCGATGTTGTGCAACAACCACACACACGTGTGTGCACGCACACACACACACACACACACACACACACACACACACACACACACACGCACACACACATACACAAACACACATGCACCGGTGCGCACACACGCATACAACAGGAAAGTCTTGGGACAGTGCAAGCAATGATAGCAAAAACATATTCTTGAGCTGAAATCACTAGCAAACGGCTTCACACGACAGTGATAGCACTGAAGTCTATGATGTGCCCTGATCCATAGAGTTTGCTACGTACAACAAAACGCACCGCAGAAAAGAAGGAATTTGCATCGTTCTGCATTGTAGCATACATATACATGTATGTACAGCTTACAACCACGCGATGCAAGCATAGTGGCAGCATGACTCAACATACGTTTTCATCAGGGTGCCATCCACATTCAGAACGTAGCCCCAGTCGTAGGGTAGTTGATACGGGTACAGTGCCAGAAACTGCTCAACACACAGCGCAAACACACACACACATTATTAACCCGACTGCTGCATGGACGATAAGTGCTGCGAATAGTGATCATGCACCCTGGCCTGAGTAGCTCGCTTGGCTAATTGAAAGTCTGCCGACCTGGGCCACATTATGTTGCTAATACATGCACAACCCCAGTCACAGCGCACAAGTTGGTTGAGTTTGGCCGTCAGGAGGCCAGCGCAAGGTATCCGGGGCGCGGGTCTGATTCCAGCGAGGGGCAATGTGGTACCCCACAGCGCAAGGGTAGCGTGATACCCTAAGCCAACGTGCGTGCTGCATGAGTAGCGTGATACTCGCCGAGCGCTTTTGCTGTTGCCTAGCAACGCGTTTCTGTCTTTCCTGGGCCCCCAAATGCATGTTGGGTGGCCCTGCGCATGACTGCACGTTGTCATAGCAACCTTGGAAATCTCAAGCCGGTTACCAACAAGCTAGGAATCAGACCAAGCCGCCGAATGCCCCCAAATTCTGCGTTGGTCAGCCGAATGACCTTAGTGTGGTATTCAAGCGCGTCAGCTACATGTACGTAGTTCAAATGCGTGCCATTCGTATGGTTGTTTTCCCTTAGTGACACTGATAAGGGTTTGAATCGCATGTAGTCGGCAAAAGCAATGGGTGGCATGATGCCTTAGGTGGGAGCTATAGCACAGCAACTGAGGGTGCAGGTAACTTATCATAAGTATCAGAGGCGTGCGTGCACAGTCACTGCTAGAACGTGAGTGCATACGTCCGCGAATGGGCGTACCAGCGTGTGTACCTGCATGCGTGGTGTCAGACTGCGGGTGCGCGTACGCGTGCATGCATATGCGTGTGCATGCGTGGGGGTGTGGTTGCGTGTGTATGCGGGTGTGTGTATGTGGGTGTGGCTGTGCGCGCTTGCGCCAGCGCAAGGTATCCGGGGCGCGGGTCTGATTCCAGCGATGGGCAATGTGGTACCCCACAGCACAAGGGTAGCGTGATACCCTACGCAGCACAAGGGTAGCGTGATACCCTACGCAGCACAAGGGTAGCGTGATACCCCACGCAGCACAAGGGTAGCGTGATACCCTATGCAGCACAAGGGTAGCGTGATACCCTACGCAGCACACGGGTAGCGTGATACCCTACGCAGCACAAGGATAGCGTGATACCCTACGCAGCACAAGGGTAGTGTGATACCCTACGCAGCACAAGGGTAGCGTGATACCCTACGCCAACGTGCGCGCTGCATGAGTAGCGTGATACTCGCCAAGCGCTTTTGCTGTTGCCTGGCAACGTGTTTCTGTCTTTCCTGGGCCCCCAAATGCATGTTGGGTGGCCCTGCGCATGACTGCACGTTGTCATAGCAACTTTTGAAATCTCAAGCCGGTTACCAACAAGCTAGGAATCAGACCAAGCCGCCGAATGCCCCCAAATTCCGCGTTGGTCAGCTGAATGACCTTAGTATGGTATTCAAGCGCTTCAGCTACATGCATGTAGTTCGAATGCATGCCATTCGTATGTTTGTATTCCCTTAGTGACACTGATAAGGGTTTGAATCGCATGCAGTCGCAAAAGCTATGGGTGGCATGGTGCCATAGGTGAGAGCAATAGCACCGCAACTAAGTGGAGCAGATAGCTTCTCATAAGTATCAGAAGCGTGCGTGCACAGTCAGTGCTAGAACGTGAGTGCGTGCGTCCGCGAGTGGGCGTACCAGTGGGTGTGCAGCATGTGTGCATGCGTGCATGCTTGCACGGTGTCAGAGTGCGGGTGCGCGTACGCATGCGTGTGTGCATGCATGTGGGTGTGCGCGTGCGTGCGTGTGTATGTGTATGCGGGTGCGTGTATATGGCTGTGCGCGCTTGCGCGCCTGCGGACGGTGAACAGTTACTTTCCACAGCGGACATAGTGCTTGCAGCAGGCACTTCACCATCTGCCGAGTTTCATGATCTCGGATTCGGTGAAGCCGCTCAATGCTCCTGTGGTTGCGGGTCCGGCTCTGACGCCGTGCAGTGGATACTGGTTCGGTGGGTACCCTGGGCTGCTCAGGAGCCGACGGATTAGACGTGTGAGTCTTTGTGCAGCCAGGAAATTGCCACAGCTTTCGATGACCAGTGGTCTATTGGGCAGGTTGGCGCGTCTGGAGAGATAGGTATGCATGGCTCTGACCGGGCAAACCGTTGAGTTGGTGGTTGTGAGCCGGACGGAGTGACCCTTGCCGAGTTGGTCGGTCTTGGACTTCTTGATTGTGACCTGTATGGCCTGCGGCGTGATGGAGAGGTCATTTGTTCGGAGGCCCCCGTCTGACATGGTTGTGGCGGTTGTGGAAATGTATTCGCTTGCCCGGAGACAGGCGAAGAAGCCCAGGCAAATGGCTGCCCATGCCATGGCTTGGTCGGTAGCGTTGAGATTAGACCTAATCAGGGCGTTGCGCATAGCTGCCATGTGGGGCCGGAGGATTGGCTTGCTGGCGTTCTTAGTTCGGTTGGCCTGTGCGCGTGCCACTCCTTTAACTGCGAGGTCCACTCTTCGCGAAGACAGATCCTTGCCGTTTTCTTTGGCAATTGCCCGGATCGCCGACACATACAAGCGGACGGTTGACGTGGCATGTTGACGTGCCAGGTAGGCTACAAACGCCAGCATGATGGTGTCTGTAATCACCTTGGTGCCGACTAGTTTGCAGAATTGGTGCAGTCGTTTCCAGGCTGTCGCGCATGTGGCGCTCAGGCACCACGACATCAACAGAGACTCGACCAGTCCGCTGTGCTGCTGTTGCTGCTGCTACTGTTGGGAGTGTTGGCTGTGCACGTGGAGGTACCACTGGTTACAGACCCATCGATGTGGTCAAGTGGCTGTGCGCGTTCAATATGTAAAGCCACACGGCGACGCTCACCGCCATACTTGCGCTCTAGCAACTTCTTAGCTGCGTCATAGGCTGATGGTGAGTAGCCAAATCGCTCGATGGCTGTCAGTGCTTCTCCTGCCAAATACTGCCTCAATTGCAACAGCTTGTACTGAGGGGTGGCGGGTGCACTATCTACACATGCCATGAAAGCTTCTCGGAATGACTCAAACGTACGTTTGTCACCGCTGAATATCGGTATGCCAACTCGTTGTAGCTGCTTCCATGGCTCTGCACGAGCCTGGTTTTGTTGCATTTCAGGTAGCCCTGTTGCATACATTTGATTTCCAATATTGGATGGTGTTGCATAACCCTTGGCTGTTGCATGTACCCGGAAGACATCTGTGGTTGGTCGGTATGCCCATATACATTAGTACCTGTAGAAGCCATTGACAATGTGCTCATAGGCGGTGCCTGCCACTGGATACATGACTGGGGCGCTGCCATTGACACTGGAGGCTTTCTGAAAGAGTGTGGATTAGCCTGTGTACGAACACTGCACTTAGTATTCACTGCAGTATTCACACTATACGTACTGGTTGAATACAGAATTGCTTGGAAGAACATTGCTACTGCCAGTACTGCCCAAGGGTAATGTAGGACCAGTAACCTTAGAACTACTACTAGATGTACTGCCTGAGGTAGTTGTGTTTGCAATAGCAGGCCTAGCAAGAACACTCACGATCACACCAGCATTGACACTTACTGTGGTACATGTAGTGGCACTTGTTATGGTCACTGTTGCGGAACCATCTGTATACTGGCCAATGACTGTTGGACTGGACAGCGCTGCGCTGGTGACCTCTGGGATGGTACATGTACCACCAGTACCATGTGTACCAGTAGCTGTTGAAATAATTGAATGCCCTGTTACTGCTGTGCGGTCATCCGTGCCAAAACGTACTTGTTAATCAGTTGCATTTGTTGCATCTCCGCTGGCGGACCTGTTCACGTCTCGTTGTTGTAGCGATCTGGCCAGCAATCCCGGCTGTGACTCAAACCCAAGCCGTGGTCCTGCGGACGGTTCATTGCTGTAAACATGTCCTGGCCACCAGCCGCCGACTTCCCTGGCTTCATCGCGGCACTGTTGATGCGAATTACCGGTATACTGCTGCGTTTCAGCTGAGGCGACTGGCACGCGGTGAGTTGTTCTTACAATTTCAAACGCCAAGTCCGTCGCTTCGTCAAATTGCCTCTGGAGTACTTCCAGCTCACTAATCATCTTATCCTTCTCTCTCGCATTGCTGAGCAGCTCTCTGCTTCGTATAAACCAGCTAGATCTGTGATCGTCCCTTCCGCCTTCCGCTCTCTCATATGATCTTTCGAGCTCGTTCATTTCTTTTTCGACATCGAAATAGCTCTCATCGTCCGTGCATCGCATCTGCACTCGCTGGGCTTTTACTATCAGCCCTCGTCTTGTCCTGCGTTTTCCTGGCTCGGAGCGCAGAAATTGCAAAACAGTTGGATGCACGCAGCAGCACAGCTAGCAAGAGAAAGAGCCGTGGATGGGTTTGTTCCTGTTTTTGATGGCTGTGGCCATCCGTTGGCCCAACGGTCTCGTGTGAGTACGGCGTTTGTTTGTGCTGCCAGCTCGCGTCCGGCGTTTGTTTGTGCTGCCAGCTCGGGCCCGGTGCGCGAGTGAAACCGAACCGTGACAAAGGCTTTCGCTCTTTAGTGCTATTGACTGGCTTTTCATACGATGCCTATTGATGTCTAGAGACATGCTGTCTAGCCTTCCCCTGGTACGCATTCACGGGGCTTTGTTGAAGTTCGTGCCGTGAACTGCCAAAGGAAATTGTTTGAATGGTGCTGGGGCAAGTGCGCCATTACGGCGTCCCTGCAGCCGGCCTAATCGCGTTTGTTGCCACAACCGATTTTAATTATTATGATAAGCACACCCACAATGAGTGCACGGGCCCGTGTATGCATGCACATACCGTAAAGTACCGTTGATCCGCCCCCGCTCTAATTACCGCCCCCTGTCGAATTTCTGCCTGTGAAGCGACATCGGCGTATACAACGAAATACGATGAACTGACGCATGCACACTGCTGTACACAATATGTGCGAGTGCAGGATGAAAATGTGCACAATCCAGCATGCCAGGTGTGACCTTCTGCTTTGTTGTACATCGTACTGCACTGGAACGACTTGATGAATTTCCCGCCCCCTGCCGAAAAACCAGCTGGGAAGCGACACGGCACGCCAGCTACGCCTGTGAGTAGTGTAGAAGATGACCTCTCCCCACCACATCTCCCCCATGTCATACTATGGTACCAGTGGTGAAGTGGACATGGGGCTCAAAAGTCAAAACATAGCAAGAGTACCACATACCTCACTGTTGCTAGGAAGTTGCCAACTCTGTGCTTGGACACGGCTATACCTAAATACAAATGAATACCAAAGATTCCGCAAGGCACAGTCACATCAGCCCAGTTAGCCTCACCACCGCACAGTCACACAACAGCCCAGTTAGCCGTACCATGGCAGTTTCAAATCCTACACCAGCAGAGAACAACTAAAGTGCAAAGCTGGCGCCCTGGAGACCAGTTCCCATTACATCACTGTATTAATTTTTTTTACATGCATGCATTCAGCATTTCAGCAGCATTCGTAGCACTTCCAGTGAGGCAAGGGCCGCGCAAGTCCGGGGCACAACATACCGTATTTTCTGGAGAATCAGCCGCACTTTAATCACGCGTAATTCACCTAAAAAAAGTCAGTGCGGCCTATACTGCAACGGTTAAATGAACGTTGATGTACATGGTAGATGTCTGTATTTCGTGACAAAACACGGGTGCGGCTTGTACTGCAGAAAATACGCTACAAGCACGTTTGAGCGGATTTCACCTACAACTGCCGTACATGTACAGGAAAAGCCCATGTACGCACCTTGCTCGAAAGTTAGCATTGCCCAAACGTAATTGTGCTGAACCAAAGACTCCATTCGATTTCTGCAGAATCATCAGAAAGGAAGTGCAAAAAAAGAACAAGAAAGGAATCGGCTTACTCCATCTGACAGAAGGTGGAGCCGGTGCATGAGGATGAGGATCAGCACGCAGAGAGAGAGAGAGAGAGAGAGAGAGAGAGAGAGAGAGAGAGAGAGAGACACACACACACACATGCGCGCGCACACACACACACGTGCGCGCGTGCACACACACACACACGTGCGCACACGCATGCACACACACATATAAATCCACGGAGATCGAGAGCCCTCACCTCCAGATAACACAAAACAGTGCTCAAATCCAGAGGCCTGAGCCAAACGATTTCATCCACAGCAAATAAAGTATACCTGAATGAAGAAAGAGAGAAAAGAACAATGGATTCTTTTCTCTTTTAGTCATAGATCATCTTGCTATAATATCAAACATGTACCGTACTCAGTACCTGTACAGATAGGCTCAATGAAATCCTAGCTAACGAGCAACGCTGGCACCCTGGACCAGTTCCGATTAAATCACTGTATTGGTACAAGTGTAACTCCAGCTGCATCCATACCACTTCCAGGGAGTCGAGGGCTGTGCAAGTTGAGGGCGCCAAATATTCCCTTGTGGTCGGATTTCACCGAGCACAACTGTACAGCTCCCAGTGACAGTCCTGATTCTTTAACAACAGTGATGTGCTTTGCTGCCAGTTGTACACTGACATCTTTACATGTGCAGTTGTAGCCATTGCTACACGTGCAAGCAGGAATGTTCATTACGTGCTGGTGCTGGTGTGGGCCAAACGCGACCCCAGCACACTCAAGTTCTTACACCATAGTTACGACCTCAGTCCCTCTCGGCGACTAGTATACGATTTTCCTTCCCCTGGCTGTAAATCAAGGCGAGGTGCTGTTCAGAAACAGCACATGCGCTTCGACTGTACTTTACGGAATAGTGCTCCTTGAAAGAAGATCCAAAGCTTCATGACCATTTCTCATACTAATGCAGCATGCCTACCTTGATGCATCCGACGTAAAATGCTGCAGCAACAGATTGCCAAAGTGCTCGTCGTTCTGGTTCAGAATCTTCAGCTGCACGCCCAGGTGTCGTGCTTGCTGCTCTACTATAGCATAGCTGTTCAGAACAGACAGACAAGAGAGGAAACAAGACAGAGAGGAAACAAGACAGAGAGGAAACTAAATACAGGGGTAAGCAGCAGCAGCATTCGGCCCTGTACAGATGTTTCATCAACCACCACACCATAACGGTGCGCTCTCCAGCCAACACTCGAGAGGAAACTATTCGATAAATTACTCCATGCTGCTGCCTATGTGCCAGTGGTATACCAGAGAAAGCTTCTCACTTCTAAAAGAGCCTTTTCGATAACAATGGAGACAAGAAAGAAAGCAAAACAACCTGGCACTGTGAACTCCAGCTCCTCACCCCTTGTCGAACAGTTCATCATCCGAGCGCAGCACCACAACCACACGTGTAACTCCCCGCAGTGTCATAGCCAGACTCTCCACAAAGCTGAGAAGCTGCACAGGTCGGTTGCGTGTAAACAGGATCACGTCCAGTGACAGGTCTTGACCTGTACACGACGGTGGCTGAGCGTCGAGAGCAACGCCAGGCAGCGTGGGTAGGTATGGCTTCTCGGCGACGTGAAATCCAGCTCCGCCAGCAAGTACTGCAACACTGCCGCGTGCGTGCGCCGTCCACTTTGCCTTGTGTCTGCACACCATCCTGATCTGGTCATTCTGCAATATGCAACGTAAATAGATGGCGTATTACAGCTATAACACACTTGTGTGTGTGCATACAATTATGTACTGTAGTCCACAAATAAAACCTACCCAGCCCCACAAATCATACTAGAGAACTTTCAAACTTTGGAACTAAACAAGAACGAGGCGAATCCCCTCTCAGAGCATCCAACGAATGAAGAGGCAACCATTCACATAAACGAGGATCTCTACGGAGCTCTTACGAATTCTTCACATAGATAACAAATCAGCACTCAACTCGTGCTCATTCAATACTCGCAAGAAAGTGCGAAATGTCTCTATAAACTCGGAGCTACACCAACGAGCTATACAACACACAACGGGAGCTTTCCAATCCTATGACCAAGAAAACAACACTCGGCATACCTTTTCTGCACGGATGCGCATGCATGCATGTGGACATGTCTCTTCCGCAGTCATTATTGTTACATATCATGCAGATTTATAGTCCTGAACCATGACACGGCATAGCTGCAAAGCTCACCCTCTGCTCCGGTGTGCCGGCCAGGACAATGACAGCACTGCTCGGCACACCGCTCAGAAGCGATTTCATCCGCTCAGCACTGCAGCGAGAACAACGCATGAAACAGGCTAGCAGAGGTCACAAACCATGCTCTCTGAGAGAGTATGTATGTGTGTGTATGTGTGTGTATGTGTGTGTGTGTGTATGTGTGTGTGTGTGTGTGTGTGTCTCGACGATTATGGTCGCACACGTCTTTCTTCTCTTTCTCGGACTCTTCCTGACTTTTCTTTCATTCTCCTGGGTGGTTACCAACAGCCAGTGTATGCCGGAGTATGTGGTGTGGTGTGTGTGTGTAGAAAAAATGGAAAAATGAAAAATAGGGATTCACTGGCCAGAAAAAGTCACTTCAATCAGCTGTGTGGTGGATACCAGGTTAAAAATAGTGGCGGTCAATTCATCAGCCTTGCAAGCTGTTGAATGGTGTAATCCCAGCACAAGCTGCTATGTCTAACATAGCTGTTCGCTTTCATCGCTTCCGCGATGGGCAGGTTTGAGGTCTGAGGTGTGTGTGTGTGTATGTGTGTGCCAGCTAGTTCGGCTGGTGGGTACACTTATGTCAGAGAGTGTTGGGTCTGTGGCCAACGGGCTCGGCTGCTTGAAGGCGTAATGTTGTACCTGCCACCTGTGTTGGTTTCAGGGTTCATATACTTTCTATTCGAAGTATACATACCTGTTAACCATGGACTACTTCTAACTAGATTAACTCTTGTGTAATCATGGAGCTAGTGAAGCTAATATCAGATTCACTCTGAGTTAGCCACCCACACTGGTAGCAAGTATTACCTTCACTGGGGGCAGGGGTAACTGCAGTTGAATCCCGGGACGGATACCTTGATGCCGTTAATCCTTTTTCTGCAACTTGTCCTCGCCCACTTACTGAGGTGTGGTGAGCCCATAAGTGGAATCATTTTCAAGTTCACCCAGAGTTTCGGGGATTTCAGGGGGTGTCGGCCGTTGGGCGGTTCAATAGCCAATTGAGTCATCTTTCCAAGATTCCTTTTGAATCTCTCTCCCCTCTTCGGGGGAGACTCGCGTGACCAGTTATGGCAGTGAGCAAGTACAGTACAGTACAGTGTGTGTGTGTGTGTGTGTGTGTGTGTGTGTGTGTGTGTGTGTGTGTGTGTGTGTGTGTGTGTGTGTGTGTGTGTGTGTGTAGTCATAATCAGAATCTGATACTGCTAAAAATGCTATACCCATAATTAAGTAGTTGAGATGAGATGTTGTTCTGTCAAGGTAGTATAGGACATGTTTGGACTTACTCAAGATCACTATCCAGCCACACCAACATCTTCCCAGGCGAATGCTGCTCAATCTGCAGGACAGACAGAGAGGAGAGAATAAACGCCATCATGCTCAGGATGGTCAACTCGCACGGACTGATGTTCACGTCAACAATGCCCGGTACAAAGGCAACATGCAACTTAACGCAAGCCCGCAAATTGTGATGAAGCACGACGGAGCACGAGTAAAGAATTCTACCAAAGGCATGATCTCCCAGACTCCCATTTACCGGCTACACAAGTGACATGTGACACTCGAAATACCAAAAATGCTCTAAGCCGGTGAATACGGCTGGTGAGTGACGCGAAATGGGATGGACATTGATCACCAAATATCTGATACTGTACAAGAGCAACCTTGAAAATCAGGTTAAGACGGGTTCAACCCAGGCCGAAGTCACCCAACCAAGTTGATCTACGCGAGTGCGCTAGTCTAGCTGCGCTCAATGCACCGTGCATGTTGGAATACACAGCGGTCTTGGGTACATTGGGAACCACAGCATGCAAGAGATCTCACTAATCATTAATCACAGCCTTTCCCTTTTGTGCATAGTATTCATACCTGCTGCATGACTTCTTGGAGATCTAGCCCGCCCCGGACGATGAACTGCAATGTGTCCTGCGCCTCTACGCTGACCTTGCCCCCTCGAACTGCAGCACGATCAGCCAACAAGCAGCAAAACCTGGTCGAGAAACCACCGGCTTGCAGCAACTAGCAGGTCTGTGAAAGCACTTTTCTTCGGTACCAAATGTGTAGAATAATCGGCATGAATCAACCTGGTTTCAGACACCAGCCGTGCTCAAAGACGGCGCCTGGCCAGTCCCATGGGTTTCCATTGAACCCAGGTTTCAGCTGTACACGCCATGTCCATGCTACAGCACACTGCATAGTGAGTGGAGTCTCGAGCATACCACATGAGAAGACAGCTCAGACCTGATAAGAACTGCTGGAGCATTTTTCATACAGCATATGTACTTTTAAAACGTAGAAGGTTGATATCAGGGTAAAAGGTGCACGTACATCTGCCATGTACCGTACTTTACTTTCTGAAATAGTATGACACCTCGGGTGGGGTGGGGGTGAATACAAGCCCAGGGTACAGGGAGTTAAAAGAAAAAAGGACAACGCTGGATTACTCAGTAGACTGACTACCAATACTGGTGCAACACACACACACAACGGCCTCCGTGTACATTGTACACTACTTGGTAGAATGGTCATTTTGGGTTAAAAAAAAAGAAGCAACCCATGCTCATCACAAGATCGGGGCAGGGACTGCTGGTTGAACAGACAGTAGATCGGTCTACTGTTCGCAGAAATTTGGTAACCTGCTGCTAGCGAGCAGCACATACATGTACACGTAGGAAGAACTCACCGTTATCGACAAGCATGACACTTCCCATGTGCATCATGACTAGCATCTGCCGGTGGACATTCAGCTGTTCAGTAGCCATTGAGCGTGTTGAACACATAACACATAGACACATACCCATACGTATACACACACACACACATGCAAGCACACACATGCATGCGCCCCCCCCCCCCACACACACACACACACACACACTCACACACACACACACACACACACACACACACACACACACACACACACACACACACACACACACACACACACACACACACAATAAAACAACATCTAGACACATAGCTCGATGCCTCCGTTTGAGTGCGCTGAGCGTCTCGTGAGACAACAGTTCGCTGTGGAGTGATCCTATTTATTCACGGCATTCACCGTATCTTCACAGTTTGGCAGACATCCAGGCAAATGCATACCATCACAGGGCAATGCAGAATGCTCAAGTGAGGAGATGGATGATAACCCAACAAACAATTACACTCTCTTCTCATCTAGTGCATGACTGTACAGTGCAGTTCACTATACGATACAATTACATGTCACGTACATGTACATGTACATGGACTTCATGCACGTGTACCCATAGCATGGTGGGCAAAGCTCAACTGCCAGAGGAATAGAACGTGCTGGTACGCAACATACGTTTGATCCCATCTTGACCAGTACTGTGGTATTGAAGTCCATTAGGATACCTTCTATGATCGTGTCGTCACGATGATAAGGCCTACATGCAGACAACGAGAAGACAACATCAGCAGACGGTGTTGGTCAAGTACTGAAGAACACTGCTAAGAAAAGACAAACACGGCACTTTGAAATATCTACATGTACCTGCAATGAATCATGAAGACGTACATTACAAACAAGCATGCTAGTGTTTCATTGGAGCGGGTCATGGCTTTATGGCAGCATTGATGGAGCACGTGTCATGATTTACGAGAACATTGTCAGTCGGAGGCCGACACAGCGTGTTGTATAGACCTACCTACCTAGAGGGTGGATGCGGCGGCTCCTCCATATTCACATGCTCGGTCGTCAGCCACTCTGCACACCGCACACCGTACGATGGCTCTGGCAAAGAGTCCACAGACTGGTCTTCTTCCTCTTGAGCGTTGTTCACATCGCTGACATGGTGATCAGTGGAAGCGGGATCTGTGATGTGCACAGTATAACATTAGAATGGAAACAATACGACGTAACATTCAAGAGGCAGTCATCACTGATTGTAGATCAGCAGCGTCGGAAAGTATTTTAGTGTGGTACTGTCAGCCACTTGAAATACATTTTACCCGTGGGGGAGGGGTAGCTGAGCCGAAACTTTTGGAATTTGTTTGCCCAAATCAGAGTATTCTATTTACTTGGTCCGCCCAGTTAAAATTGGCGCTTATCTTCACACTTGTCTCAGGAAAGAAATACGAATATTTGAAGCAAACCACGATCACAAAGTACTATATACATGATTATTTACATGTCAGTAAGCAACTCAGTCGAAAATTCAAGCAAGTTACACATCCTCCTCGCCACTATCGTCGCTGCAGGAAGAGCTCAAAATGTACGATCCGGACAGCTGCTGCACGGGTCGTTTCATAGCTTGTTCCACTTCTCCTCGTCTCGAATCACGCTCAAAGGCAGTGCGTGCCTGTCACCTTCCCATCAGAAGCTGAGTGAGACTGCCCGCATGTTGACTGTAAGTGTTATCCCCGTTCGTCGCAATAATGCGTCTTTGTTTGAGACAAAAAGGCAACGCCATATCAGTGTCCTTTTTTCAAATCGCCTCTTGCGCTTGTCGTACTTGCTGATCAGCACCCGTACCCACGCGAGCCGCTGGCGCTTGAAGATCTACATGCAGCGCAGTGATAGCTTCCGCTTGATGTAGCACCTGTGGCCTGTGCGTACTGCACCTACAACGCCGTGCACCGGGCTTTTCGGCTAGTTTCCTGAACGTCCTTTGCACGAGTGTTTCTCTCAGGACTTGGTGTTTTCTTTGATTAGCTCCTTTGGCCTGTCCTCTGTGAGCTTCAAAGTGTGTCCGCCGGATTGGTCTCACTTTCTGGAGATATCGACATGAGGTGCAGTTTCTTCGTCAGCGATTTGCTGGTGATAGCCCTTCACTAGGCGCTGTACTGTGCAAGCAATGAAATTCAAGCTCGCGAAGCGCTTTTTCAGCTTTTCTATACCTCCCCGGGGTAAACAATCCTTGCCAACAGACAGCTGGAAGTAGACAGAAACTGTATTGTCCATCGCTCTGAAATGTGAACATCCTGACCTATTTTACGAACTCGAGCGGAGGTTGCAGTGTTTTCTTGCGCTGACGGAAGTGTTCGTCGGCGGCAGCTCCGTCAAAAAGACTCAAACGAACCGATCGCAACTTCTGTGATGGTTTGTGCTGCCATGTCGTCGGATGCAATGGTCAATGTTTATGTTCGGATGGTGAATCGGTGGTTCCATGCCGTGTGGCACAGGCAGAACACCAAAAAATCAAGTTAGAAGATAAGCGCCAATTTTAACTGGGCGGACCAAGTATTCACGGGGTAACTGGGGCAAAAAGTGGTACGGTCAATACCGTAGTGACTGCACCGTGTCCGACGGGACCGACGCCCCTGTAGATGATCACTATGCAGATGATGAGCCCTTGCTGTGTGTGTACTACTGCATGGCGTAATCAAGCTTAATGCACACACAACACAGAAAGGCGTTGGATTACACCGAGGCCAACAGACATGTGCCGTCGACTGGACTGGGCAACGTGGCGATGGTGAATGCAAAGAAGCACTTCAGTACCGTCGGGTGGCGAAAAACTGGGAGGTCAGCCCCGTAGCCCAGGCAGTTCTGATGTTCATGTACTATGGTCTATGCCGCAGTGTATACATTGGTATGCTGCGCTTGGTGAAATTCTAGCCTGCTCGTTCTTCGGCACTCCGTTCTGCAGAACCTGTCAGTACTTTACAGTAAGATGCATGATAATGAGGGCACAATCACAGGATGCTAGTAATGACACACATCATACAATTATCATACACATGTTTGTACTGACCTTCCTCAGCTGGGCACAGGGGCGGGTAACGTTTACCGCCGTGCATCACTTCAATCTCTTTCTCGTGGTAGAGGCTGTTCAGGTAGACACGCAGCTGGACTAAATTGCCGTCGGGTGGACTGAAGCACATAGTTGCCGCACACACACACGCACATACACACGCACACACACATTCACATTCATGTACACAAACACAAATACCAAGGAAATGCAATTTAGATGCTTGTATAAACCTTTTGTAATGGCTTTATTTGTTCATCCCAACAAATGGGAATGAGATACATGAAGTGGCAAGTGGTAGCAAGCTCCACAACAAAGGACAATTAATGAAACAGAAAGCACGCACACATGAATGCACACGTGAATGCACGCGCACACACGCGCGCGCGCGCGCACACACACACACACACACGTACGCACACACACACCTTGAACGACCCTTACGGAAAAGAGGCTATACTTCGCTGGCGCGATGTTTGCTTCCAGTTGATGGCATAGGTGCTGTGCATCGTGACAAACTGTATACCCATTCCATGGGCTTCACGACTGTATGCACACTTGTCTCGACCATAGCTGCACAGGAACAATGCAGAACATGTACAAATGATTAACTCTACCGAGAACCACACACACCATTGGACCATTGGACGCCCATCGCCGGAGGCGATGATAGCGATGCTACAGCAGAAGCCATAGCAACTTGTGCTGGGATTGCACCATTCAACAGCTTGCAAGGCTGAAGAATTGACCGCCACTATTCAGCCTGGTCTACACCACACAGCTATGAAGTGGCTTTTTCTGGCACACCCACACCCACACACACGCACGCGCACACACACACACACCTGGAACCTTGAACTTGCCCATTCGCCTCAGCAGCCATTCACCGTGTTAAAAAAAAACTACCCCTCGACGATAACCTGGAAAAAATAACCTCCTCATTCCCCGCACGCATGCGCGCGCGGTATATTGCGCCATACAAATTTCAATGATGTCATTGCTGCATAAACCCGGTGCGCAATGTGTTCGCTGATATCTTTACTGATGAATTAACCGCCACTAATTTAGTCTGGTCTTTGACCACACAGCTAACTGAAGTGGCTAAGTGACACCCTGTTTCTTCATTTTCGATTTTACACACGCACACACACATACACACATATTTTTTTTAAAACCCAGCTTAATCAGACCAACTACATTTTTCCAGTATAAGATGGCTGCTACTCACCCGGAAAACATCTCCATCATTTTCGGTGCATACGATGTGTCAATGATAAAATACGGCTCCACGTTCTCACTACAAAGTGAAATAAGTACAAATATAATATATAAAATACGCACCCTGTATGCATATGTATGCAGACAACAAGGAACATGACATGCATGCTCAGAACTTTGATTGTATACAAATGATCAGAAATCGATCTACATCATATGAATCACTGTTGTGCGGCATCAAGACTTAGAGAACACAACCAAGAGTGTGCAACTCCTATCTTGAGCTGCGATCAACTCATCGGCCCGCACGGCAGGATTTTATTGCGTCATGTTTTGGGCAGAAGCATGATCAAGTGCGTACGCCTTTCCACACTACGGTATCAGTTCATCAGGTTCAGGACATGTGTGGTTTGCCGTTTGCTGTTCGACTTTGACTACTGTAGCTGATGTGCCCAAGTTGTCTGCATTTCTGATTTCTAGTTACGCATGATGCCACCATGGAGCCAAATGGCCGCGAACGACGATGTAAAAAATTCGTTTCGCCATGGGCTGGCTGAGAGATCATCAAGTCGAGCACTCTTGGTTTTAATGGTTATAATTATACTGCTGGTGGCATGAGCAAGGTGGGTGGTACAGGCATGGGTATCTAACATGACTTCTGAGGGAAATGCTGTATGCCCATCAGGTAGATGTAAGGGCAATCTTCAAAGAAATGCTGCACTGAAAACTGGCCTGGTGTGGCAAGCTGCACCAACTTCTGAAAGGATTCAACTCTGCGCATGCCCAACAAGCCAGTGCAGTATAGCAGCAGCATAAACTTCACCATAAAGGCAGGTTGGGACCTGGTGCATGGACTGGTCCTATTCAGCAGCATCGATATTAACAATCACAAATCAACACAGAACACCGGCTTTTATCTTGCACATACACACAGCTTACCGATAGTCTGTAAGGAAGGAAGTCGAGCTCTGCATCCATTTGCCATACTGCACGATACTGTGAGAGACGACGGCAAACACCTCCAGCTGCCCATCTCCAATCCACTTCACCGCCTCAGTCTTACTGCTTGGCATACTGGTAGCACTTTTCAACTGCAGCAGCATAGGCAAAATGCAGGAAGATACATGAACCGATTAAGAACACCTATGAGCATAATAGTTTGGTTGGAGAAGTAACAACTTTCCTCTTTCTTCACTGAAGTGGAAAAGTTTTTATTAAGTTGTTCGAGAGGAGGATTGAGACATGCCAGCACCAACGGCAAATATCAAAAACCGACCGTACGGAGCTGCGGGAGCTCATCTATCTGTTGTGCACTCAGCATCTTATTGATACACTTTAACGCAAACGAGAACATGGGCAGAGAACCCACACTGTAGTCAATTTATTTCTTCTTTTACTTATTCTGTTCTCACGCATTGCATAAAAGATATGTTACACATCATTCGGCTGTGTTATCTCACAGGGCACATGTGTACTACGCATGTAGAATGGTCGAGTGCTAAGATCTCATTGACACGGTGACATGCAACAAGTACTAGTCGAGATCAGTCTGGTTTGTCCGAGTCATTCCCGGAGAGAGTGCACCTGCGGGTGGCCCGGTCGTCATTCAGCCACCGGCATATGTGTACTCGCAAACTGAAACATGTATCGCAGCGCATGCCTTCTCGCAAACACACATACACACGCACACACACACACACGCACACACACACACAACTCTGGCAGCATTACCTACATTGAGCAGCGGTGTAATGAAAGCCCACTTCTGAGCGACATTGTCAGCTTCAACCTGTCCCTTGGACTCGGCAACAAGTCTGGCTGTGGTTGCCTCATCAAACGCAGGAACTATGTCCACGTCCAGATAGTAGACATATTGTGTGTGCACGGCCTCCAAGGAAACAGCACGAAGGTAGTTCACCGGGTAGAAGAAGTGATCCTCTCCATTCATGATGTCCTGCATTGCATACATACCACCAATACAACAAAATCAATAGATCCAGTCGCACAGATATGTGATCATGCAGGGGTGTCGCACACGGTACGGTCACTACGGTATTGACCGTACCACTATTTGCCCAAAGTACCCCGTAAATCAATAAACTGCACTGATTTGGGCTCTAAATTTCCAAAATTTTCGGCTCAGCCATCCCTCCCCCACGAGTAAATTGTGCTTCAGATGGCTGACCGTACCACACTAAAATGCCTTCCGACGCCCCTGTCATGAATCTCCTGTCTCACAAACTCACCAATGCTCACATAATGTCCCGTGAATGCGCCAAGTAGTATCCTGGAAAAACTCCAAAACCGGTAGCATTATGAGATGATGAGTCAATACACCCAATGGTTCATTGGGCAAGGCGTACCAGGCCTGAGTTCTGGCACCTCTCGCGACAAGTATCTTATAAGGGTCCTGCCACGGGGGGCTAACCCTAAATAGAAAGCTTTACAACGCAGAGTGAACACTAGACTGATTTCAGTGGTGACTGGTGAGAGCCCCCAGATGAATCAGAGCATTCTGAACTTCACAACATCCGGAAACTTAGATTGAATTCTGTGACATCGTGGAGATGCACTTTGAACAGGAATCAATAGAAAATACAGCAAAATTCCCCTAACCCAGACTCTCCAGATCCAGGCACTTCCATCTACCGGGTGCCTTTCCGACCCCTCTAGAGTCACAAAGATTGGCTTTTCAAAGAAAAAATGACACCAAAATATTGATTGCCAACTCAAAGTGACTGGCGAAACCGTCAAACCGATCAACAGGACTCTTATATTATTTTACCATTTACAGCATACTCAGCAGCACTATAATACATGTAGTGCACCCACCTCATGAACCAAGTGCACAGTCACGAAGCGTAGCAACGTAGCCCTGGATGAAATAAATTCCTCAACCTCGGCTATTTGCCGACGTGCCTCCGGCTGGCCATTTCGGCCAGCCCAAACCATCACGGCAGCGGAAATAGGCCCTTGCCATTGCTCAGCCTTTGAGCGGAAAAAGAGCAAAAACAAGGCAACATGGTACACGGTCAAAAATCAAATAGCTAATACGAACTAAACATGTGGCAAGTGAAACAAAGACCAATACCACCGAACGCCATGTGGCGCATGGCCTCGCACCCCATAGGTGATCTAATCAAAATCGATTCACACTTCACAGCGTTGAAATGGGCACATTGGTCCAGATCTCACGTGCCACAACTCTCTACATGAGAGAAGAAGTGTACGCAAACCATTGTTACATGCAGAACGACAATGTGATATGATTTTAAATTCGGATGGAAAGCCAATAGTATTCACGTACCTCTTAATCTGTCACCAGCAAATCATATAATAATATTGGATTCGGTTTCTGGCTAAAATATTTAGATCAACAATCTATCCAAATTGGTGAAATAAGTTTCATGAGATGTTTTCCATACACTCCCATAGGAATTTCTAGCCGGCCTTCCATCGATCACAGACATCTACAGACATCTGTTCATGGTCTCTTTGTACTTGTTCAGCATACAACTCTTCTATACTGCTTTCCCTGCCAAATCTATCATCATCTGCATCCAATACAACACTCTGAATAATGAAGAACACTCAAGAACACTCAAGAACACACAACACACAGCTGCTTTGCACACTCTGCTGGACTATCAACAAGATTTTTACACGGGGATCTCCTTGCAAAAAAAAAGAAAATACGCCCCTAACCAAAAGTCGAAAATTGACTTCTAACGGAAATATGTGCTTCCACAGTGTTAGAATGGACTCGGATGGAGAGCCAAGGATTAATTTATAGAAAAGAAAAAGGACCAAGGAGCTATACGTTACGCTATAATGTCCACTAACACCACCAGTTACTAAACAATCAGCTCATGCGATAACATTGCACGACACTGACCGACGCTACTGACGTTCTACAACTAGCTGGCTAACAGCTCTAGCACATCTTGGATGGCGTAACTTGTAGCTCCTTGGTCCTTCTTATTTCCAGTGTTAATAAAGATAATACAATGACAGGAAACTTGAGGAGGAAAGCACATTACCATTCTCTCCAGGTTGTCCAATCTATCCACAGTCAGCTGAGTGGCTATTGTTATCCTAGCACCAGCCGCAGCAGCACGCACTGGCACTACCACTGGCACGGGCACAATAAATCCAGGCTCTACACGACGGCGCACGGGAAATGACTGCTTATACGCCGGACACGGCTGATGGTCATCTCCAACCAGCCGCGCCTCGTCACCAAAGTCCAGAGCGACATCATCAAAGTAGATCTCCTGGCCTGGGCGAAGTGGTTCGGCCGACAGTGAGACTAGAATCGACTCAATTCTGCCGTAGTCGGGTATGGTCCGGCACACACGTGTGAACGACTCGCCATCGCCCAGATCTACGAGTGGTGTTTTAACGAACATGAACGATCGGTCGGTGTACCTGCAACAAGAGAAAGAAGAGCAGGGCAAGTTGAGCGATCGTGCGTCTCTACAACAGACTTTTGATGTGACTCGACACTTAAAACTGAATTGCAGTAGTGAGCGAGTCAAGTCGGCAAGAAAAGCGAGAGCTCCCAGCTAGGGAGCAACATACAGCTTGACAATTAGTCAGGGCATAACTGATGAACTTCCGGGCCTGGCCCATCATCAGAGAGTGAAACAAACAATTATATTTAAAATATTAAAAAGTGGCTGACAACAAAAGGTGCAGCTCATACTTCATAGTCATACATGTACATGGAGGTACTTTTATGGAAGTACATGTATGATGATGACACTCAGAGTCAAATACTGTGAAGACTAGCATCCAGGTGTGAATACGTGAGGTTCGGTGAGGTGTAGGAAGGAAGGATGTACATGTAAGTGTAGGTGATGTACTGTAAAGCGACGAACTTTCGCGGCGCGCAAACTTAGCGTTTTCATAAATTGGGCTGGTTCACGATGAGAAACGTTTGCGATTCTATCTCTTCAGTCGGATCTTGTACCGTCTCCAAGCAATGTACGGAGAGGTTTGCGGCGGTTTATATTCGCGAATGTGTGATGGTCGCAAAAATAGCGAAATTTAATCTGTAGCAAAAGTTTCTCACTTTACAGTATGTGTCAGCGTACATCACACGTAACCATGGTAACTGAGGAAGTAACTTACACACTGTGTGTGTGTGTGTGTGTGTGTGTCACTGTGTGTTGCAGACCAGGCTAACATCAGCGGCGGTCAATTCATCAGCCTTACAAGCTGTTGAATGGTGTAATCTCAGCACAAGTTGCTATGTCTAACATAGCTGTTCGCTATCATCGCTTCCGCGGTGGGCAGGTCTGAGGTAAGGTGAGATGTGGGTGTGGGTGTGGGGGGGGGGGGGGGGGGGACCCATACACGTCTCATTATATCTGCATTTGGCATGTATGGGTTTCTAGTATATAATGGGAGGACTGCATGATAGTACATAGTGCATGGCCTTGCATGCAGGCTAGGCCAGAGATAGCATCACCGTGTGTTGCACGTTGTACGCTTCAGGTGGACTCGACTGGCAAAAAAACATGGGCCCGGAAAATAATGCAGGGTCCCACCCAGGGAGTCGTCAAATATTTGACGATTCCCTGGTCCCACCAACTGCAACGGCCTCGGTCCGGGCTTTTATCACATTGGTCCAGTGAGTTACAGCGTGAGTTTCGCGGTGCTTTTTCATCTGGATAGGTACAGCATGTGAGTGCTTCTAAATCACCAGAAGGGTCCAAGCTAGCCATTATAATTGCAGCGGCGTCGGAACCGGTGCGGCAGGTGTGGCCAAAGCTGCACCAATGCTTTTATCTTGTGATTTTGAAGCAATGGAATATGGGCTATTTGGACCCAATTTCCAAATAGTTTCCCGGGGAGGGCCCTGCAACCCCCCCCCCCCCCCCCCCCGCCTTTTCATAGCCGCACCAATGTAGAGTATCTTCTGACACCCCTGAATTGTCACAGTCACTGCGCAAATCGGAGAGCACAGTTACCACAGACTCTGAGATCAGAGTTGCATGCTGTAGCTGGGGATATGATGAACTCTTGTTAGCAGATGTACAGATGCTGCATACCTTATATCCAAACGTGCCAGTGCTGGTACTGACACTGGTTTTCGGACATGAAATTGAAACGTCAATGAATGGCCAGTGGAATCGTTCGCACACGTATCAGGCAAGTACAGAAACTGACTTGCAACTAGTGCCAAATTCGGGTCAGGTCTGCCCGATTTGGGGCCCATGAAGAACTTCAGTGACTTCAATCCGGAATTGGCATGCTCCCCAGTAATGGAAATCACTCCATCCGGAGCTGGATCGAAATTCCACATATTTGATCTCAACCTCGACAGCCATCGCGACGAACGCTCTTCAAATGAGCCTCCGTGAATAATATTACTTTCGCAAACTTGGAATGCAAAACCGCCGACCAGTAGCATAAATACATAACTGCAAGACCCCATTGAGTACATCGCCAGCAACAAACATACTGGAAAGCAAAATGAATTGTTTTAATGAATTGTTTTGTAGACACAAACATTGAAACAAAGACGTTTTAAAAGTACAATGTACAATCATGTACATGTACTACATGTAGTAGCAAAAGTACATAACTACTCTTGCCAGTCTTGGTAGTAGCAAGAATCATCAGCATGTCGACACTCACTTACCGGTAGTTAGTGGTATGCCAATGAGTCTTTCATGAATTCAGGAGACAGACAGCTGACAATAGGTCTGCACCACTTGACCATGTTGGCGGTCTGCACAGCTCTTGCCTAGTCTTGCCATGGCTCTTCACTGACTTCAGGCAGTTCAGCTTCTCTAGTCTGGAGGAATGGAGCCACGCGATCGTACTACCAGTGACACCTGACAGACTGAACCAGGGAGTAGTGGTATTGTACTACTACTCCCTGGACTGAACTCACTTAGTAAACCAACCACGATGGACGGAGCTTTCCGAGTTTCGGCTCCTGACTTTTCTGCGAAGCGGATGTGGCAATCAGTGTGAATCACCAAGGACTTAGGTCAAACTGCCTTGATCCTCTCTCTAGCTCTACTCAGCGCTTCTATTCCTTCCTTTGTGGTGGCCTACGTTGCAAGTAGCATGTCAAGAAAGTGATTCGAAATAAAAGCATCAAAGTAACTCGCGCGTGGTACATGGTGTGTACAGAGTGCACTCCAAATTTGTACATGCAGCGCGTCCTGTCGGTTACCATCACAATGTACGAAATCCCTCGGCAACGAAGCTCGATCGAGTCGATCGAAGGGGCAAGCAGCAAAATGTGAAATCCTGAAATCACGAACCTGTGAGATCCGTGCATGGCCTGGATGTGTGTTTGTGTACTTGTGAAAGTCGACGGTACGGTGAAATTTTGGTGAAAGACTGAAGATTGAAGTACATTGCGGTTTTGAGGCGACAGTTCACTTGCCATAGCTGCAGAGAATGTGCCTTGGAGTGGCCACATTTCCAGGTTTTTTCGACAACGATATGTCGCACTGAGCGACAATTTGATGAGGATCTCGGTTAGCGCTGTGGTGACGTGGACTGGTGCAGCGCACAAATAGTAGCAGAAATTGGGTGAAAGCCCTGAACTGACATGTCATAAGGCAGATATGACGAATGAGACTTCACATGGTAAGTCCAGAATTCCAGGATGATTCCGTGGAACGATCACACAGTACATACACACTGCGCCTCCAATCGAACACCCCTGTGATTGTACACAATGGTTTTTGAACCTTGGCATGGGTATGGGAGGTTTTACTATTGCACGTACTGGGAACTGCTGCTGCAACCCTACAGTTGATATTTCAGGAGCTTCTCAGCTGGCTTGGCTGGTCAGACATTGCAAGATCAACGGAAGCAGTTTTTGATTGGTCCGATTCATACATAGCCTTTCGTACATTGTGCATGATATGGCAGGCACACCTACTAAACTTAATAGGAAACACAGACGTCCTTGGCCGAAATTTTGGTCCGGCCATGGCCTGACCAACCGGACCTGTTCTGCCGGCCCTTCTTTGGCCATATCTCCATCATGATCTTAGGCATCTAGGTTTCCGATATCAGCGGAGATTCTGGTAAGGACAGGAAGTCGCAAGGCCAAGAAGTGGATGCTAAAGCGAACAAGCTCTTGGGGAATCCTTGAAAAAGAATGGAAAGACAGTCCACATTTGGCGAAACAGTTCTGCTCGCAGCTTGTGTTGTAAATGCAAATAGAAATAAAGAGGACTTTGGAAGCTGTGCATTTACTACCGTTACCAATATTATGCTTACTGAGGTGGTGTGCTCTTACCAGTGCTAAAAGTGGAGACTTGGGCCATTACTCAGCTAGGAGAACTACAATCCTGCTCGATGAAATCCAGTCGCGGCACTCAAGTTAGCGCCCTGCACCAGTTCGAAGCCCAGTGTTCGCTGGTCTAGGGCTGCACAACGCCCGACGCGTACATGAGTGCATCGACTGGATTTCATTGACCAGCACTGTACAACCAGTGCAGCCACAGTCATGTAGCTGTGCTTGCTAACTAGCAGGTCACGATGTGCCAGTGCACAGGATACGATTGCTGAAATGGTCGTACCCACTGCATGAACTTTGATGCAGGACAGGTATAGCAGTTTGCAAGGCATTGGGCCAAGCGTGTTTACATAGACACATAACATTGTGGAATAAAACTCTTTCCAGGATGAGCTACCCAGGGGCGGATCCCGGGGGGGGGGGGGGGGGGGGGGTGCTCCGGGGGCTCCATTTCTCAAATGTACTACTGGAAACCATATGCATATATATGTACATGTATCAGCCATTCAGTTATGGCTAAACGGGAACCCTCCTGTAGAGGTCTCTGGTTCCGCCCCTGCTACCGGTACACAATGCCCTGTTACAAGTACAGATGGAATAGTGATAGCTCGAGTTGACCGTCTAGCTCTACTTTCCTGCAACGATTCCTAAAGATTCCTCCCAATGCATGTAATGTGGTCACGTGGTCTTTCCAGCAGCTGCAACGAAGATATTAGCATGGACTCTGCCAGTACAAGTACACGCATGCCCCATTGTAAGATGTGGTCATGCCCCTGTCGCTGCTTTCCAACAAGCATGTACTGCGGTTTGACTGATTTCTATTGCATCTTGCATCCCATGGCTAACTTGATCCCCCCCCCCCCCCTCTCTCTCTTTGTTTCTATTCTAACTCAATCCTCAGGTCACTTAGACTTCATCAACCACGTTGAACCACAGCTCAGCTTCCTTAGAGAGGGAGAATCTATCATTGCGGTAGGTCCATTCTATTCGTTCTTCTCCAAATTGAGAAAGAACTCTTTGCTGGAACACGGTGTGCGTCAAAAGTCAAACATGAGAATATACAGAGTACCGCTTGACTCGAAAACTTGTTGGGGTTGCTTCTGGTGTTCCTGTTTGTATTATTTTATTTTTCACTTTGTCATGTCCCTTCCTCCCTCTCTCATAACCGCCACCTTCACTTCCTTTCCCCAAGAGACTCCCATTGATAGGCATCCATTTGCCTCTAGAGAATCCTTGAACATATAATATCAAGTAAACGTCGGGACCTGTGCCCTTTCTCCTTCTTCTGTGTCAGTGGCATCAGGCAGTGTCATCAGAATGTACTGTACTAGTATGTCTTGTGGGGCAATGAGTTGAATGGTATTGGTTCAAGCAGACCGTGATGCTCTTTTCGCTAGATACTCCCAATTGAGTTTGTGAGAAGAAGAGGATTTTGAAGGTGGTCTTTCTGAACATGTGTGACTGTTTTCCATGCCCATGTCAGTTTCAACGCGCCATTGCATTGCAGTGATGAGGCGTGCAAAAGGTAGTTTTAAAAGGACTCGATTTCATCGTAGGTTTCACTCTGCTGGGAAACTTCTCTGACGCCACGTGTTTACATGTCTTTCCCATATTGTCCATTTGTCTGCAGGCAGGAGAATTAGTATGTCACCTGAGTGACTATAGGCGCTGTTTGCTTGTGGTGTCGCATGGAGGCAGCAATGGCACCAATGGCAATGGGCACCATCACTCCATTGTGGGCATACACTATTGCCAGTCCAAAGAGTAGGTGTTGCTGATGCGTCTGCTGTTTCACACCGGAGTTTCACTCATGAACCATAAAATGTTGATCCAATTGCATCATTGCTGCATGCAGGCATTCCATACAGCTAAAGAATGCTCTGTGTGTGTGGGGGTGGGTGGGTGGGTGGGTGTCAGCGAACCTGTACAGCTGAACTACAGTTATTGCCAAGGAAGTCCAACTTACCAACCTCTTTGTGGGGAGATGAATTTGCTTGTGAGTTGAACTCACACTCCGAAATGCATAGTCAAGGAGAAGGAAAGTGCAAGGTCAATGTTCTGGCAAAAGCATGCTCACCTGTAGGCCTGCGTTAGGCTATACTTTGTGCATGTCTCTATGCGGCCTCTCCTATCTTGTCTTGTTTCTTCAGGGAGGTGTCATTAAGTCTACACTTGCCTGTCCATGAAGAGCTCAAGATTAACTTAGTTGGCGATGGGTAAGTTTACCAGAAATGATGTACGAAAGCCTGGCACAAAGCGGAGAGCCGTTTCTGGGTGATGCTGTTACCTGGACGTGCGACCCTTCCCGCAATGTGAGCATGCCCTACAGGGCTGTATCACCCAGCCTGGTCGGTCCGGCAATTGCTGGACCTTTTTTTAACCTACTCGTTTCATGAAAACTTGTGACGAAGATTTTTGTCAATAATGTTCATTTCTGTTACTGTCACAGAAGTAGAGAAGTTCAACTATTGCCTCATGTACAATACTATACATTCAGTACACATGTATGTACTTCTGAAGTAAATTACTATGCACTGAAAGACTGTAGGCATCTGCAGAAACCAAAACAGATGTACAGTTGTGGCAAGTGAAATCCAACACTTGCCATAGGGGACAGCGCCACAAATGGATATCAATGATGTAATGCACTGCACCAAATTTGTACTAAAGAGCCGTATGCATCTCAAACAGATCGAAAGGTCACAGCGTAGATACACACAGTTCACAAACATGGTACACATAAGGAGTATTGGTATCCAATCCCCATTCATTTTGCCAGCACCTTTTGAACCTTGACTGTGATGAGTACGAGTTTTGTTATCATGTCAGACAGATAAAGTTGTATGTAACACATGTACTGTATGTACCCAGGGCTGCAGGGGCTTCAGACTGCGTGGTGCAGTCCCTTATGCCAAGTGTCGGATTTCACTTGCCACAACTGTAGATATGAGTCGCAGTCGCAGCTTGTTGCCAGTCGCACATACCGTAAAGTACTGCGAGAGCGCCCCGTCTCGCGAGAGAGCCCCACCTTGATTTTACAGCCAGGGAAAGGAAAGTCATACGGCAGAGTGCAGTGAATTTGTACGGTGTGAGTGTGTGGAGCTCGTGTCCGCTCGAAGATAAATTGAGTACGGATTGACTCCGCAACGTGCAATGTGTGTACAAGGTTCGTCTTGTATGACCCACAGACAGGACACGACCTCCACAATGCGCTTGTTGCTTGTGAGGAGCCTGAAGCTAGTTACTAGTATCTCTTTCTCTTTAGGTCTCCTAGAAAACTAGGTACCGGTATGTCTCCTCCTCCTCCCCACCCCCCCCCCCCCCCTCCATACCAACTGATTTTCGCTATATTTTGGATTTTTGTTTGTGTGCAGTGAGGTGCAGGTGACCAGTAGCAACCAGCATGACACCGATGCATATTACTTCAAGCCATGCACCATCCATGAATTGTGGTAAGTGGGCTGCTATGCCAAAGCTATGTCCTTTTGCTTGTTTGCATGTGCGCTGCTGTCTTGCTCGGCTACAGTGACCTGTTTGATTTGCACATAATACGCCAGTAGGCCTGGGTCTATTATTTGTCTCGCAATCAATACGCAGAGGCGGCTGAACCGGTCATGGCCTGACCAACTCCTTGGCCATGAATGGGGGTTAACGGCCAATCAAAAACTGCTTCCGCCGGTCCTAGTACACTACTAGGTACAAACCGGATCTAACCCGGCGTTGGCCTGCGTGCTTGTGTGCTCCTTTTTCAGGAAAATCGTCGCTAAGCTGTTCCAGGTGGTGGAAAACCATGCTGACAATGACTGCGAGTCACAGCCTTGGTACAAGCACTACCATGGTTTCCTGACACAGGAAGGAATCCTACTCAATGAATGGTACGTGGTGGTCTTTAGAAAAGTCGGGACAACTTGCTTCTTGTGCGTGTTGTGTGCATTTGATTTTTACATACACACCAGTCCATATATTTACAGATTCAGATGTGCTCAAAAGCTAGACCCTTATGAGCCGCTAGCATGGCGATTTCCCAAGCTCAGTGTCCGAGTGTGAATGGATTACGACACGTATAATATGGCCTTCCAAGTCTATCCAAATTTTAGTGGACAAATCTTACCATTATGGCGATATTCACTGTACATGCACTAGTTTTTGGAATGCACAATGTACATGTACGTTGAGGTATTCCAGTACGTGTTATTGCTACCATTGTGTGGCTTTCAGCTGCTGTTCTGCGTTGAATTTGTTTCCCAATATTAGGACCTCAATCACTGATACCAAGTCTGGCTCTGGCAGAGAATTGAGTGACAGCAAGGGTGCGCTCAATGCACAAGTTCGCGTGGTACTCTCCAGGGTCATGGGACGCTACGAAGCTGAAGAGCTAGAGAACTTCTCCAGCAAAGCTGTAAGTCGCGGATTACCACGGATCTCCGCTGTGTGCAGCACCTTTGTGTGTACTTGACAGCATTGCTTGAGAGATAATACGAGTTACTACTAAGTAGTCAACAAGCAATTTGAGTGGCAGCTCTAATGATAATTGGTAGACTGGTTATCTGACAGGTGTAGCCATTGACATAACAATTTCCTGGTCATTTTCCACCCAAATTCCATTTCTAAATGAATTTGTTCACCTTGGTGGATTACGTACTACATGTAGTGTGGCCGGGATTCTGAGTCTCCTAGTCTTTTACTGGTCTGTCTGTCTGTCTGTTTGTACTTCACAGCTACGTGAGCTCTGCGAGAAAGAGATGGGCCGGTGTCTGGTGGATTTCCGTGGGCACATAGACAATCTCATCTTGGAGTACATGGGCCGTGCTGATAAGGCCAGCGAGATCTTCGACTTCCTCTACTTGGTAAGGAGACCATGTTCTGTATCTGACCATAATACAGTTGAATGCATGGACAAGTAAACACGCACAGAGTTCCATACGGACTTCCAATGTACTCTCCTGCACATGCTTGCCTTGCGGGGTGTTATTTTAGCTTCTTTGCCATTGCATAATTGATGAGAATTTTAAGTGAGAAGTCCCAATCAATGATCCGACGGAGAAAAGACTCTGATTGATTGAAGCTACTTACCGGTATTCATTTCAAACATGAGGTCCACAGCCAGGACAGCCTATGCAAGTCAATCAAAGTGATTGTTCATGGAGAGGAGCTCGGGGTTTGGAGTTTCTCATATCTAGACTTCTTCTCCTCACTGCTCGGAGTGAGGGTAGCATGGATGCAGCTGCCGAGGTTCAACCCCCCTGCCCGGCGCCGGCTTTGGTACTTACCGCCTCACCCTCACCGCTAGGCGCTGCACCTACCACCGTGGTATTTTCAGGTGGGGTGGGGGCTTGGCACAAGAGGAACATCTGAAGCTGGTTGTGTTTCTCAACACAAATGTAGTGCAGACGTACTTTAGACCTCTTCTCCTGTCCCAGTTACATGGTGAAAGATTCATTATCTACACTGGTCATTGCTGCAGTATACATGTATATACAATCGTGTACACTGTATACTCAATCTGCGGACAGCATGCTGTTTCGTTCTTTGTGAACTCATCAGCACAGCACAGAGGAAATGAGGCCGAACCTGATAGCAATGAAAATAAAAATTTCCAATCAGGCCCGAACGTACCAATCGTGTATACTGTACAGTGCTGCCAAATAATTTTCGCCCAAAATCGGACACCCTGCACCATGTTCACCGCCAAGGCTGGCCACATGGTGCGAATTTTTCTCCTCAGCAATTTTTTTCCAAAGAATTCAAAATAACACCCAAAATACCATGAAAATTCGCTCCGTTGCCATGGTATCCGATATGGCACCCCCGAAGTTGTCATGAATTTTGTATTGCATGAGTAAGCGCTAGCCTTTTTACTGTACAGGTACTGTGATTTGTGCCTTCAGTTGCGCTGAAAAATGAAAATACAGGACTTCTGCATAGGAAAGTACGAATCCCTGACATTTTTGGCTGCTTTTCGGACGTTTCCTTTTTCGGACCGGTTTTCGGACCGGTTTTCGGAAGAGCCTTCAAAAATCGGACACTGTCCGAAAAATCGGACGGTTTGGCAGCGCTGACTGTATAAGCAGAATAGAAATACAGTAGATACTGGTTATAACGTGCCCTTCTGATTTTTCACATTTTATCACTATAACCGGTATATCACTACAGGCGATTTTCAACTGCGCATGTCATACATACACATTATACACGTGTGGGTACTCGATCACGCTAATGTAGCATACTGATACATGATGCATGCTGCTGCACCTTCCCCAGCCTAGGGTGAAGAACTTCTTGGCCCAGGCGTCATCCAGGAAGCATCAGACGAGAATACACTATGAAAACACACATGTGGCTCCAAGTCGAGACATCAATGCCTCACACTCTTGTGTTGCTATCACTATAAACGATTTTTTTCTGTACAAAGAGTTGTTTTGAATTGTGATTCCGTATCCTTATAGCCGATTTATCGCTATATCCGATATATTGGTTATAATGATAATTTGACTGGCTTTTTCTGGTTTTGCTTTTGATATTTTCATTTTGTATCAATATAGCCGGTTTATCACTATGTCCGATGACTTTATAACCGATATCCACTGTATTCGTCTGGAATTCAATTTCGTCTTTTCGTGCAAGGAGCTTTGGGACTAAATTAAATGCCGGACTAATGTCGATTTTTCCAGCTTTTCAATACACTATTGTGATCCATGGACGAAATGTTCAACCGGACGAACTCTCTTCTTCGGAGTTGGACGAAATTTTCTGCCTGTACAGCATTAGTATATGAGCTACATTTTGCTACAGGATTCAGGCCAGGTCTGCGTAGAAATACAGGCTACACGCCTGCCTGTTTGTACGTGTGCAAGGAGTGTTGTATTGTGTCTATTCATTGCTGTGCAGGGAAGTGAGTGGAATGCTTCCGACCTTGACTTCATGATGGAGAACAAGTGAGTAGCGACCTTACCCTTGATTTCTATCCTTATGTGTTCAATTAAAACTGTGCATGGTAAGCAATATTGTTATTGCCTGCTCCTTTGGTTCATTGACAAACACGATACTGTTCTTGCCTGCTCCTTTGGTGGTTCGTTGACATTTGGTGATGTGCTGCAGACTAATGAGATGAGCTTTCTCGCCACGCTGAGTTTCTCACTGCTGAGCTTGCTTCTGTTCTGCCACCTGGTTCTGCTGAGTAGCCTGATGAACTCCAGTACTGTGCTGTGGGTGTACAGTGCACATGCGTGTTCCTTTCATGGCCCTGGGAAAGGGTGAAGTGATTCGTTAGCGATGACTTATTTTTGCTGCTGCTGCTGTTGTTGTTGTTGTTGTTGTTGTTGTTGTTGTTGTTGTTGTTGTTGTTGTTGTTTGAAATCTTTTATTCTCACGATGTTGGTGTTGTTTTTAAAATCTAAATTTTTGTTGTGTTTTGGTTTGATTTGTCCAGTGTGAAGAAAATCCTTAACGTTGCTGGGGAGATTCAAAACTTTTTCTCCGGCAACCTAACCTACCACAATATCAGGTATGGATTGTTTGAGCATTGATCGCATGGATCTGTTGAAATCCTGTCAAGCACTGGTCGGTGTGCTTTGGCATTTCCATGCATGATGCTTGTGAAAAAAATTACACACAAAATGGCATACATGAAAGGTGTGTGTGTGTGTGTGTGTGTGTGCGTGTGCGTGTGTAGTAAATAGTAGTAGATGTTGACTTCCGTTGTGTTTGTTATTATGTACTTCTATGTTGATATGTGATGCTCAGAGTGGATGATGTACCCAGTACTGACCTCCTACGGTATTTTGAGGACACATATACATTTCTCAAAGAGGCTAAGTGAGTACCTTGGACAACACCTTCCCCCCCCCCCCCCCCCCCCCGTCTCGCCTCTATCCTGAAATCTCAGCGCAGCCATGCACCCATGTCAAGTAGTACTAGTGGCACTGATTTGAGTGCCGAACAGCCAGGTACTCATTGTGAGGGGCAGCTTGGGGCAGTCCTTCTGTGTACCTAGCAAATAATGACGCAAAATTTGTGAAGTACGTGTAACATTGTACTTGTTTGCTGCAAATCCAGCAATTTTCGACCAGATGGTGAGGGAACTGGGCAAGCAAGGTCTGACTCTGCAGGATGCATAGAGCATTGCAATGTCTTTCTGTACCTCGAGCTTCCATAGCTATGTTTACCCGAGAGAATGGAACACTATAGAGCACAACACTTGTAGTACTAACTTAAGTCTGCCTGCTGTCCCTGACCTTTGCTTCTCCGTGGTCTCTCTCTGTCTCTCTCTCTCTCTCTGTCTCTCTCTGTCTCTGTCTCTCTCTGTCTCTGTCTCTCTCTCTCTGTCTCTCTCTCTCTCTCTCTCTCTCTCTCTCTCTCTCTCTCTCTCTCTCTCTCTCTCTCTCTCTCTCTCTCTCTCTCTCTGTCTCTCTCTGTCTCTCTCCCTCCCTCTCTCTCTCTCTCTCTCTCTCTCTCTCTCTCTCTCTCTCTCTCTCTCTCTCCCTCCCTCTCTCTCTCTCTTGCTCTCTCTCTCTCTCTCTCTCTCTCTCTCTCTCTCTCTCTACCTACTTGTATGTACTGTTCATTTTGCCTGCCAGGACTAGTGGTGATTCTGTCTTTGTTCACTGCAAGATGGGTGTTAGTCGATCAGCAACCGTGGTGAGTGTCAAGTGCTGTTCCTGGGGCTGTGTCCATTGAGTCAGGCTTCTGTCATCACAACCCACAATGACTTGTACATGTACAATGTACGTACATGATGCCACCTTGACTATTGTCACTGTAGCTAGGGTTTTGCTTCGAATCTGAATTATTACGGAATATGTCAGACATGGCATGATGCAAATAAATGAATTTGGTGCACAGGACACAAAGAGGTACAGAGCTGTGCACCTCAATCAATGTACATGACTGTGAGTGAAGTGTGTGAGTGTGTGAAACCAGACCTGTGGGATAGCACCACTGGCAAACTCACAGGCAGATATACATGCTAACCGTCCAGGGTTTCCCGGGGACAGTCCAGAGAATAGGGTGTTTGTCCCAGGGTCCAGGGATGTCCTGAGAAAGTCTCGGGATTGAGATGGAACTCTTGAAATCGATGTTTTTCAGTGTTTCCTCGACCTAGATCTGTTCTGAGTACACACAGCACGTAGTAGATACAGCGCAAGCGCTCGTGTCCACAAGTGCAACTCGTTCGAGAGTAGAAATTTACTTGCAGCTTGGCGTTGGACTTCAGAGTTCATCCTCATGTTTCTCCTACATGTACTTGTAGTCGGAAAAGGGAGTCATCAACTGTGACCCCGACTGTATCCACAAAAAAAGAACAGATTTTTTTTCTTTCAAGAAGGACTGGATTCGCAAACACAGCATCGCACAGAGTTCTATGGGCAAGAGCTACATGTACGTGTTTCGCAAAGGTTGTCCGAGTCATGTCTGTTGCGACGTCGGTGGTGAGAGTGAGCTGAAGCAACACTGCAAGACTAGAAAAAGCATGTGGAACTGCAACGGATCGCCGGTAGCAGCAGTCATGAAAAATACATCTGGATACACTACATAGCAGACTCAGCGGAGGACGTTCAGGTTGGTTGTAACTCTGAGTTTCATGCCGCTAGGCAATCATCAGACAACTCAGTTGTCTGATGATTGCCTCGCGGCATGAAACTCAGAGTTACAACCAACCTGAACGTCCTCCGCTGAGTCTGCTATGTACTAAGCTCTGTCTCTGACATTGAGCACTCTCTGCAGCTCGGGGAATCAACGGATTTGTCTGGATACACTACAAATAATTATTGGTGTCCAGGGAAAACAGTCAAAATAAGGGAATTCAGCCTCGTTGTCCAGGGAACTCAAGCCTCCAGTTTGGCATTTATGGGCAGAACACCAGGCAAGACTCAAACTAGGACTCGCACTAACCCGTTCATACTCAGCCGCAACTCCTGGCATACACCATGTCCCTCTGTCTGTTTATCATTCTGTCCGTCTGTCTCCCTCTCACATTCACTCTCTCACTCTCTCGCTACTATCTTTCTTGTTGGTAGGTAATTGCCTTTGCAATGAAGGAGCATCAGTGGAGCCTACAGGAGACACTTGATTATGTGCGTCAGCGTAGGGCTGTTGTGCAGCCCAACAAAGGATTCATGCTGCAGCTACTGGAGTATGAAGGCATTCTTGCTGCAAGGTAAGCTTGAGCTGCCTCCATTACAGGTGTGGTCCAAATGTTTTGTTTTCCCTGAAACGAACATCGTTTGATTGAGGGGAAGGGGAGGGAGGGGGTTGAGCCAAATTCATATGTCGACCGACACTGTGCATGTGCTACAGTTGCGCTCGGTGAAATCCAACCTAGAGTGCATGTTTGGCGCCCTCAACTAGTACGCCCTTGACGCCCTGGAAGTGGCACGATCGTACGAATGCAGCTGGACGTACACATGTACGAATATAATGATGTAATCGGAACTAGTCCAGGGTGCCAGCTTTGCATTTCGGGTAGGATTTCACCAAGCGCAACTGTACATGCATGCGATTTGCGTCGTCCAGCATAGCAAGCTGTGTTCGTTTCGGGGGGGGGGGGGGGGGGGGGGGAGAGAGGCGAGTACAAAATGAGCAATATTCGTTTCAGGGACGATGAAGTTATTTTGCAACGGACCCTTATGGCATGTTCATCTCCACATTTTGTTTGGCTACTGTAAACCAGGAAACTTTTGTGCTGGTTTTAGTTCGCGATTTACAAGCACAGACAAGTTTGCACCTGGAAACTTGATGTTTGCTGTTGGAGTCAATCTCAATGGTTTTGACTAAAGTTCCACACTTCATGTCGGCTTACTTTTGCGATTTTACACCCGTCGCAAAGATCGCGAAAGTTTCCAGATCGTAAAGGGCTTTCCTGGTTTACAGTATTCTGGGCTTGTGATTTTGCCTCCCGGAAGGGCCTCACCAAGTTTTTGTTTTGCTCTCCTAATTCGACTATGCTACTTGCAGGAATAACAAGGTTTGGGGACAGCAAGCTTCGCAGCATGAACCTAGTCCTGCAAAACAGGTCCCAACCTGCTAGTGCAGCGGTTTTGCATGCGATTGCTCAACTGCACGCTGCAGTTTCAAGTATGGGCATGACTTGCACTATTCAAGTATGGGCATGACAAGTATGGGCATGACTTGCACTAGCACATGATTTATTTATCTGTGGCCACTTTCATGTTCCCTGTCAGCTATTTTGTTGTTGTCATGGTGGCCCCCTCAATCTTCAATTCCGCCTCTCTCTCTTCCGCAGTTTCCCTGACTTGTGGCCATCCTCCGTTTTGTATTGTTGAGCATGATGCCAGACCTATGTAGCCATATCTCTCCTCACCGTTTGTCGTCTTGGTCAGTGCATTTGGTACTGCTACTGCTGCTGCTGCTGCTGTCGCTATGACATATGACACTGCTGTGCATCCGTACGTTGAGCACCCCGTTGGTAGACATTTTATAGTATTTTATAGAACGAACCAGCTTACCCATGCCTTAAACTAGACGAAAGAACGATAACAACTTGTATTCATCACTGCCTTATGCTGTAGAAAAAAAACTTAAAGCACACACACAGAAAAATGTGCACGTGTGTGCACTAATACCTCGTGCCGTTGCAGCATGCATTCAACATACTCGTGCGGAGCATTTTTGTGATGGTAAAACAAACTTGCCTGGCTGGCTTCCTGTCTCTCTCTCTCTCTCTCTCTCTCTCTCTCTCTCTCTCTCTCTCTCTCTCTCTCTCTCTCTCTCTCTCTCTCTCTCTCTCTCTCTCTCTCTCTCTCTCTCTCTCTCTCTCACGTGATGCATTGCATGTGGACGCGTTCCATGCTCCGCTTGGTCTGGTAGCTTGAATACAGCATGGGAATATCAGCAACATGCATGTATGTGAGGTTTTGAAGAGTACATAACCTCCTCCCCCAAGAGTGCACAACTCCCGCATACCGGTACCCTGCTGGCCCAACGGAATCTCAAGTTGACGTCACTCCTATGATACAATGCTCCTCGTACGAGTGATCTACGATGTTTGCACGGGGTGTCAATACGTCATAATAATTATGTGTTTCGTGGAACTAGTTTGTAAAGGATAGAAAGGGGATTTGTCAACCACCGGTCCAGGGTACGTCTAATGATATGTGCACAATGCACATTGCGTCATAAAACTAATGTCAACATGAAATTCTGTCGGGGCAGCACACACATGGGCCGTAGTCTGCATGGTGGAGTTGCACACTATGGGCGGGGGGGGGGGGGGGTACTTTTGTTTATGCGATTTGCTGTAACCATGCACAATCTAGATCAAATGACCTGCTTGCTGAAAAGGTGAAGCTGTTACATGATTGTTGCACATCCTTGCAACCTTGTGCATAACAGAATTATGCAAAGGGTTCCTATTTCGTTAACTGCTAGAACCCATGCTACTGTAAAAGCCATTATTCTAACCCCCGCCGCATATATAGCAATTTCCTGAATTGACCAGTTTACGTGTACCAAAGGTAACGGTTTTCACCCAAACTGTCAAAGCTCAATATTTCTCCTTGTTACACTCGTTAGAATTAGCACCAGGGAGTCGTATTTTACGACTCTGATTAGCACTTCGTTATAATAATATTATTATAAGGCTTTTACAGTATTCTTGACTGCATTGGTGTAACCAGGGAGTAGTCAAGTAATCCCTGGGTGTAACCATGCTTTTGCCCATAGTGAAGTTATTGCACTGTGACGAGCTAACAAAAGCAAGTAGAAGTATTTTAGAAACAGATGCTCAACGAAATGGAAGCAAGGAACCCTACATTCTGCATGATACATCATGTGTATCTGTGGAGCTCCTTTAGCCCCTGGGTGCAAGATAGAAAGACTTGCACTGCGCGTTCAGAGGAACTTTACAGGACTACTGCACTACAGACGTTCTGCCGATTTACCCGCAAAGAAGTTCACGCATGCGGCCTGATATAACACGCACGCACACGCGCACACACCCTCACGCACGCCTACATGCGCCCAACATCATAGAACAAAAGTATCAACAGTATCTGCATAAAATGTGTGTTTAATACGTACGCAATGCAACAAATTGTAAAAGACTAAAACAGACTAAATTGTGCCAGCACAATATCATCTTGGTCGTTCTATTTCCAATCATCTTCGTCATATTCATCTTCGTCATCTCCAGTACTGGCAGTAGTCAGTGTCCTGCTGCTATCTGTTACGGACTCCAAATCATCACCATCCTCACCGCGCTTCTTCTTGCCACTGATGCCTTCGCGACGCATTCTCAGCTTTGCTTGAAGCGCAGCTATGGCAAACAGGCCGCCGACGGAGGATGTGGGTGGCTCCTCGTCCTCTTTCTTCTTCTTTTCCAGCTTACGTTCCTTGGCACTCTTTAGCTTCATCTGTCCACCGCCGGCATTGCGAATAGACTGTAAGAGATCTCCACGCCCGCCCTGTTCTCCCGACGCAGGCAGCAGAGGATCACCGGCTGCACCGCCGTTCTCGTCCGGTGCTGATGCGGGCATGGGTGGAGGCGGCGGTGGTGCCGCTGCCACACCCGTGGGTGGAGGGGGTGGCGGTGGCGGCGGCGGTGGTGCGGATGAGTCTGGTGGTGGTGGCGGCGGCGGTGCGGAGGATTCGGACGGCCCAGTGGCACCCGCTGAAGTGGCCTCGCCGCTCGTCTGTATTGACGGCAGTTCGGGCAGTCCGGCCGACGGAGCTATTGACGGTAAGTCAGCGCCGTACGACAAATCCGTGGCAATGTCCGGCAAGTCGGGCAAGGTAAGCGGTACGTCGAATTCCGGCACATCCACCACACCCGGCACGTACAGGTAGTTCTGTGCTGCCACCTGATCCAGCTGCTCACCAGTCAATATCGACATCGGTGCTTCACCCAGGTGTTGCTGCTCTTCCACTTCTTTCTTACGGCGATGTAAGGCGGCCCGATCAACAAGGTCATTGTTGTCAAACACTAGGAGAGAACACACAGAGTTGACTGATTTGGACAGTTGATGTTTCCTTTTCTCGTACTCTTCTGCTTCTCCACCCTCGCTGTCATCCTTTTTGGTCTTGGACTTGCTTCTCTGCCTGCCCGAGTGTCGCAGCTCGTAATTTACTGCCTCCATGATCTGCAGTGCGTCCACGTCCAGGACATCACGGAAGCGTACCATCTCCGGGCCACCGCGACTGTGTTTCGGTCTCTCCAGGTCATGGTGCTCGGTGTGTGGGTGCAACACAGAGAGGTTGTGACGAGCCTCTTCAGCCGGATACCGGGAAACTGAAAACACTTTCGTGGCTTTGTTTTTGTTTTCCTTCAGCTTCTCGACTTTGACGGAGGCTGCCTGCACGCGTTCGTTCAAACTAGCTAAGGCTTTGCCCTGCTCTTCGACCTTGTGACTTATCTTGCAGTGAATACTTTCAAATACTTTGTCGAGATAATCCAAGGAATCAGCAATTTGCAAGAGAGATTCCTCTCGACGCAGAGACGGGAAGACCACAGGAGCTTGGTACATGACGGCAAACAGACATTGGTTTGCTGAGCTCCTGGCTCTGAGGGAATCCGAGATCGGAGGTGTTTTCAAAATGCAATTGCACTTTGGACGTTTTCTTCACATGACAGACACAAACACCCGCTCAGCTCATGATCAGGCGCTCACCCCATCATTACATCATGACGAACCACCTTCGAAATCGAAGCTAGCTGACTTCGTGTTGCGGATGTGCTCACTACCGACCCGTACACCGCGATACCGATACTCAGTATGCAAATGCACACGAATCTAGCGAACTAACTTTAGCTTTGTGGACCCAGGCCAGCTCTTCCTTCTTTCGCGTGATCCATGCTGCTACGCACGTCTTGTTTTCAATTATTTCTTGTATTGAGTTTTGATTTGAGGAAACACAACGTTGGCCTGCCCCTTGCCAATGTCTCTTTGCTAGTGCTGGATTAGCTCCAGGCTACTGTCTAGGGTGTTTTTCATGGGCTTCCGGGCATGACAGTAATCCGACAGTCGTAGATTTGGGAGGCAGCGTCCTGAGATCCGTCATAATAATTATTTATAGACAGAATACCTTACTTTCGCAGACTTTGAGTACCATTGTGTGTTTTAGCCATGGACACCCTCATTCCGATTGTCAACCAGTTGCAGGATGCTTTCAGTCACATGGGAACCTCGAGTGGTCTTGATCTTCCTCAAATCGCTGTTGTAGGAGGACAAAGTGCTGGAAAAAGCTCAGTCCTGGAAAACTGTGTGGGAAAGTAAGTGAGAAACACTTGTACGAATAATCAGTCGGGGAGTGACATCACATGCACCGATTTCCTATTTCATATTATGTACATGACTGTATTTAAGGTGATATCGTTCGCATTACCTCCATATAGCTGTAGACAGTAGTACTGTACTTATCTGTCTGCTGATTGTAATGTAAATATGTAAGAATGTCGTTTTATAACACTGAAAAGAAGCCGAAAGATCACTCTTGACAGTTGACACCCAGACAATACTTTTCGTACACACACACACACACACACACACACACACACACACACACACACACACACACACACACACACACCTCAGACCTCAGACCTCAGACATGCCCATCGCGGAAGCGATGATAGCGAACAGCTATGTTAGACATAGCAACTTGTGCTGGGATTACACCATTCAACAGCTTGCAAGGCTGATGAATTGACCGCCACTATTTTTAGCCTCACACACACGCACGCACACACACACACACACACACACACACACACACACACCATACACCACACATACCAGGGGCGTAGCCAGGATCATGGTCAAGGGGGGTGCCCATAATTTTCTTCCAAAAACGTTCTTTTGAGGAATCTTGTATATATGCATATTGTATATGCATGCTAGTGCGGTGTACACCTTGAATTTATGTATTATGAATGTCTCCAGCTTCCCATTCCAACAATCTATATAGTTACACATTTGCATTGCATTGCCAACTGTTCTCTATGTATCGTCATGATGTGAATAGAGCGAAAACATTCAATAAAAATGTGGGCCTCTTCTGTGTGACAGCTTGTGTACTATTATTAAAGTGATAGTTTGGGAGTAGATATCCGATACTAATGATGTATTTAGAGCAAGCAAAATTAATAGTATGCAGGTGACCATGGCGGCTGGTGACTGGAAATCAAGTCAGGACCAACAGTTCAAGCTGAATCTGGTGCAGCAGCTTGAGTTATGGTGACGAAGATGTTTGACTCGGACTCGGAGTCTCCAGGTCCAACAGTTTCAGAGTCAGAACTCTACCACGTCTACCTTTTTCCGCTTCGCTTTCCTGAAATACTGGAGCTAGGACATCGTCGTCGATCAAAATATGACTAAGAGTTCAACAATTTGGAAACTTCCAAGTTTTTCAGCCAAAAGCAAGAGAAAAAGCAAGAGGACAAAGCCGGGACTCCGATATGCAACAGGACTCAAACAGGACTCAAACCAAACAAAGCGTTCCGCGCTGGCTGTAATCTGGTATGAGTTTGAAAGCGCAGTTGCTGCTCGGAAAACAGCAGAGACAAGGCACTTACACTGAAACCGGCAGTGAACCATGCATCTACTGTCATGAAACCGTTGCCTTGGTTCTGACAGTGACAGCCACGTGGCGCGTGGTCAGCTACAGTTAGCGCTGGCTAGCTGTAGATCTACAGGCCGGACCACGCGCCACGCGGCTGCATGGAGTAACATGCGCTATATATTATGCATGGATAACCGACTACAACGGAAAAGTGCAAGCACGTGGTACAATGCAGTACATGTACTCGCAGATCTACGTAACATTACGAACAATGCACCCAGTCTGCTGATCTGGGCTGAGGGCAGTCGCGGTTGTTTGATCATACAATGCATGCCAAGCCAGACCCATGGTCGAAATTTTTGAGGGGGGTGCTTTGGCACCCAAAGCACCCCCCCCCCCCCCCTGCCTACGCGCCTGCGCACACACACACCACACCACACACACACACCTCACACACACACACACACACACACACACACACACACACACACACACACACACACACCAGCGTCAGATCCAGCGATCTCTACAGGTGGTTCCAGTATAGTCAAAACTGAATAGCTCTTACATGGACATGGACATGCATATGGTTGCCAGCAGCACATTTGCGAAATTTAGGGGTTCCGCGGAACCCCTGAAACCCCTCCTGGATCCGCCCCTGCACACACACACACACACACACACACACACACACACACACACACACACACACACGTACACGTACACGCACACGCATGCACGAACATCCGCTGCTATTGACAACACAGTGACAAGGACATGTGCCATTAATTTTCAGTATTGGTGGGTTTACTGGTGCTAGTGTATACCACTATGAGTGCAAGTAGTAGTACCCATAGTGTTAGTGTATACCACTATGAGTGCAAGTAGTAGTACCCATAGTGTTAGTACGTACCACTATGAGTGCAAGTAGTAGTACCCATAGTGTTAGTGCGTACCACTATGAGTGCAAGTAGTAGTACCCATAGTGTTAGTGCGTACCACATGTGTAGTACTACATGATTGTGCTGAATGCTGTATTACAGTCAGACCTCGCTTATCCGGTCCTCGTTTATCCGGATCCCTCGCCATCCGGAAGAAAACCGTTGGTTACCAGATGTACAGCATATGCCATGCTTACGTACAGTATGTGTGTTCGATTATCCGGTTCCCTCGCCTATCCGGATATTTTTGTTGAAAACGGATGTGTGCGGTTATGCGAGGTCTGACTGTACACCTGTACCAATATGTGTGTGTTTCTCAATGCAGGGACTTCTTGCCAAGAGGAAGTGGAATTGTCACTCGCCGTCCTCTTGTTCTTCAGCTTAACAATACACAGAAAGGAGGTAACCTGGTTTTTTTTGTAATTCAGTTCCTTTGACGGCAGGTTGAATAGAGCTACAGGTGCTCTGTGTTGTATGTCTAGTGAACTAACTCTCCTGCTCTTCTTGAGACTGTGGACTATGCTCTGTGAAAGCAATGATGCACTTTTGTGCTGTGTTGTATTTGAACTTTCCTCGTCTCGAGGGTTTTGGCAAGCAAACTTGAGTAGTGAACCGGGCATACTATACCAGCATGTATGTTACTTGCAGAAGATAATCATCATGTGTAGCATGGCTATATCCATTTCTGTGCCCACGACCCCTTTGAAGTAGAACATACTTTGTGTGGTTATGACCATTTTTCTGCTTACGGCCGTGTTCAAGTAAAACGTGCGTTGTGTGGCTATATCCCGATTTGTGCTCTTAGCCGTGTTCAAGTATAGCTGTAAAACATTCTCTGCATGCATGCTCATTATTAAAGAGCAACTCACCGTTGTGTCTGTGTTTTGCTGTCTTGTTGAACGATAGAATGGGCCGAGTTTCTCCACGCCAAGGGCCGGAAGTTCACCGATTTTGACGCAGTGCGGAAGGAGATTGAGGATGAGACGGACCGCATGACTGGTAGTAACAAGGGCATCAGTAACAACCCGATCAACTTGCGTATCTACTCCCCGAATGGTCAGTGATGACGCTGATTTGCTTTGCCTGATGATACAGCATTAGGACTTCAGTCCTGTGAGCTACAGGCAGGGGTCTTTTGTATCGTGGGTATGCGGGGCAGGGGCGGTGCAGGTGTGCTTGGCACGTTGTGATTATTCTGTTTTCCTACACGTTGTAAGTGTGCCTGGCACCTGCGACTTTTGTATGGTGGGCAAGCATGCCTGAAGGGCTTCCCAACGTTTCGCCATCTGGGACCCCATACGCAGAGTTGCACGCTCCTGTGGGTTATCTAGTCGTGCTTGTAGCCATCACCATCTTGTTCTTGTACAATGCCATGTTGTTGTATTGTCAAGATGGCCATCGTGGCAAGTGGATTTCATTGCTAATTTGCACTCGTGGTATTCTCTATGGGTGCAGCGAATGAGATTTTCGGTCTTTGACCACTTTGGTGGGTCTGATCTACTCGCCGCCCACCGCTTTAGGAGCTGCATCTGCGCCTTGATCCTTGGGGGTTGTGGCGTTCCTATGGTGATGGTGGTGGCGTTCCTATGGTGATGGTGGTGGCGTTGCTATGGATGCGGAAGCTTGGCCTCCAGCCGAGTCTCACGCGAGCCGTGAATTAAATTTTTAAATTGTTATCCTCTAGGTGCTCTCTCTCTCTCTCTCTCTGTGGCTGTTTGTTGTTGTTGTTTATCTAGTGCTGGACCTGACTTTGATTGACTTGCCTGGTTTGACCAAAGTAGCTGTCGGTGATCAGCCTCTGGATATCGAGATGCAGATTCGCAACATGATCATGTTTTACATCACCAAGCCAAACTGCTTGATCCTGGCTGTGTCGCCCGCCAACTCTGATCTCGCCAACTCCGATGCGTTGAAATTGGCAAAGGAAGTCGATCCAGAAGGTGTGTTGTAGGTGTGCATGTGTAGTTCTGTGTGTGTGTGTGTGTGTGTGTGTGTGTGTGTGTGTCCGTGTTTGTGCACGTGAATGACATGAGACCTGATGCTGTACCACGAAGGTGTGACACTACCCCCTTTCTAATCACAGCTGTATATCTAGGTGTGTGTGTGTGTGTGTGTGTGTGTGTGTCCACGTGCAGCGTCGTGTGCGCCGGCGTTCGATCATAGTCCTACCAACCACTTCATAGGCGGACATGTTCATGGGTTTGAATTTTATCCAAAGATCTTCAAAGTAAATGAACTTTGGACTAGCAGCGATTTGCCTAGCCTTTCAATAGGTTTCCTGATTGATGGGCGAAATTGATCTGGGTGCCTTTCTTCAGATTTTGTAGATTGGCACATTAGTACATGTAGGTCCTCACTCCTGTAAGTCAGGATTCAGCGTTTCTCGGTGCTGTGGCATGGTGAGATGCGCTTGTCGTGCTCTTTGGTGCTTGTCTGGTAGCTTTGCGCTGGCTGTGATTGCTCAGAACACAGTCATTCGTACATCCGTGTGCTTTGTGTGCGTGCCGCTGTGTACGTCCGTATGCAGGTCTTCGTACGATCGGTGTCATCACTAAGCTCGACTTGATGGACCAGGGAACGGATGCCAGGGCAATCTTGGAAAACAAGCACCTTCCGTTGAGAAGAGGTAAAGTATGGCACTGCTCTCTCTCTAATTGTGTATGCAATTGCTTCAGCTGTTACCCAGAGTTTCATGGCATTTAGTCAACCATCAAACAACACAGCAAGGACACCTCAGCTGTGTGTAGCACTTTGTATATGTGTGTGTTCATGGTGGTGAATTGAAAGTCGTTATGTCTACGATTACAGTATACAGTGGTCCCTCTATAATCCGGCACCATTTGTGCCACGAAAATCTGCTGGATTAGGGAGGGTGCTGGATTAACAAATCTGATTTACTGCTGCAATGTGCATGAAGAGGACATTTTGGCTACTGACAATTGTGCTGGTTTATCGAGGGTGCTGGATTAGAAAGTGCCGGATTAGAGAGGGACGACTGTAGTACTATACTGAGTACCTGCTGCATTGTTTGGTGAGCAGAAGAGTGAGAAAACCCTTGTCCAACATGCTATTCACACTCCATGAAACCTAGTAGTAGCGGTAGGACGGCCGCTGCACCTCATCTTCATTATCGTTGTGAATGCCTGTGTGGTGCATGCCTGCGTATGTTCATAGAGTTGTCTAAACCGCGGTGGCAGGTAGAGATCTAACTGACTATGTGCAGTGCATGTACTCTTACTGCTGTTGTATAGCCCAACTCTTCCACATGATCTGTGTATATGCACTCGCACACCTGCTTGTTAAACATCAACCATGCTTTTCTTCACCTGTATTTTCCAGGTTATATTGGCATCGTGAACCGCTCTCAGAAGGACATCGACGGCAAGAAGGATATCAAAGCGGCCGCAGCTGCTGAGCGAAAGTTCTTTCTCGGACACGATGCATACAAGCACCTTGCCGACCGTAGCGGAACCGCCTACCTTCAGAAAACACTGAACCAGCAGCTGACCAATCACATCCGCGAGACGCTGCCTGCTCTCCGTCAAAAGCTGATGGGGCAGATGACGGCATTGGAGAAAGACGTCAAAGACTACGGGAATATCTCACCGGACGATCCTGCCATGCAGACCAAAATGATGATTTCGTAAGTCTTTCCTACTTGCCTTCATGAGTTGATGGCAGCGCTGGTCGTGGTGCTGGTGCAGGATGTGGCGGCATGTCCTTTGTCTCCACAGGAGCTGCAGGCGTGGAGACGGTCGCATGGTGTGCGGGAGCATAGCCTGCCGCGGTTGAAGTTAAAACAGACCTGGCGGGTGCTGCCCGCCACTGATGGAAAGGGCTACGCGTGTTGAGCTGCGGCATGTGGACAGCGGTCGCGGCTGTGCTGAAGCGTGCATTTGGTGCACGACGGACGGGGTGAGCGGAGTAGGTGAATGCTCCACAGCGTCTGGTTGATCACGTCCCAGCGCAGTGCCATGCTGGCGGTGTGTTGGCGAAATGCTCGATCATAGTTCAGCACAGCAGACGTCGTGAACTGTTGGTTCGCAGTACAAAGTATGTGCTGATAGCAGACGAGCTCATGAGCTCGGTCAGGACGAGCACGAACGACGGTGCCCATGTAGATTGTCCAGACCTCCAGCCAAGCCGAGAAGTCGTTGATCGTGCGCTTGTGCTTTGTGCTGAGGTTGAGCGAGAGCTGAGCCGTGTCGCCGCCAGCTGTAACCAGTTGTATTGGCTCCTGTCCCTGGGAGCTGAAGTTTTCCGGCAAGAGTTCCTCAAGTTCCACAAACTCTCCGCGCTGGATTTTTTCAATCGCCCGACATGGCGGTGTGGGTAGAACCGAGGGCTCAGAGAGAACTGGAGGTCCTGGCAAAGTCGGTGGTTCCGACAGAACTGGAAGTTCCGGGCAGGATAGGTCCGGAGCTTGACACTCCGAGCGTGGGAGCGATCTTTCAGGTGCGGAGCGCGAGCGTGGGAGAGATCGGCTTCCGGGAATTCCAGACTCAGCACTGTTCTCCAGGCGTTCCACGCGCTCGAGGAGAGGGTGGAGGGCGTTCATCACGGCCGAGGAAATGATGTCCGGGGAGAGCAATGAGGGCTTGTCCTGCATAGAGGCTTCGGTGCCCGGAGCGGGGTGAGAACTAGCTGCTGACGGTGTGTCGGAGGTATCAGGCGCGAAGGCCCGCATGCCGTCAGTCCGCGCGTATGGCGAGGTCGAAGCCCTACCCGAGCGGCGGGTAGCCTCAACGGCATACCCGTGTCCGCGTCCACGTCTGCTTCCTCGTACAGAGCCTCGTGGCACGGTGAAAGAGAGAGAAAAACTTTGAAGAGAGTCACCAGTCAGCCATGCAAATCTGAGCAGGAAGCAAACTGTGAAGTGTCCGGTGCGGCGCATGCGCCTTCTGTGTTAACTTATTTTTGCGCGCTCGCAAAAATTCATTATAATTATGGTCTGATCAAACTGACCTGTAGATGTGTGTGTGGGCTGGCTGGTCCTTGTCTGTATCAAAGCAATGGAATTGAAGTCCCTGCTTCTCAGCCACCCACGTGTGGTCACTGCATGCCTCCGCTGTCTGTGCAGAGTGCACTGTTTCTGAAGCTTTCCAAGCAACGCGGAGAGTCATGCCTCGTCCCCACCGACATCATCAGAAGCTATAGCTGAGCTCAGATAGCAAGCCGGTTATTCCGTTACTGACACATCTCCTTTCAAAACTGGTGCCGTCAGAGGCCGCCAGTGATAACACAGGACAACCAACACAGGTCGATGGAGTATTTATAATTTTATATTGCTTTCCTGGCACTTTTCTTTTGTCACTCAGCTGTTAGCGGGGCAGACATCAGCTAAACTACAAGAAGTTGTGATGATCTCCCTTCCGTCAAATCATACACTATACTAATCTTTCCTGGAGACTTTCTCAAGTTTGGCACAGAGAACTGACCATTTTTGCAGTGGATGTCTCAAGTTCGTGAACTTCCATGTGTTTTTCTTCTTCTATTGCGTGCACCAGTATGCTCAACACATTCAGTAACAACTTTGAAAGTGACATCGAGGGAAGTGGCGAAGGCATTGCAACGCATGAACTGACCGGTGGTGCCAAGATTAGCCTGCTGTTTCATGAGCGATTCCCCTACGAGCTGTTGAAGGTGGGCAATGTGAGGTGTTTGCGTTCATGAGTGTGTGTGTGTGCGAACGGACGTGTGTGTGTGTGTGTGCGCGCGTGTGTGTGTGTGTGTGTGTGTGTGTGTGTGTGTATCAAAGCAGCGTGCTGTCTATACTGGTTACCCCAGCAAGTGTAGGGTGTGCGTAGGTAACCGTCTTGGCCGTTTTATGCCGATGTAGAGGCGACGGTTCGATACCGGAACGGCTTGACAGCCAAATTTGTATAGACCCAAACCAATCATCAGCGTTGATTGTTCACTTGAAATATGTTTGTGGAAGGAAACTGGCATGTTGAAGTTTGCTCTGAGGCCAGAGTCAATCGAACTGAGCCACTCCTTTGTGTTGACCCATTGCCTCCAAGTTGCCCAATTTTTCGCTTCAAATCGGAGGTGGCTCCAAACCGGACATGTGTTAGAGTGCACGTCAAATTCACTCTGGGTCTGAAATTCGGTAATTGCTATCGCTCCACGACGGCCAGTACAGAGTAACAATAAGCCTTGTGTGTGCTTCCATTAGTTTTGATCGGTATGCGGTGCTTTATTGGCGAGAGGCAAGCCGCTGTTTACCTGCGACAAGAAGTTGATTTTTCGAAAGTCGTAAAACTCAAGTCGCAGTGGGAAGCAACACGTCAAAAACTCAAATGCTTGGTATGGCGCTTCTGGTCATCGCAGAGCCATGGAATTTTGGCTCGGAGTATAACACATCGTAGTCTCACTGTGACATATGTTTTCTAATCAAAATACCAAGAGAGAAAGTGAATATTGAAACCGTTCCGGTTTGCAACCTATGTCCTATTTGAAACCGTCGCCTCTACCCCGTGTGGTGTAGACCAGGTGTGCATTGGTGGTCGATTCACATGGCTTCCGCCAGTTGCGTGGATTTGACAGTTATCTGGCGCAAGTCTTGATCTGTCTCATTCAGATCTTGTTCGCTATCGTTGCTATAAGAGAAAATCTGTGGGTGCACATCCAGTGCATTTGAAGATTTGCGTGCTTCTCTTGCGACGGGCATATACATGGTACATGGTGTGTGTGTGTGTGTGTGTGCATGTGTGTGTGTGTGAAACTGTGAATATATTGTGAAGGTGCAAACGTGTCCTGTACGTGCCGAGGTGATGTCTGGCCAACCCTTTACTAGTTACTTACACGTATGTTGGGTTAGGAATCTTAGGATGTGGCAACTGGGATTTCAGCCTTTGGCCTCTGGTTGGTGGATCTGATCTATCCTCCCCCACCGTTTAAGAGCCGCATCTGATGCCTGATCATGGGGTGGTGGCGTCCCAAGGAAGTGTAACGGCGGTTCTTGACCTGCCCTGTACGTGAACCCGTGCATTTTTTGGGGTTGGGGTAACTTGGGCCAAGTAAAATAAAAAGATTGTTGATCGTCAGAATTTCCCGAAAAATCGGGGCGGACGGGAGGGTTTTATTTTTATTTTATAACTTTTTTTTACATATGCATCGACCGGACATCTTGAAATCTTAGCATGTATTACATCTATGGGGTTATGGGTGGTACTACCATTGTTGGTTGTGACTGCTACCAGTCTTCCTGGGCACACTCCAAACACTTTGAACATGTGCAGATGACTCTGTGATACAATTTCCTGCTGCCATGCGGCGGGCACGCACACACACACACACACACACACACACACATACACACACACCTTGAACCTTGAACGCCCATTGCCGTAGCAATGATAGCGATGGCTTCCTCACGCTGAGGCTCTAAACTCGAAATCTGCAGTATGGCGCATGCCGCTTGAGGTCACCAGGACGACGGAACACTCTGTCACAGCGGTAGTTGGGGCACGGGATGTCTGGGGCTTCCTTCTCGACCCTCTGTCGACAACACTGAAACCAGGTGGATCTCTCCTGCGCTGTGTCATACCAGTCCGCTTCAGGTAAACCGATGACAGCAAAGTCCGAGGACACAACATCCCGCCAGCGCTTCTTGGGACCATGTTGCGGGCGTTTGCAGGGCAGTTCGCCGAACAGCATCTGCTTGGGCAGCCGGGTCTCCTTCGTCCGTGCAACATGACCAAGCCACCGCAAGCGGTGCTTCCTGATCACATCGGCCATGTCGACGTCCACCCCTGCCAGCTCACTCAGCGATGCTGACGACAATCTCTCCTCCCATTGCTCACGACGAGAGATACCGAGAATTGTGCGAATACACTGATGGTGAAAGGTGTTGAGTCGGCATATTCGCCGACTCAACACACCTCAACACCTTTCACCATCAGTACACACACACACACACACACACACACACACACACACACACACACACACACACACACACACACACACACACACACACACACACACACACACACACACACACACACACACACACACACACACACACACATACGGGTTCATCGATCAACAACAGCTTCGGACGCGGTACGCGGTGGCTGCGCAGTTTCCATGAATGCAGGCGTAGATATCAGGTGGTACACTGTACAGACCACAGTGCCATGTATTGTAGTTGCCAGATTTCACACAAGTACACTGGAATCACACTGCACTGCGTGATGTCGCTACGGTAAAAGCACGTTGAAGCTGTACATGAGAGCTCGTGTACGCGCGTACTGCTAAAAAAAGTTGCGTTTCGCTAAACACACGAGTTTTCTACCGTTGATCACGAAAATAAAAAATAAAATAAATCCCGGGACGGACTGAAAAATCGGGGCGGGCGCTGACGATCAACAATCAATTATTTTTACTTGGCCTAATGGCTGATGATCGCCCCTCGGCGACTCGGACTGTGGCCTTTAGTTTGTTGTTGCCCCTCTACCGTTTCCTTTCCAGGCAGACAGTGATGAGAATGAGTTGCGACGAGAGATAGTCTTTGCCATTCGTAATCTCCACGCTATTCGGTAAGGACAATGTGTAGCATGAGGACTACAGGAAGCATCAGCGATCATTGGCATGATGGTGTTTTTTTTGTGGCAAAGTATGCTTGAAGAAAAGAAAGAGAACGAATGAGCGAGAGTGACCTATATGTTGTGATGGCTGCTACACTATTACCAAGAGCACCTATACACGAGTATTCAGCTGAAGTGGCTGGCACTCGGGGCTAGATTTGCAGTCACAGCTTGATTTGCCGTTTACGCCGTTTGCGCGAAGCTCAAGTTACACGTAACTATTTATTTTTATGGTGTGAGTGCAATGCTAGACTGAGACTTCCACATGACACCTTCCTTGATGCTATTAGAATATTATTGTTGAAGAAGTCCGCTGACTTTGATCTCATACTAGGAGTCATACAATCTACTTGTAATATACTGGCATGTACTCTTGCGTAGTGCACCTCCAGTAGCTTTCAACTACAGCACAACTCACGGACTGCTGTCTTGCTTTTCACGCCTGTTCTTGTCTACAGCGTCGGCCTTTTCACGCCAGTGCTGGCTTTCGAGGTGATGTGCAAGAAGCAGATTTCCAAGCTCCTTGTCCCCTCGTTGCGCTGTGTCGACCTTGTGGCCGCCGAGCTGCTGAACATCATCAAAGCATGCGGAGAGGGGGTAAGCCAGTTAATGTGTTGCTTTCTCTGAAATGGCTGCGGCTACCACTTCGGTCTGCACTTTGACCACCAATACATGAACTGTCTATGTATGTTTTGTGGCAGTCCATAGATTGAAATGTCGGGCAGCCGCGTGCGGAGGATGCAATCAGCCAGGGTGTCTCATAGACAGAAAAGATGTAGGAGTAATTTGTTATCAAATTGATGATTGAATTTTAACAGAGTTCAACTCGGATGGTGAGCCAATTAAATTACGGTGAAAAAGGAGAATGTCGCCGAATGTCTCAGTACTCCTTGTCAGTGTTGTGCCATTTTGTCGCACTCGCTGACTGTATATTACCTGGTTACGTTGGTGGACAGTTAGTCATAACTCGTAGCATTTTGTCCTTCTCCTTTTTCACCAGAATTGTAACAGGGATAGGTTTACCTACGGATAAAACTCCGTAACCATTTCCCCCCTACTGGCTAAGCATTCTTTCAAATACGGCCTGGCATTGGCAGGACGTACTGGTATCTTCCCGGTAGTAGAATGTAGGTGTAAATAGCGAAGAATATTGCAGTAGCTGCCAGGATAGTGCTCAATGTGTAAAGAACAGAGACAGAACTCAAAGGATTGACCCACATGGAATGGCAACAAATGTTAGCTTGTTTCGAAAAGCAATGGTCGCACTATAACAAAAGTTGATGACGTATAGAAACTTGGAGTGAAGAAGGGCAGAGAAAGAGACAATGCTACAGTGAGCTCGGGCGATTTAGATCTTGCCTCTAACGTGTCTCATCAGCGTAGCTTTTAAGAGAGTGACCGACTGAACCGAACTGATATGTGTGTTGATGTATTATTCAGCACGAGTGCATGCCGTCCCCCATCTAGCCTGCAATGTTGATGGGATTAGCAGGAGATGGCATCGTGTGATTCCGCTCACTGTTCCCATACCTGTGTCTGCTTGCCTGCGTTTGTGATGCCAGGTTGCCCGCTATCCCAACCTGCGCGACGAACTGGAGCGATTGGCCACGGAGCAATGCAAGGAGTTCTCTATCAACGCCAAGTCACACATTCAGATGCTCCTGGACACGGAACTTGCCTACATGAACACCAACCATCAGGAGTTCATTGGATTTGCAGAGTAGGAACATTGTTGTTGTTGTTGTTGTTGTTGTTGTTGTTGTTGTTGTTGTTGTTGTTGTTGTTGTTGTTGTTGTTGTTGTTGTTGTTGTTGTACTGCATTAATTTGTTGATGGCGCTTCTAGCTTTACTTCGGTGTGCTACTGTGGGCTCATCCGTTGGAGATTGCCTGTCTTGTCTAGCTATTGGAAAATCGGTGGAACTCAACTAGTACGTACTCTGATCAGTGATCACCCATGATCTTGCTTAGTAGTACGGATATTAACCAGATCATGGGTGCACTGGATCCATACTGAAGTATGCTAGGATATCATGGGTGCACTGCATCCATACTGAAGTATGCTAGGATATCATGGGTGCACTGCATCCATACTGAAGTATGCTAGGATATCATGGGTGCACTGCATCCATACTGAAGTATGCTAGGATATCATGGGTGCACTGCATCCATACTGAAGTATGCTAGGATATCATGGGTGCACTGCATCCATACTGAAGTATGCTAGGATATCATGGGTGCACTGCATCCATACTGAAGTATGCTAGGATATCATGGGTGCACTGCATCCATACTGAAGTATGCTAGGATATCATGGGTGCTCTGCATCCATACTGAAGTATGCTAGGATATCATGGGTGCACTGCATCCATACTGAAGTATGCTAGGATATCATGGGTGCACTGCATCCATACTGAAGTATGCTAGGATATCATGGGTGCACTGCATCCATACTGAAGTATGCTAGGATATCATGGGTGCACTGCATCCATACTGAAGTATGCTAGGATATCATGGGTGCACTGCATCCATACTGAAGTATGCTAGGATATCATGGGTGCACTGCATCCATACTGAAGTATGCTAGGATATCATGGGTGCACTGCATCCATACTGAAGTATGCTAGGATATCATGGGTGCACTGCATCCATACTGAAGTATGCTAGGATATCATGGGTGCACTGCATCCATACTGAAGTATGCTAGGATATCATGGGTGCACTGCATCCATACTGAAGTATGCTAGGATATCATGGGTGCACTGCATCCATACTGAAGTATGCTAGGATATCATGGGTGCACTGCATCCATACTGAAGTATGCTAGGATATCATGGGTGCACTGGATCCATACTGAAGTATGCTAGGATATCATGGGTGCACTGCATCCATACTGAAGTATGCTAGGATATCATGGGTGCACTGCATCCATACTGAAGTATGCTAGGATATCATGGGTGCACTGCATCCATACTGAAGTATGCTAGGATATCATGGGTGCACTGCATCCATACTGAAGTATGCTAGGATATCATGGGTGCACTGCATCCATACTGAAGTATGCTAGGATATCATGGGTGCACTGCATCCATACTGAAGTATGCTAGGATATCATGGGTGCACTGCATCCATACTGAAGTATGCTAGGATATCATGGGTGCACTGCATCCATACTGAAGTATGCTAGGATAAGAAGTACATGTAGCTCGGATACAAAGTACACAGTTTCCTGCTGTCCGAATGGGTGCGTCTTATCAGAGTTCCACTGCAGTTCCATGTGTTGCATGAGCAGTTGATAAGTTGTTGCCACATGTACAGGCCATGACCAACACATCATCTAGAGCCTAGAGCCGCATGAATGCCCTAAGTACAAGTACAGTAAAACCTGTCAAGGCGACCACTCGGATAAGACGACCACCTGTCCTAGAAGACCACTGAAACCAGGACCGAGGGATGCTATTTCCAGTCAAATGACCCTGGATAAGGAGACCACCTGGTAACAGAGACCATCTTGTGAAGGTCCCTTGAGCGGTCATCTTCGACAGGTTTCACTGTACATGAATTGATGTAACCATGGGCAACGATTGCCAGCAATACCCCCCCCCCCCCCCTGAATCTAGTTCCATATTTGTAAATGCTCTTGTCCCTGAATAGCTGGTTACATAACCCTGGCCTGTTGTGAGCTGTAGTGCCCTGTAGTCATGTGGCATGCCTGGTGCATACCTACATCTGATCTGATGGTCTGATACGGCATGCACCAACCCCATAGCGTACATGTCTGGTGCAGGTCCCTGCCGTACGCTGCAAACCTGCATTTGTCCATCTTTCAATCACAATACCAAAAGAGGCAAACCATTCCACAAAAAGGAGGGGCGCAATGAAAAAGCGCAAGCGTGGGATGCAGATCCAGTGGGCAATAACCAGGGCAATACACAGAAATATTGCCCGCTGGTGAGCGGGCGATACCGAGAAATACAGCACGCTTGCGGAAGGCGTTGATTGGCTGTAATACAGACAACCCTCACGTGGCATGCAATAGACTGTTTTCTGTCCTGCTGCTGCTGCTGCTATCATGGTTGCCTATAGTGCTCAGAAAGGGGGAAAAGCAAGTGGTGGCCCTGCACAGAGGAAAACTGCCAGTGATCAAGTGAGTCCGCTCATTTTTGTGCTTTTGTGTGTGTGTGTGTGTGTGTGTGAGCTTGAGTGTGTGTGTGTGTATGCACGTGTGTGTGTGTTTGCGTGTATGTGTGTGTGTATGTGGGGGGGGGGGGTATGTATGTATGTGTGTGGGTGTACAGGTCCTCCCTGAGGACCCTCGTTAGTAGATAATCTCTGGGCCATCGAAAAGTTATCTTATAACGAGACTTATCTTGTAGCAGGACTTGCAGCTAAAGGTGAAATAGGCACTATTTCGTACTTACCGGGGCTACCCTCGATACAACATAAATTATGGATGCTTCAACTCGTTGTAAGATAATTGAAAAACTCCAACATAACTCTTCCTTAAATGCAAAGCATCGTCCATATTCACAAATACGTAAATATAACACTTTTCCTCTTTCTGCTTTATCCTACATGTCTTGGCCTTGGTCCTGCATGGTCAATATTATCTTATACTGAGGGTTTGGCACTCCAGGGACCTGGGTAAAGGGTCGTTATAACGAATTTTATGTACTAACGGACTATGTTGTAACCGGACCTGTAAACAGTTGTATAGACCACGTTTCGCCAGGGGATTTCAGATTTCTATTTACTAACGGGGTTTATGCACTAACCGGACTCGTTATAATGAGGGAGGACCTGTATATGGGTGTACGAACCGACATACCGTTACCAGTGGCTATTTAGTATCAGCTTGCGAAGGGACCCGATAAAGTGTCTTCTGTTGATGACGAAAGACACGGAGCCCTCCGTACATTCACGTGCGAAATATCTCAGCCTGCGGACTTGTCGGTCATCAATGTCCCTCAGTAAACCACACTGTGTTGGCAGTTGTAAGGTGTACTTTCCCACAAGAGTACTGAACAGGAAAATGCCTATCAATATGGTTAACATACCAGTAGTTGGATGTCAGTCACAGCGTATACTAATTTCGTACTGTCTGCCAGGTGTTTGCTCATTTCCTTTGCTCTCACCATTCCTGGGGCAGATCTACCAGTATATTGCCATGCTGCCAAAAAAAGCTGAGCCCACCCCGTTGTTCATGTGTGCATACTTCTCTGTGTGTATGTGTATGTGTGTGTGGGTGTGCATGTGTATTTGTATTTGCGCACGCGTGACTGTGTGTAAATGTGTGTGTGCGTCCGTGCATGTGTGTGTGTGTGTGTGTGTGTGTGTGTGTGTGTGTGTGTGTGTGTGTGTGTGTGTGTGTGTGTGTGTGTGTGTGTGTGTGTGTGTGTGTGTGTGTGTGTGTGTGTGTGTGTGTGTGTGTGAATAACATGTGTGCGTTTGTGCTTGCATGCTTGTCTGTGGATTGCGAATGCTGTTGGTAGATCATTCGCAGGGGCTGGCTGATTATTAACAATGTTGGTGTGATCAAGTCTAAAGAGTACTGGTTCAAATTGTCGTGTAAGTGGGTATGCACATCATTCTTAGATCTCTGTGTCATGGCTACAATCCACTGTACAGTGTTACAGCATTGCATGGCTGCTATCTGAGTAGAGGCTCCTCTGTTGGCATTACTACTGGGAAGTGGTGAAGGGCTAGTATACACACGCCCAGATCACGTTACCAGACAGTAGACACCCTCAGCAAACAACGGTAACGCTATTTTTTACGGTACTCGTACCTGGATCACCCAAATAGCGTTGAAGCTGCAGCGTAAACACGTTATGTGGGCTGATTTATCGTTGTGACCAACAGTACGTGTTTTGGCCAAATATTGCATAGTCCGTACGCATTTCACCTTGTATCGCGTATATGGTGAAATAAATGGTTGTACCGCGCGAAATAAAAGCTATTCTCGTGGCAACAGTGTGCTAAAAATAGCGTACATCTTGCTAAAGGTCGAACCCAAATCACGGTATTTTCCCACTTACGGTAATACCGTTACCACGTAACGCTTTTTGCTAAGGGTGTCTAGTATTGTGAAGTAACCGTATTATCGAAGCTACTCACCAGCTCTTGAAAATACCGCCATTCCGGCAACAGGCTCTCAGCTGCACCAAATAGATAAATAAATATCTTTGCCAATATTTCGCCCATTGGGCATCATCAGGGCATGCGCCCAATGGGCGAAATATTGGCAAAGTTATTTATTTATCTATTTGGTGCAGCTGAAAGCCTGTTGCCGGAATGGCGGTATTTTCAAGTGCAAGAAATACGCTGCAATGGAGTTTGGGAATTCTGAAGATACTCACCAGCTGTTTGATTCAATTGCATGGCCACTGTACATATCGTAACCATATTGGGAACTTCATGCGTCGATTTCGTTGTAGTGTCGATTGTATTGCTTTTTGATTTTGCTGGCCAGGAGCAGGAGTAAGCTATCGAGTCATCTTGAACAGTGCTGGGTGAATTGAGCCGAGTCAGATGATCCCTCGTGCCAATTGATTGACTGCAGATTGCCGTGCACGGCCACCTGTTCTTATTCTTTTTGCCGTTGTCGTTGTGAAGCTCGTTGAAGCTTTTTGAGGTTTGTTGAAGCTTGCATCAATAGCGATGTTCTGCTCAACGTGAAACGTAGAGAAACTAGGTAGAAACATGTGTCCAGGTTTGAATCCACGGCTTCGCTTGTTTTGGGTCCAGATTTCTACTGGTGCTTTTTTCTAATACCAAGAAAGCTGCCAAATTTGGAGCGGGGAATTCCCAGAACACATTCCACGTCGTTTCTTTATATGAACGTAGAGCAGAGCAGGTTTCGTATACGTTCCGGGAGCGCGGGGATGCGTGATATTCTTCGCGTCGCGTTCCCGTCGCGTTGCGTTCCCGTCGCATAGGGCAGAACATCGCTGCTATCCTGGATCAGCAGAGCCGAACAAACCCTTTGCATTGTACGTTGTGTGTTGTTCTGAGCTGAGCATTCCCTACCCCGATGTTATTTGAGATCACGAATATTTGTAGTTTTGTGTAGTAGCTGTAGAGTACTCACTGTGTAGCTCTGCTTTACTCTGTTTTACTCGGTTCTCTGTTTGTGTAGCCGAAACTCTCACCTGGTACAGAGACGAGACGGTGAGTCGGGCCACTGTACTTCTTACGCTACATGCATACTACACGCATGCATGCACGCACACGCACACACACACACACACACACACACACACTACTACTACTACTACTATGTACAGCTACCCTATCGGGCCACGCCGCTCCCAGAAGCGGGAGACAACGACAAGAAGAGAGAAGAGAAGAGAGAGAAATCGCAAAGTCAACAATATTTGGCATGGCGTTGCAAGTCCTGTGGCCTTGAGAACCGTCTTTCGCAATGCTCGCATTCATGAGGGCAGTTGTACACACACACACACACACACACACACACACGCACACACACACACACACACACACACACACACACACACACACACACACACACACACACACACACACGCGCACACTTCAAGCACTCTAGCTACTACTCTCCATGCCTGCCTAGCTACACGTACATGCCAGCCCATCTACCTGCCTACATGCCTTCCTGCCTACGTGCCTACATGCCTACATGCCTACATGCCTACATGCCTACCTGCCTACCTGCCTACATGCCTTCCTGCCTACATGCCTACCTGCCTACATGCCTACATGCCTACATGCCTTCCTGCCTACATGCCTTCATGCCTACATGCCTACATGCCTACATGCCTTCCTGCCTTCCTGCCTACCTGCCTACATGCCTTCCTGCCTACATGCCTTCCTGCCTACCTGCCTACATGCCTTCCTGCCTACATGCCTACATGCCTACATGCCTACATGCCTACATGCCTTCCTGCCTACATGCCTTCCTGCCTACATGCCTTCCTGCCTACATGCCTACATGCCTACATGCCTACATGCCTACATGCCTTCCTGCCTTCCTGCCTACATGCCTACATGCCTTCCTGCCTACCTGCCTACATGCCTACATGCCTTCCTGCCTACATGCCTTCCTGCCTACCTGCCTACATGCCTTCCTGCCTACATGCCTTCCTGCCTACCTGCCTACATGCCTTCCTGCCTACATGCCTACATGCCTACATGCCTTCCTGCCTACATGCCTTCCTGCCTACATGCCTACATGCCTACGTGCCTACGTGCCTACATGCCTACATGCCTTCCTGCCTACATGCCTACATGCCTTCCTGCCTACATGCCTACATGCCTACATGCGTTCCTGCCTACATGCCTACATGCCTACATGCCTTCTTCACAAACTACGGGCACAGTGATCAAAGAGAAAAGATGACTCTGTAAAAATAAGGCTAATGACTTTCATGATGGCATTAGTTCCCTGTTGGTGCTGACCGGTAACAGTTGTAATGTAATGAGTGTGTTTGCCATACTTCACCAGTACGCGTATGGTGATGGCGAGACATCTGTGAAATAAGTGCTGTACGATCGCTGTTATAATTATGTGCTGGTGGTATGAAAGATTTCTGTAGCATGTACTGGTAATCCTGGTATTGTGAAAAATTGCTGTAACGTACCGTAGTGACGCACATAAAGGCACATGCGCTTATGAGTGAGTTTTTGCGTTATTTGCTATTTTTTGCGGCTCGTTTTGTCTCACACATAGGCGCATGCGCTTGAGTTGCTAGTGTACCGGTGCCATGCATAATTATGCACATAGTGCAATACCGCAATGCACATTGAACTATGTGAACATGGTGTTTTTGTGGTGTGTGTGTGTCGCGGGATGGACTGCATTTACGTTCACTTATAAGCCCATGCGCTTACTTGTGAGGGTGCTCTTATGCCCGGGTATAGGTACATGCGCTTATATGCGCATCACTACGGTAGTAAACTACACGCAAAAACATGTCCATGTTGGTAGTACCGTTGCTGGCTTGCTGCAGTGTACTCTCGCACTGATGTGCGCATACGACATGGGAAGCTATTCACGGGTTTGGAAAGCATGTGCTTGTTCCTGCGTGTTGTATTTCTGTACACTGGCATATGCGAATGCAGGAAGACGACCAGAAATACATGATTCGTTTGGAGAATGTTCGCTTCAGAGAGATCCAGGAGACTGGACACTTCAGCTTTACAAGCAAGCATACAGTTGTCCTTTACAACACAGAAAACAAGTAAGAAGAGTCTACTGGAAGATTAGGCAATAGTTACCAAACAAACTGCACTGTATTTTCATCTGTCTTTTGTTCTGTCTGTCTGTCTGTCCGTTCGTCTGTTTGTGTGTCCGTCTGCCTGTTCATCGGCCAGTCTGTCCATTGGTGTGCCTGTTCATCAGTCTGTCTGTCCATTCGCCAGTCTGTCCTTCGGTCTGTCTGTCCATTCGCCTCTCTGTCTAATGGACAAGAGATTGATTAGCGTTATCCCGTCCTGATGTCAATAATCCTCAGTATCCTGCATTGCTCCTGTTCGCTTGACCAGCCGATCATGGGCCCTGATCCCTGAGGCCTGGTCCCTGGTCCATAATCTCTTGCTATCCGCCCTGTGTGTAGGATCTGCAAGGTCTCGATTTTTTCTTTTCTTTTTCATGCATGGGCGCATCTGTGTGTGCATGCATGCTCGTAGGGTTGTATTGGGCTTGTGTTTATGTATGCATGCGCCCATGCTATGTTATGTGCGTGCATCAACAATGATTTTAATTTTTTGAATGCAGGAACATCTTCAAGGACATCAAAGAGCTGGAGCTGGCCGCGGAGTCGGAGGAGCACCTCGAGTTGTGGATGGCTGCTTTCCTGCGCGCCGGTGTATACCCTGATCGAACGGCTAGCTCAAAGGCAGAGAAATCAGCTGTATGTGAAAAGAGTATTCTTGCATGCACATGGTACTCCAACGGGAATTGACTCTGTGTTCAGATTTTCTTGAGCATGCCATATGCAAGGGGGTTTGAAGAACAACTATACTATAGCTCTTCCAGCAGTGAGGGAGGAGTGTATATCTGGTGAAATTAGTCCCTCCACCTTTCACCTCTCACCTGTCCTATGTTCAGGTCCTAATTTCCTCTCTCCTCTGCCTCTCTCTTTTTCTTTCTCTCTCTCTATCTCCTCTTTCTATCTATCTATCCATCCATCTATCCATCTTCTCTCCCTCCCTCCCACCCTCTCCTCTGCCTCCCTCCCTCCCACCCTCTCCTCTGCCTCTCTCTTTTTCTTTCTCTCTCTCTCTCTCTCTCTCTCTCTCTCTCTCTCTCTCTCATCTCTCTATCTATCTATCCATCTATCCATCCATCTATCCACTCTCCCTCCCTCCCACCCTCTCCTCCAAGCCTTATCTGGTAGGAGGTACGGGGGGAGAGAGAGACATGTTAAGTAGCAGGTTGTGCCATAGGCATGAATGTACTTATGTTGGCTGCTGCCTCTTCTTTCCATCTGTTGCTGTTCAGGGTCCCGAGACCTACGCCACCGACCCACAGATGGAGCGCCAGGTGGAGGTGATCCGCAACCTGGTTGACTCCTATGTGGGTATAGTACACAAGACCATTCTAGACCAGGTACCCAAGTCCATTGTGCACCTACTTGTCAACCAGGTGAGAGACAACCGTGTTACTTTGTTGTCTCCTGAAGTCCGTGGCTTCGAACAAATCAACACACTCTGCAGTGGTGTGTGCGCGTGTGCGTGCGTGTGTTCATGTGAGTATTCAGACGTCTGTAATCATTGGACAGGAGAGAGTTCTCTATGTCTGTGGATGAAACATGTATGTGCTTTACCATTATATTATTAAGGGCCAAATTCAAATTCCTTTTCTGTCACTCTGGGTTTTGTGTTGAAACACACTCATCAGATAGGCAACTGAATGTACTAAAGTGTGTACATGGATGATGATGTGCTTGTGACCTTCAACGTATGTGTGTGTGTGTGTGTGTGTGTGTGTGTGTGTGTGTGTGTGTGTGTGTGTGTGTGTGTGTGTGTGTGTGTGTGTGTGTGTGTGTGTGTGTGTGTGTGTGTGTGTGTGTGTGTGTGTGTGTGTGTGTGTGTGTGTGTGTGTGTGTGTGTGTGTGTGTGTGTGTGTGTGTGTGTGTGTGTGTGTGTGTGTGTGTGTGTGTGTGTGTGTGTGTGTGTGTGTGTGTGTGTGTGTGTGTGTGTGTGTGTGTGTGTGTGTGTGTGTGTGTGTGTGTGTGTGTGTGTGTGTGTGTGTGTGTGTGTGTGTGTGTGTGTGTGTGTGTGTGTGTGTGTGTGTGTGTGTGTGTGTGTGTGTGTGTGTGTGTGTGTGTGTGTGTGTGTGTGTGTGTGTGTGTGTGTGTGTGTGTGTGTGTGTGTGTGTGTGTGTGTGTGTGTGTGTGTGTGTGTGTGTGTGTGTGTGTGTGTGTGTGTGTGTGTGTGTGTGTGTGTGTGTGTGTGTGTGTGTGTGTGTGTGTGTGTGTGTGTGTGTGTGTGTGTGTGTGTGTGTGTGTGTGTGTGTGTGTGTGTGTGTGTGTGTGTGTGTGTGTGTGTGTGTGTGTGTGTGTGTGTGTGTGTGTGTGTGTGTGTGTGTGTGTGTGTGTGTGTGTGTGTGTGTGTGTGTGTGTGTGTGTGTGTGTGTGTGTGTGTGTGTGTGTGTGTGTGTGTGTGTGTGTGTGTGTGTGTGTGTGTGTGTGTGTGTGTGTGTGTGTGTGTGTGTGTGTGTGTGTGTGTGTGTGTGTGTGTGTGTGTGTGTGTGTGTGTGTGTGTGTGTGTGTGTGTGTGTGTGTGTGTGTGTGTGTGTGTGTGTGTGTGTGTGTGTGTGTGTGTGTGTGTGTGTGTGTGTGTGTGTGTGTGTGTGTGTGCATGCGTACGTGTGTGCATGCATGTGTGTTGTGTGTCACAGATCAAGAACTTCATTGCTAAAGACATGCTGCCGGCCTTGTACTCGGCTGATCATGTAAGTGTGTCATGGTACATGGTGGCACAAACTACGCAAATCCGGCACACGAGAAGAAGAGGCATTGGGTTTAGTGCAAAACACTGGTGTCCACACTACACCACCCCATTACCACCCCACTCCAACACTGTTGTCCACACTACACCACCCCCATTACCACCCCACTCCAACACTGTTGTCCACACTACACCACCCCATTACCACCCCACTCCAACACTGTTGTCCACACTACACCACCCCCCATTACCACCCCACTCCAACACTGTTGTCCACACTACACCACCCCATTACCACCCCACTCCAACACTGTTGTCCACACTACACCACCCCCATTACCACCCCACTCCAACACTGTGTAGGAGTATACTGTATGTACTGTCTGCCACACTTTCCGGTTCTCCTTTGCTGGTGCACTCAGTGACTGTGCTTGTCTTCAGCGCAGAACAGGATTACACTCACACCCTCGGTTATCTGGACTCCAAAGCAGGCACTTCGGTCTACCGGGCACCCTTTGGACCAGTTTCAGTGGAAATATTACTACTCTTTTGTCACTTTTCGTGGAAATATTACTACTCTTTTGTCACTTTTTGTTGAAAGAGTGACGTCATATGCCATATCTATGGCATTTCCCCATCAAAATGTATGTGATTCGGAGCTACGGACATTTCAAAGTTACGGGCAGTGCTCGGTCCCGAGCCGCCTGGATAACCGAGGCATGAGTGTATACACGTATGAGATGTGATGCAGGAATTCCTGACTGCTATTATTGTATTCAAATTAGGTGTGCATCGGTATGTGTGTGTGTGTGTGTGTGTGCGTGCGTGCGTGTGTGCGTGCGTGTGTTTCTCTGCTCCATCCGCCGTGTCCACTCGCACAGGGCTCGTTGATGGAGGAGAGCAAGGCGGAGGTGCAGCGGCGTGACGAGACACTACGCATGTACCAGTCCAGCAAGGCTGCACTCAAGATCATCGACGGCATCAACAAGACTACCGTCTCGACGCCCACACCACCGGCCGTCGCTAATAACATTCGAGTGGACGCACTGTAAGTCACCGTAGTACCGCCGTGTCTGACCCTCTGAGACCAGGATGGTTGAATTTGATCGTTCACTTCAGTAATATATTGCAATTCGTAACCGTCGTCATGGTAAAACATGTCTTTTCTTGGAGGAGAGTGCTGTGTGTGGTATACACTGTGATCTGCTGTCACTGACCTTGGCACTCTCTTGCCTGTTGCAGGGACAGTTCGCCGGTAAAGGCCCGACCTGCTCCGCCGCGCCCTGCTCAATCTCGGCCCGGCCCTCCACCACAGCCAAGGTATGCTGCTACTGCTAATACACAGTTGTGTACTGTATGTGTAGCTGTGGTATGGTGCATAGTGATTGTAATGTGCATTCTGCTGATGAGGCCATCATGCCAAGTCACAGCCATCCTCGCGCATATCATCCACATGCAGGACAGACTACTTGTAACAAGCTATGTGTCCATCAACTACAAGTACATGACGATTGTACAACGAGTCAGGAGCACTATGCGTCCTCGCCTTGTAACATGCTGTCAAAATCGAAAAACATGTTAAACTACCAAGCAAGGCTTCTTTATATATAAGTACATGTACAGTGCTGCAAGGTGAGATCCAACCCCGCGCAGCCTGTAAAGCTGTGGCCGAGGGTGGATTTCGCCTTGTAGCATTCCCACTCGCTGAACACATGCTATAAATTATGGAACCAGAGAGCTCGGATGTTGCGCCAATGTAGTTACGGATAAATAAAGGAAGGACAAAATGTTATGAGTTATGGCCAACTGTCCACACAGTTTCTAGATCTTATACAGTCAACAAGTGCGACAACAAGGCACACACTGACAAGGAGTACCGAGACATTCAACAAGGCACAAACTGACAAGGAGTACCGAGACATTCAACAAGGCACAAACTGACAAGGAGTACCGAGACATTCAACAAGGCACAAAACTGACAAGGAGTACCGAGACATTCAACGACCCGACGCCTAGCTCTAACACATCTCCGAGGCGCAAACCAACAACCTTCCAACTTGGAAGGCTCTGGTTAGGAAAGGTCCTAAGAGGGGAAAGAAAGCGCAACAAAGACGAGCACGGGCTACGGTAAGTCCCACGGCAACAAAGAATCCCGAACGTTACTGGATGATGACTAGTAAGACAATTGAACATACCGGCCTTACTACAACTCGACGACGCAAAGCAACAGACCACCTAACTAAAGTGTTGTTACTTCAGAAGCTCAAGTTTATGTAATAAACATAGAAGGGAAGCTGAGCGATGACAAATTGATTCTTCCTTTATCCCCTCTTCTCACGTCGTTCTTCTTTCTCTTCTCTGCTCTTTCTGATTCTTGCACAGGCGGCCCCCAAGACCTTGAGAATCTGTTCACAACTGCGTATTATGTAAGCTCTAGCAGAACTATAGACCTGTTTTATCATTATTGTTATTATTATACATTGAATGACAAAACATATTGATTATTATCCTTTTGAGTGGTTGGCTTGCATTGAATATCCCTTTGGTTGAACTTCTCATATTTTTAAACTATTTCCCAGGCAGTAGTTTATGACAGCTTCCGTGTAGCGCCTCCTGACAGTTTTTGACTTTGTTGCCCTTCTTTTGATCGCTAGTGGTGCAATATAATAGGAGCTTTTTTTCTTCCTCTATTGGTGGATCGGCTGTGTTTTCAGCGAGAGAATGTGCTGCTGTGTGCCAGTTTCTCGGCTACTGCTGTGTTATCATTTTCTGACTGCATGTGCCCTGATGCGCTGTAACTGCTTGTGCGACTTAGCTGTACATATTTCTTGCTTTTTACTCTCGTGTTGTTTGCCCTCCTCGAACTCTGTGAACAGACTTGATACATATAGCTTGTATCAGCCTGGCCATGCTTTTGCTGCAACTCTATTGTTATTGCTGGCGCTGCTGCTGCTTTTATGCCTGATAGATGCCCACATGCGCTATGGTGGGTGTCTTGCTGCAGATTCTGACTCTGAGCTTACTTGACCTTGTTTCTTTCACAATGATGCCACACAGAACACCACCCTGTACATATACTTCTGTACTATCGCCACTCGGCTTGATTATTCCAGCAATGCTGCCCCCTGCATGGATTTGTGATACACTGGTAGTGCAACCACAGGCTACCAGCACTTTTATCTGTGTGGGACAGACAGACACACACTCGCAAGTACAGACAGACACACACTCGCAAGTACAGACAGACACACACTCGCAAGTATAGACAGACACACACTCGCAAGTCTGCCGCTGTGTGGCTACTGTAAAAGTGCAAATACGTCCTGTTAGGGGCCATCCGTAAATATAGATATTTATTTAGAAACGAAAACTAGTCGTTTAGGGGGAGGGGGGAGGGGGTTGAGCGCCTGTTCGTTTCTCGAATAATATCGACGTACATTTTGCATGTGTGAGCATGTTAATAAGAAAAAAGACCAAAAATACCGATACTATGTACCATTTGTATGTGTTCGTTTCTCAGGGAGGGGGGGGGGGAAGGGGGGTTGAAGAGAAACGACTAGTTTTCGTTTCTAAATAAATTTTACGGAAGGCCCCTTAGTGAAGAATTCGGCTGTAATGATTGCATGTACTTGGTACATAATTGTTCTGTTGTAGAATCTCAAAATCGCCTACCTGTGGTTTGTAGGGTCCGGCGGATTCTGCCGGCAGAAAAATTGGCAGAATTCGGTACTTTTTCTGGTAAGTTTCATGCATGTTTGGTATGTGGATAAAAAAAAATGGAGCAGAATTCGAGGAATTGCCCGCCATAAGGTTTGTATGGTTCTGCCAATTTCACTGCTTTTCGAGCAGAATCCGCCGGTACGCGGTCCCTACCTGCGGCTTCGAAAATAATTGGATGTGAATTAACCAACGCTAGCGCTACATACTACATCACTCCATGCATACATGTATTTCATTTATGGCGTCATTCAACAACTAACTTCTCAATATTCTTTTTAAAATTATAGGCTGAATGAAGTGTACTCTTTTCAACATCGATACTTCTGGACTTGTGCATCCCACTAGCACTACAAATACAGTACAATAAATTAGAAGTCTGGTAGATCTACTCGTACTTTGACAAAACGGATCTGGGGCGTTACTCTTGATGAAGGTAGGATCGCATTTCCGGATCCCCTTGTAGATCTACGACGGCCAGTTCGAGCCTATCGGGATTCTGGCAAGTTCCGTTTCGGACACCATGCGCGATATGCATGTCGTACTGATCGATTGGTAAAGAAAATAATTGCTCCACCACGAAAACGAAGCCGATTTGTCTCTTTATAGCAGAGTCCAAAGTGCACACGTACATACACTGTACTAAGGGGATCAAAAAGTTGTAGAGTACTCTCGCCTTGGTACTACTACAAGTACAAGAAGAAGCCAACAACAATTTGTTCTCTTTGTGCCACTCTGCAATCGCTTGCCGGGAAGCAAACGGCAGTGAATCGTTGAGCTACCTATGATGTAGAAACTACCACAGATACAGGAATCGTGAAGGGTGGTTGTGACGGATGGAGGATTTCTTGTCATCTATCAACAACAAACAGTACAAGATCTCGCCAATATCATTCTAAATTCCAACTCTATCTACACATTTTAGACCAATCACGACAAATGGAAACAGCAGAAGGGCGCGGAGAGGTGTGCAATGGCGGTTTCCCCAGCCACATAATTCTCGGAAACAGGACTTTGTTGATAGGAAGTCGCGCCCAAAGGAACCAAAACTGCCCACGTGTCTCCTCGAGGTAGTGAATCGAACTGAACACGAGCCCAGACGTACGGTACGGGAGTTCAATTGACTCGCGAGGGGGGTATGGGCCAATGGTCATTTCCCTAGACAATCACAGCTGGAACACCTGTTCATTAGGTGCATTGCGCAGAAGCGGATTAGGTTGTCAGGTCGCAGGAAGAAGCAGTTACCATCCAAGTTGAGAAAGCATTCATCATGGTGAGTTTCACTTCCAGTCTTTCCGACAAAGCTACCTAGATTTTAGTAGTTTGCCTATGGATGATGGCTGTGATGATGGAGATGGCGTATAATCGGCCTTGGACGGCAGTGTAAGTGTGTTTGGCTTGTCTGTATGCCCTGTCTTCGTGCAGGCATCCGGTGTAGCAGTTTCCGACGAGGTCAAGGCCGCTTGGAATGACATCAAGCTGGGCAAGAAGGTCCGTTACTACCTTCTCAAGCTCAGTGATGACTTGAAGGAGATCATTGTTGAACAGAAGGAGGCTGACAAGTCAAAGGGCTTCGACGACTTCGCCTCCATGCTTAAGGCCAACTTCATCAACAACTGCCGATATGCTTTCTTCGACTTGAACTTCAAGAACAGCGAGGGAATCGAGAAGGACAAGCTCGTCTTCTTCTGCTGGTACGTCTTTAGTACTTTCGCAAAGGAGCGTAATGATTCGAATTGGCTGCTTGCCTCTTTAAATGTCCTGCATTATATACCCCGGTTGTTTGTATATTTTGTATTGTTTTTTTAGTACTCTTTCCTAACAAATGATCGCCGAAGTGGAAACCAATAATTCGTTCTTTTTGGCAATGTTATTCCATTTCCTGACCAGTCTTTTTCTTGTTCTGTTTGCCATTTGTGCTGCAGGGCACCCGACAGCGCCAAGATCAAGGAGAAGATGTTGTACGCTTCCTCCAAGGACGCCCTGAAGAAGGAACTCAGCGGTGTTCAGGTCGAGTACCAGGCCACCGGCCCCGATGAGCTCGAAGTAGGAGACATTCTCGCAAAGTGCGACCGGTAACCAGCATACCACAACTATTACAGACTCTTATTCTTACTATAAACTTGCAAAACCTGCATAGAACACAAAATATTTAAATCCAATGGTCCAATGGTTCTCTTGTCGTCTCGAGTGTCTGATCTCGTTTGTAATGTTGCTTGCAGGCAACGCATCTTTGTGGTTTGAATGCATGCTTTGGGGAAGGGACGTGGTCATCACTGCATGTACATATAAATTGTATCTTGTTTGTCTGCGGTCTGGCATTTTCAAGACATCACACATTTGTCCAGTAATTTATTGTTTGTGAATGTCGGAGTGTCCACACACTCGGTTTCCGTGTGAGCCAAGTCTCCACTGGCTGTACATCCGCATGGGCATCCGGCCATTGTTTGCTGCTGTACACATTGGATAGGTATAATGTATTCACAGTCCACTACAGTAATTGTGTTGAACCAGACTTTCTAGAACGGGTCTTCATTGATTTGATGCGTCCACCGAAGGGAGAATGATGAATCCAGGGTTCGTATGATCTTGGGACTTCTTATTTCTTAGATTGCCATGGGCAAATCATTGCCCTTGCCTGCCCTCATGCGCTTGTCAACGTAATGCTGCATTATGCAGATTCAGCTTGAAGTTCCAGTTTCACTGTTTCCTGATACCGCAGACGACCTCCTTTTTTGATCTATCACAGCCCCAATCAGGCTCCGTGTGGGAGATGTTAGATGCATATTGCAAGTAGTACAGTTTTAGACTTAGTCCAGGCTACACTACTGTTATACAGGCGGTGGGCGTTCATGCTGTCCACATAGAAAAGCTTTCGTAGACCTACAGCTTTATCCAACATGGAAGTACAGTCATGTACACACATTCGTCGTACAAACTCATGATCAGGTACGACTTTGTAGTACATTACTCACTATTTTTCAACATCATTATTGTACTCTTTTCTTGCACATTCGTGGATCGATATCGCGGGTTTTATGCAAATAATTCTCGAAAACGTAGAAATTTGCCCGTTTGCGGAGTCGCGGCCGGCCTGTACCGCGTAGACTACTGCCGTACTGGCTCGGGTGTACGAGTACTGCATGCATGCTAGCTGCAAGCGCGCTGTGGGGGCAGACCAGACAGCAGACGGTGGTCAGTGACATTGTAGTTTGCAGCTGTTTGTCTACAACTGTTTTACAAGAGACTGATTTCATGCAGTTCTGTTGCGTTGAGTGTTGCAGTCGTCAAGTAGTTTGTAGGATATGCAGTTGGTTGATGCCATTTTGCAGAATTCTCCCCAACTTTACGCTGTGGGTGTGTAGGACGATTGGAATAGTTTGCCCGCATAATATTAGTTTCGGCGAAGTGTGCTTTTCAACACCCCGATCCAGTCCCACTCTGTCAACTCCTGGTCACTTCCGAAACGAGGTACCTTTGTGGTTTGGGAACTTGAGAAGGAGTGAGGCACTAGCCATGGCGTCCTCGCCCGAACCAGCGCCCGGAATGGGAGTATTTGTTGTGGTGAATGGAGACGAGGACCACTGCAGACCTGATGGAATTCGGTGAGTACTGGAAATATGGCCACGTGTGTGCGACTTGGCAGCCTTTTGGTTTGTCTTTGTATTTTATGGATTCTCCGCAGGCCGTAGCCTAAATCGAGGGAGTCTCCGTCATTTCTTGTAAAATATAGCTCGAAAGATGCTGCTAAGCGTTTCTCAGTGCCTTCCAATGTGTGCAGGTGGTTGCTTGGAAAAAGGTACTCAGAACTATTCGTGGCTGAATGATAATTTTATTTGAATGTCCATTTGCGGCAGCATTTCTCTGCTATTCCATTGCCTGTGAAAATACAAATCTACACAACGTCACAAGCGCCATGTGGAGATATCACGAATTCTATACAGGCAGTTGAATGTTTGCCACAAGATAATGTCGAATGTCGCCTGGGAGAATAACTTTCCTGCTTTCACTGGCACTTGTGTATCAGTGGTGTACGGGTGGTCAGTGCTTGTAAGCGATTTCATACTCTGATGCACCAACTTCCTTCTGAAATAAGAAGTGCAGGCGCCAATAGCAGAAATGGAATCCGGAATGGTCAAGCTCGTCACAAGTCCTCTCTTCCAACTCTGGAACCTCCTTTACCAGAGGAAGAGGGGTTGAGATAGCGGGGACGAATGCAATCTTGGTCACGAGGTATCATGCCAGAGGATTTGCCATTGCAGCGTCAACCGAGATTGTGGAGCTACTAAATTTCTGCATTACTGTATAGCAGGAAATTTTCGGACGGAAATGTTTTCGGACAAAGCCGAATTTCGACATTTCGTACGGATTTTATTTTCGTCCAATGGTGCATGCTAAATGCACTTGTTTGCTTGCGGTACGCATGTATAGTGTACATAACTTCACAGGAACAAATTTTAGTACGGAATTAATTTTAGTACAAAAGAGGGCGTGTACGAAATCGTACGAAAATAAATTCCGTCCGAAAATTTCCTGCTATACAGTATCTAAGTAGCACGCCTGGGTTAGCAGGACATGTCAATAAGCCTGGGCCTGTGCTGGCTTTTGGAGGACTCAGGTCATGCAGACCGAATCCACCCAAAAACATAGTGTCTCCGGTCAGAATATGCCTCATTTCGAGAAGTACAAGGGGAGAGATATGCATGTGTATATCAGGGTTCTCGCCAAAGCGAAATATTGGGGCGCTGCGCTCTCCTTCACTGTTGACTGCCCCCGTTTTCTAAATGAATGCGCCACCCATCAGAGTGCGAGCGCTACCTTTTTATATGCATGGTAACTTACATATGTAGTAGCACAACACAAAATGGCGGTAAAAATCACAACATTTTGGGTCCGATGTCCCCCCCCCCCCTTCACTTTTTGTTCTGGCTATAACCCTGTATATTCTGTAGTGTGACTACACGCAGCCAGGCACTGTTGCCGTGGGAACGCTAGCAGATCTGGCCGCACTCCGGAAAGTACTAAGTATGCGATAATCATGTGAAGTGACTGGTGAAATCCCTGCTGAAAATGTGCCCGGTGATTTCAATAAGCGCCCATTCTGCAGAGCTACGCAAATTACGCGGGAAAAGGCCAAATGTGTGATTATGCACGCGGCCGTGTAATCCTATATTCAAAACCGCCATGCCAAAATACATGTATAGGATGTCAGTGTGTCTTTGTTTCCCCTTGTGTGGATTTTTTTGGAGTACGCTTGCATTGTGTGTCGCACTGTGCTGTCGGGGAATTTCTCCGTTCTGAACCATTTCTCCTGCTTTCTGTCCTCAGATGTGGCCGCAGTTATGTAGTAACGCCGTACAATACAGTATGATGCAGTTCTGCTGTACACTCCAGTGATACAATATGATGCAGTGTGCTGCTTTGATACAACACAATACAGTACAATGCACTGTGCAGTAATGCAATCATCATACATTGGCTATGTCTCAACTTGTAAGAAGAACTGCAGAGCAGCAGTTACATATGCCCACCATGGCCCTACACAGTCTGGGTCAATCAAGGTCTTCGTCAAACTAGAAGAACAATGATCAACTACTTGTACACTGTGAATAATGCCTCGCATGGCTATTCAGAACCAATGTTGCAGTCGGCCCTACACTGCCAGCCTTACTTTACGTGCTTTCTCTCCCGTGATCCCCAACTTTCTATGAATGCTTGAATGAACTTGCTCAGTCATGTTGGCAACGAATGCCGCCCAAACAATTGTTTTGCAATCGGTGGACCGGAATGAAAGGTACTTGTACAACCAGGTGCAACGTAATGCCAAGGAAGACGGAACCCCACGGCGTCCCACTGATCCCCCGGAGTAATTCCAATTTAAATAAATAGCAAAGCGCATGCCATGTGCATGGGCCCAGGGGACTCCCCCGTCACCTCATCTGCAAAATCATCTGCGTGCCCGGCTGAACGTGGCTCAATTTTAGCCGATGTGCTCACTGCCTTTCGCGTAAAATTATAATGGACATCTTGTGCGTCGCTAATGCCGGAAAATGTGTTGGTAACACCTGAAGTTGAACACTCCTTTATGTGATGTTGGAGCTGTAGGCAATGGGTATATGTACATTCTGATATAAGAAAAAAGAAGAGGAGAAACCAATGTATCCCGAACGCCTCTGCATATTCACAATCTATATAATACGATAACTAACGCTTGCCATGTATAAGCGATTCTTTGGGTAAGTAAAGGAGGTGACTGCATGTGTGGTGCCTGTTGGAAGAGTATGGTCACAACCTATTAGCTCTCGGTAGTGTCTGTCAAACATGTGGCATTTGGCACCTGCGATATGTGACGTTCATATCGGGTGTCATTTGCGGAATTGCTTTGCTGCTAACCAGCTGCTGCTGATTTCCATTTCAAAGTCTAAACCTGTGGAACATGCTCAATGCCATCCTACACTGCTATCAACTTGTGATCTTTGGTCGTTGCCACTCCGCACAATTCCAGCCGTTTAGGGGCCGTCATGAGTTCTCTGGAGCAGAGGACGTTTTCTTTACTCTTTGTCCCGGTGGCTTTCATGAACCCGTCCTTGCCATGTGTTTGTATGTGTGTTTACTGATGTAGATCCTTCTTTCATGATCGAATCGGGCACTGTCGAATTGTGACAAGTTCGAGATCTTACAGCAATGAGAAAACATTTGTGACACTGGAGTTTTCCAGCCCCGGCCACTCTCGTCAGGCAGTTGAACAGTAAGCCTAAGAGTCACATCCCTTTCTTCTTCTTCTTGTCCAGATCACACGATTTGTTTATACATGTACGTGCTGCGCAATCAGTCAAGGAACTCCACCTTTTCAAAGAAAACTTGTTTCTCCCGCAGAACACACGCACGCACACACATGACAAAAATCGGCTCAGCGCCAAAACATGTTTTGACTGGAATACATGTTTCATATTGGGAGTCTCCATTTAATATTAGGGAGGTTTCGCTCCACGTAATTACGTGTGAAAATCCGTATGTCGTACACGCTGGAGAGCAAGGGCAGCTTTCATACGTAAATCTCTCTACGGATTTCCGTAGGAAAGCTCTTTCCTACGTTGGGTCCTCCGTAGGACTTTTTGAAATATTTTTCGCGCTTTCCAGATTTATCCATGGCAACGTTCAAGCCGTGTGAAATGCAAGGTACATACCACGTGGAAAACAAAATGGAAAGCGCGGTTTCGGTTTGTGGTGTATGCGGTGGGCACATGCAGTCTCCAAAGCAACAAGGCATGATTGGTAGTCGTGGAGAAATCACGTAGAGCGAAACACAACAGCGCTGATTTTTACGTATGAAAATTACGTGCAGTTCCTACGTTATTTTCATACGCAATTCCGTAGAGCAAAAGATCAGACGTGCTCAGTGTCTGCTCCAGCGCCGGGTGAGCCGGGTAATCCACCCGGTTGGGCGGCGCTTGGACCTGGTTGAAAATATAGTACCGGGTCACCTGTGACCCGGCTGGTACTTTACACTTTCACACTTTGAAAGGACTGACTACATGGCTTGTATGTGTCAGATACTTCTTCTTCTTTCGTAATTTTCTAATTCCTGTCCTCTCTTTTCTAAATGCGGCTTATCCATTCGCCTTTATATCATTGGGCGTAGTTCCCGTTTATTGTCCGAATTAAAATTAACCAAGCAACCAGAGCATGTGACTCAGCTGGTAAGACAGCACCAAGTACATGTGTACCCGGCTCCAACCCGGTTGAAACGGTTGCGCCAGGTACACGTGCACCTGGCTGTCCTACAATCCTAGAGCAGACACTGTTGCCATGCTGGATTGTGCTCATTTTATCCATGTGCATACCTGCACTGGCATGTATTGTGCACAGCAGCGCATGCGTTGGTTCAACACCGTATTTTGACATAATTACACAGTCAACTTTGCATATAACGACACTCGGCGGGGCATCAGAAAAGTGTCCTTATTTGCGAAGTGTCGCTATACCCGAAGTCTTATTATATGTATACAGTTAGAATGGACTTTGCTCTGGGAATGGAAATTCTGTCGTTATTCGCGAATTGTCGTTATATCCGCAGTCGTTTTTCGCGAAGTTGACTGTACGCTCGAGTCGCTTCACAGATAGAAATTCAACAGGGGCGGAAATTAAGGGGGGGGGGGGGGGGGGGCAACGCCGAACGGTACTTCAACTCCCAATCGAACTCACATGTGAAGTGCGCCTCATTCTGGTGTTCAAACGTTTCACCGTTTCAAACTTTCACAAACTTTCACAAACATTGCATGCTAACTTAGCGCCTACACAATGAGCTCCGAAGACAACTGTGCATGGTGTATGCGGCACACTTGACTAGTATCTCCTCAGCTCAAATGTGTGGATCTCCCGCGGCATCTTAAAAAAAAAAAAAACATACACATGTAGTCCTGGGGTTACTGAGTTGAGTGATCTTGACCTGCGACACCGCGAGACATTGTTCCTGGATCAAATAGGCTCCAGACTGATTCTTCACAGCCACCTCGGACCAGGACCATTCAACTCTGCTTCAAAAACTCTTTGGATTCTGGAGCTTTCATTAGACACCCTTTGCAAACAACGGCAACGCTATTTTTTTTACGGTTCTCTTACCTTGATCACTCATATAGCGTTGAAGCTGCAGCGTAAACATGTTACGGGGCTGATTTATTGTTGTGACAAGCGGTACAATTTTTGGCCAAATTTTGCGTAGTGCGTACCCATTTCACCTTGTATCAAGTACATGGCGCCATAAATGGTTGTACCGCGCGAAATAAAAGCTATTAGAGAGGTTCCGCATAACGTAATTACGTTAGAAAAAAACGTAGTCGATCTACGGAAAGTCTTACGTACCGTATTTTCCGGGGTATAAGCCGCACTTTTTTTCGCTAAAAATCGGACCAAAATCGCCCCTGCGGCTTATACACCGAATATGCTTGCGCGAATGAATGCTTAGCATACACAGTATGCATGCTGACGTCATGTGACATGTCATTCGACTCAGCTTCGCGCCTGTGTTGCTGATCAACATCAGTGGCAGCGAGACTGAAGATAGTGCAGATGACATGGAGTGATCTGTAGTCAACACAGCAATACACCAACATCTCTGCAGCAACCTGTGGTGCACTAACACTTCATAATCTGATCTAACATGGTATTTAGCTCCATAACCATAATAAATTTGTAGAAAGGCCATTTGTCAATGAGTGTGAAAAATCTTGGTTTGTGGGTGCGGCTTATACTCCGAATACCAACTTTTAGTCAATATTTTGCCTCAAAAAGGGGGGTGCGGCTTATACCCCGGTGCGGCTTATACCCCGGTGCGGCTTATACCCCGGAAAATACGGTAAACTGCATGCGCATCTGGGTTCCGCCATACGGAGTTTTCAAATCACATAGCTGCCCTTGGCAACTCCGAACGCGACAGTGTACGACCAGATCGACCTGGGGAGAGAGTCATAAATTTGTACCCCAATCCACTTACGGACCAGCTACGTTATCAGAGCCCTATCTACGTACTCTCCGTAGACAACTTTCCGTAAGTGGAGTGCATCGGGAATGACCTGGCAGGTGCTGGGCCTGGGGCAGGCTGCGTGCAAACTCGCGAATTCACGGGTTTTTCCCGCCCACTGACGTAAAGTTGCTCAACTTTACGTAGTGCGGAACCTCTCTATTCTCATGGCAACAGCGTACTAAAATTAGTGTGCATCAGGGAGTTGTAAAATATTTTAAGACTCCCTGGTGTGCATCTTGCTAAAGGTCAAACCCAAATCTCGGTTTTTTCCCCTTACGGTAATACTGTTACAACATAACTTCTTTTTTTTTGCTAGGGGTGTCTATTTTCGTGTGAAGTTTCCCTGTAGCAACCCTGATGGCTACTGTCTTTGCTGAATTAACAAGCTATGATATTGTGTGATGATTGTACCGGTAGTAAGCGAAAATGGAGTTCTGTGGTACAACTTACAATCTTTTATCTTTATGAACTTTTCTTTCACCTGTAGATTTGGCAATTACAAAATCCATGGCTGCCATACGTCGGTTACGTTCTTCAAGAGTCGCAATGCTCCTGCGGGTCCTGGTGGCCGTGGGCAATTCAACAATGGCTTCCGCGGAGGCCGAGGTGGCGGAGGCCGTGGTGGACGGTTCCCAGGCAATCGGGGTTTCGGTGGCGGAAACCAGGGACAATGGAATCACCAGCAGCAGGCGGGTGGTATGAACCGTCGCGGCCGGAGCTTTGGAGACTTACAGGGTGAACGGATGCGAGGGATGTCACCTAACGCCGCAGCACGGTTCATTGAGCAACGATTGGCGGAGAAAGAAAAACGGCAGAGTGGGTATAAAGGAGAAACGGGCGATTCCTACTCGTCAAGAAACAACGACCGATCTGCCTCGCGCTCTCGATCACGGTCTCCAGATGACGACTATAACCGCCGCTCCAGCTCGCGGGAGTATCGCAGGTCTAGCTCGCGTGATTATGCTTCCAGATCAAGATCCCCTTCCAGAAGCCGCTACTCGCACTCCCTTTCGCCCCGGCGGAAACGTAAGAGCTCCTGGCGCTCAATGTCTAGGTCAAGGAGCCGTTCCCCTGTACAACGATCGCCAACACCAGACCATGTTCTTGACCAAGCTGTGGCTACAGATGATGATAATGTAAGCAGATTTATTTGCGGACAGTAACGATCGTGTGGTCGTTTATCTTGGGTTTTCAGATCCTACTACTTGGTTTTCCTGCTCTTTACTTCATTATTGCTGTTGTTTGTGATGACACCACTGTTTCTAGTGGCTTGTGGCAGCTTTGATAAATGCGGTCCTTTGTCAACTGTGCTGTCTGACCGACTGTTGTTTTTTTTGCTTTTTCTTCTTCTTTTCTTCGTCTTTTCACTGTTGCACTACATGTATTCTCGCTGATGGTGGCTCTGCATTGCCGTTGCACACATCTACTGTGGAATTTGAAATGATACATGCGAATACCAGGAGTATTTTCTGTAATGAACTACTAATGATTATTACAGGGTGCTACTAATGATTTTCATTTTTTGCATTTTTTTGCATTTTTGTATCTGATCGCAGGATCGTCACCGCTCCCGTCATCAGCACGCTGATGATAGCGAGTCGGACAGTGGCAGGAGGCGCCGCAACCGCAAGCACCGCAAACATCGTCATACCAAGTCCGAAGCGGCCGACATCGTAGTGCCGAGTGAAGCATACAACGTAGATGAATACGCTGAGGAAGAGGCTCTCGCTGAGCCACAGCAGGTGTGTTGGTAGTTCTGTCAGTTGCTGCAGCCCAGTGGCAACAGTCACTGCCATCGATGCTAAACTAGCAGTGGTGTGTTGTGCCATGAGGCTGGATGCACTTATCCTGTTTTTACTAATACAGTACTACCATAGATCCATTGTTCTCGTCACATCAGTCAGTCACTAGGGAGGTTTAGTCCCACGTAACGGATACGGGAACATGGGTGGTACGCGTAAAGCTCATGCACGTTTGCAATGTTGCTTTTAGTCACAAGGAACAAACAAAAGCCTGAAGAGGAAGGCCCAAACTTGAAAAAACAGACGAAGCTTCGAAGCTCATAGAATATTTTGATTTTGTGCTTCGGAAACTTCTTTAGCTGAGTACCCCCACAGCTTGCACAATGCGCTCTATTCTGATTTTCCCCCGCGTTCTGGCGGAACGTGGGTGATCCTCCATACACGTTATGTTGGGAATCAGAAAACGTCTGTACGTGGGTCACTGAGTATCACGTGATACACACGCGTCAAGTACACACGAATTACATGGGACTAAACCTCCCTACTGATAAATGCACTGCATGGAAAGTCACACTTCTTGTCAGACACGAGAAATCACAACCGATGTACAGTGAGTATCGTTTATAAAGTGACCGGGTGTAACGATATACCGGCTATAATGATCGAACTCGCCAAAATCAAATCACAAAAATACAGCTAAAAATAATATCACTATACACACTATTATCGGCTATACCGATATATCGCTTATTGTGATGGGCTTCAGGAAGCAAACCATATCAAATGCACAGGAAAATATCGTATATACTGATCAAGAGTGATGATCACAAAACAATTGTTCTTCAAATTTAGTTCATTTCTTCCAAAACTGATCCAGTGTTGCCTGGATGCATCTGGCAGCAGACGTGATTGAGAGAAAAATTCTTCCCTGTATGCTGTAAGCAGCCACATGTACACTTGGCTGCTTTTCATGCATTTTCCAGCGTGTACGCATCATTTCATGCATAGTCATGTGCCATGTGTCAGTCATACATGCAAATCGGCTATAGTGATGCACCGGATATAGTGATAAATCATCGAAAATCAAAGGGGCACGTTATATCCACTATTTACTGTACATGTACATGTACATGTACAGTGCTGCTCAATGAAATCCGATAGCGTGAGTCAAGTTCGCGCCTTGCAGCACTTCGCAGACCAGTGCCCGCAGGTCTAAGGCTGCGCAGCGCCCTCCCGCATACTGTAAGACATGTTATTATAACGAGTCGCAAATTTAACGATTGTCCAAAAGTCATAGATTTTATGCACTGGCATTGCCCCATTCCATTCCAATTCACAGTGATCGTGGCTGGGCTTTAATCTTACGTTTCTGCTCCTTTGCTTTGCTTCTTTTGTTCGTTTGCCAATAGGAAATTTCACCAGAGGAGATGGTAAGAGACTTGTCGTGTACTGTGCACGTGCATCTGCCTCTGTGAATGATTGTGTTGGCATCGTGTGGTCATGTAGCTGTATGTTCATGGAACTGTCAATGGCTCATGGTTTGTGTCCTGGTGTAATTGATATGTACTGTGTGTTCGCGGGTGTGTGTGTGTGTATGTGCATTGCACCTTTTGTTTTCCTGCTCCAAGGTATTGGAATTACCCATGCCCAGTGGGAACTTCCCTACAGTAACGCAGAAGCTTCTTGACGCGAAGCGGGAAGGTCTGGAACAGGTAAGAAATTGCCCTCTTTAGCTGCAATGCTTCGAAGCAGTTCCACAATATGCTCCACTGCGCTTCTGTGCTTTTGGTATTGACAAGAGTACATAACCCCCCAGAGTGTGCAACTCCACTATGGGTGCTGTCCCGACAGAATTTCAAGTTGACCTCATTTTGATGATGCAATGCGCACTGTACACGGATTATCAGACGAATCCGGAACCTGTGGTTGACCAAAGCCGATCGATCCTGTACAAATTATTGCAAAGAAAAACGTGTGATGCGTTGACACCTGTACACATGTTGTAAATCACTGGTGCAAGGAGCATTGCGTCATAAATAATGGCGTCAACTTGAAATTCTGTCGGGACAGCAGGGTATGTGGGAGTTGCACACTCTGGGGGGTTATGTACTCTTGGTATTGATTGAGTAGTACTCTTTCAAGATGTGATCCCTGCTTCTTCGCATAATCCGTTTCCATATCCTAACTGTGCGCAATGCTATGTCAGTAGTTTCAATCAGGTGGCGAGCTCTTCCACAGTAGCCTCGTGTGCCTCTCTGTGTTGTGGCTCTGGCTCTGTTCACTTTGTCTGGCTGCGGTATAGTTTCTTTAAATTGTTCCCTTTCATGCTGTTCGTGCAGGAGTTCAATGCTGACGTCTCCACCATAGTATCGGTGACGAATCTGCTAATTGGGTGAGTGCAAAGTTTTTCAGAGGACACTTCCTTGTGAGCCATTTTACATTTATAATAGGACTCTTCCCACAATTTTGAATGCAATGAAGCCTAAGTCTTACGAAGTCCCCAGTGTAGTAAACTCCTGAGCTAGGGTTTACCAACATCTTTATTTACAAGACAAACAACAGAACAGCTAGTAGAATGGTCCGAACAAAGAAGTGAAGTGAGTAGAGCTACCACAAGCCACATACATGTATGCCCGAGTCCCCAAGTACTCGTCCGTGTATGGAAGGATGGAAAGTATGGCGCGTGCGTGGGTACAAAGGGGTGCATTCATGCGGGGTTCATACAGACGTGTGAAAGCAGCACTGCAGAGTTCATGCAGAGGTGTGAAAGCAGCTCTCACGCACAGTTATGAATTCAAGAGAGAGACAGAGAGAAAGCTATGTACAGTTATGAGTATCATTACGCTACACCCAGCAGCTGTCCCCATGTTCCTGTGTTCATTGCGATTACTAAACTCACTTTACTAAAATTAATGGGATTGTGATTGCGTCAGAGTGTACATGTACCCACATGTCAGAGACTTTCATTGTGACTACTAAATTCACTCTGCAAATCATGATTGCTCAGTACATCCCGGTATACACATGTCAAGACTGAGCATCATCGGAGGAGAACCCTGCACCTGACCTCTCGTCACAAAAAAAATGCAACAGATCCTTCTGCTCTCCGAAAGCGCAGCATCACCAAGCCAAAGGGGTGTACATGTATTTTACGACTCCCACTTCAATTGAAACCCAATGTATCTATTTCCAGTGGTTCTCTTGCGGATGACTATAAATTATATTCCCTGAATATGGGATTGGCTGAGCTCTTCATGTAAACCCCGTCCCGTGTCAAAAGAAACAAACAAAAAAAGAAAAGGCTGTCGCTTGCACAAACCATGGCAAAGTTTATGTACCCGTATCTGAGTGCTTTCTCCACTTGTGTAGAGCATACAAAATATGGTACAGCTGTCATGGCCCTTCAATTACTTGACACAATCTTTATTACTGTTGTACTTTGTTCTGTCTCTGTTGCTGTTCAGACAAGACAAGTCATTGCAGAGTGGCCTTCAGGCAGCTGTGAGGGGCTGTATTCGAGACATCAGTGATCGATATGTGGATGAGTTTGAAACCTTCACCAAGGCCAATGTGCCGGCATGAGAAAACCCTAGCGGAAATTTGTTTGTGTCTACACCTACTGAAGACGTTCCTCTGTCATCGTACGCTAACACCAGCATCTGCATGCCACGCTCACACACTGAGCGACCAGTTGGGAAACAGGAGGGTGCGTCCACTTGTCTTACGTCCTGTGGCGTACCGCTTGCATAGCACCATACCACTAGGTGTTGGCGTCGGGTGTGCTGCCTTCGGTACATGCAACAACGTAATGAGACTACTACGTTGTAAGGAATCTCGACACAGCTCCTTTGCTAGGAATCTCGACAGAGCTCCTTAGTTAGGAATCTCGACAGAGCTCCTTTGTTAGGAATCTCGACAGAGCTCCTTTGCTAGGAATCTCGACAGAGCTCCTTTGCTAGGAATCTCGACAGAGCTCCTTTGCTAGGAATCTCGACAGAGCTCCTTTGCTCTTATACATACTGTATTATAGCGTTTTATTTGTTTATATTGCCCCTTTTTTATTGCAGCCACTTGTATTTGACTTTGCTTGAGTCTTGAACGGCGTATTGAAGTCACACGTTAGTGGAGTAACCGTTCGTGTTGCTTTTCTCCCTCTCGCTCTCTCCCCACCTCTGTCTTCCTCTCCCTCGAGGAACCACTCGTGTTGCCCCCCCCCCCCCCCCCACCCCCTCTCTGTGTGTTTGAATGTGCCCTTCATGAAATGCCCGCTAGTTCACTGTGCATGAACTGGTCCGTTTTTGTTTTGTTTTTCTAATTAATTTTCTTCTCTCTGCTGTATCCTATACTGGATGCTTTTCAGTGCTGTATCCATGTATCTACCATGATCATCTACCCTTCATTAGCCCTTCCTGGCCTGCAGTGCTGGTATCTTTGTCTTTACTCAACATGCACAGTCTCTGTCTGTATTCATTGCTACTTTGCAATTTGGTACAAATCTGTTTTCCCCTGGCCCTGTGAGTCTTCATCAGGCCGGGAGTCGTAAAATACGGTATTTTTACGACTCCCTGGCCTGGCCATATGGCCCGGCCCACTTCCTTGTTTTAGGGAAAAAATTTGCGGCGATGCTACGATTTCACCTTCTTTCAAAAAAGAATGACCAGTGCAATGCCCCTCGTAGTTGTGTTTTATTGAATCAGGAAAAGTGAAGATGGATCCATTGTCGAAAGTGCTCGGCGATGACCTGCATCAGCTCGTATCAGGAGCCAAGTTTCTGATGGTGGGAGCAGGGGGGATAGGATGTGAGCTATTGAAGAATCTCGTCTTGAGTGGCTTTCAAAACATCGAGGTGGTGAGTCAATGAATGCTGGCCTCATTTCCATAATGTCAACATTTTGGAGATATTTTCAAGGGGTCTGTGTTCCACTGTGTTCTGGTCGTTCCAGATTGACCTCGATACCATCGATGTGTCCAACTTGAACAGACAATTTCTGTTCCAAAAGCGCCACGTTGGAAAGCCGAAAGCCGAAGTGAGTGAGAGTATTGGTTTAGCACCACATACAATTGATATTATTGTATACAATTTAAAAAATAACCTACGTGGAGACAAAAATTTAATTATTGCAATAAAAAAGAACTGCGCAATCATATTCTGTACATACATCAAGGCAAATTAGGTGGGTAAGTTTTCCAAGAACGTTTTCATCGTGTACGTATTATACAACAACTACCTATTCCGCACCCCCCACCTACGCCAACATCCCCCTTCGATATCTCAGTTATATCTGCCTACGACGTTTTTGATACTCTCAAGAGATTGCCTGTCCATAAAGCTGCCGGTGGTGACATCCCAAACCGCATTCTGAAGGAGACCGCTGGTGTCATTGCCCACTCCCCCTGCAAAGTCTTTAATTTAAGTATAACACAAGGCCGCCTGCCACCATCGTGGAAAACGGCGCAAGTTGTACCAATATATAAGCAGAGAGGTTCCACAGCTGAACCCCAGAACTACCGCCCTATTTCTCTCTTGAACTCGGTCGCCAAAGTGCTTGATTCGATTGTCGCGCGCCGTCTTAGCAGGTTCCTTAGGAATGAAGATGTAATAGTTTCGGATCAGTTTGGGTTTGTACACGGTCGGAGCACAGTTGACCAACTGATACATTTAACGGCTAGCGCCGCCAAGAGCATGGACAGCAGCCAGGAGTATGATGTGGTCTTCTTGGATTTTGCCAAGGCATTTGATCGCGTCCCGCATTCTACCCTTCTGGCCCTTCTACAACCACTATGCAACCCAACGGCTACTACTTGGTTTGCAGGTTACCTTGAAGCTCGCAAGTTACAGGTCAAAGTTGGCGAAGACCTTTCCCCCCTCGCCCCTATCTCGGCGGGAGTTCCTCAAGGTTCCCACCTTGGCCCCATCCTATTTCTCCTGTACATTAATGCCCTCCCGAGATCAATCCCTGATGGCAACAGGACGGAAACATACCTCTATGCTGATGATACTGCGCTGGGGTTATCCCGACCGCCAGCAGCAGCACCTCAACAGCTCCAGTCAGCAATGAACATGGTGATGGACTGGGCTGCTACATTTGGTGGCAGGTTTAATGCCGCTAAATCCGTGCGTGTTGTATTCGGCAAACTTGACCCCGCCCAGACTCCTGCCCCAGCACTGCGTGTGGATGCTGCAGACCTATGTCCCTCGACTACCCACCGCCATCTAGGAATCACCCTGGATCCCCGCCTGTCTTTCCAGACCCACATCAATAGTGTCACCTCCAACTTTCGTCGTCGCGTTGTTCTGCTATCCTACATGTCACCCAATCTGACCCCTGCTCTCATTGCCCGCCTCTACAAAGGATACGTCCGTCCCTCCATTGAGTATGCTTCACCTCTGTGGAATAACAAACTGACCGCAGGAAATATTGACACTTTGGAACGATTGCAAGCACGCGTGGCCAGGCAGTATTTACACCGTTGGAAAGTGCCCATTCCTCATGGCATGGAGAACGTGTTTGAAGCTGCTGAATGGGAAAGTCTTGCGTGGCGGCGGCATATACATTGCCTCAAACTGTTTTACCATTTCACCCGCCAATATCCGGAAATCCTCAATAATCTCAACATAGTTCTATCCAAGAGTGCACGACGTCCCCACTTTTACCTCCTGCCCACTCACACTGGTCCCTGTTTCCGATCCACTCTACTACATTCCATGATCACCACGTGGAACTCCCTGCCTACCGAGATTAGGATATCTGAAACCCGTGGTGTATTTAGCTGGCACGTTAAGTCCCATTTCCACAGGTATAGATTCCATCCTCGAGGTTTTCTCACTTCCTGATTACCCCCCTTCTTTACCAGTACCCTTTTCGCTTGCTTCTACTCAGACTTCTTATTTAACCTCTTCACATTAATCTTTTTTTATCGTAATATTTTCTTCCTTTTAAGAATTGCACCCTATTGTACACGCATTGTACACATATATTTATTCTCGGAGACCCCCTTGATTTAGGCTTCGGCCTTTGGGGAATCCCTCAAATAATAATAATAATTATTATGTTTATAGTGATATTCTTTCAATTCGATCCTCAGGTACCCTAAACAAGGACTGAGCTGAAGTTTGTGTGTGTGTGTGTGTGGGGGGGGGGGGGGGGGGTTGTGTGTGTGTGTGTGTGTGTGTGTGTGTGTGTGTGTGTGTGTGTGTGTGTGTGTGCGTGCGTGTGTGTGTGGTGCATGTGCTTATGTGCATGTGCTGATGTGCATGTGCTGGCTGTGTTGTGCTGTGCCGTTTCTCAGGTGGCCAAAGATAGTGCTCTGTCGTTCAATCCCAGAGCCAACATCAAGTCTCACCATGCCAGTGTATTCAAGTAAGTACCACGTTGTGTTGTAACACAATCATGAGGATTCATGACACCCGACTTCGCTGCGACTTTCCTGTTCAGCTCTACCTCACAGATCTCGCTAAAGATCATGTTCGGCAGTGAGCCATGCAAATCTCAACTTTACGTGTTCAGTCATTCGAAGCCATGTGCACAGTTCTGACAGTGAGGCTTGCAGTGGACCACCACCTAATTGCTTTCCCAGAAACCATTCGACAGTCTTCAACCGAGCCAACCGTTGATGTACTTATACTGGTTAATTGATTAAAGTGGTAACAGTAACACAGGCCAGTTGAATAGTCAATGATGGTGCGACGGTCATTGCCTGTGGACTTCAGTCAGCCTAGTTTAGTGCTGAATGCCCGCACCACATAGCCGTGGGTGTGATTAGGTGCTCCCCCCCCCCCTATGTATACAGATATCTGTAGTTGTGCAAAAGTCGGGAGACCAAAAATCGAACTTATAAATCACGCATAGCAACAAAGTTGCTGAATACACAGGCAATGGAGCTGAGAGAGTCAGCACACTCCTGCTTGCACAGTGCATTGTATGGAAGCTGCGGGTTAATATGTAGCGCGGATTTTTAAACTATCACTTGCTTGCTGTTCCATGGACTCCACTTATGAGAATGAGAAGAAAAAGGTTCATGGTGCAGCCATCTGTGATAAAACTGGCAACTCGGCTGCTATGTGTCACTTAGAAGCTCTCTTATTTTTTAATTTTTATTTTTACAATGATCACAGCTCACAGGCAAAGACAAAAAATTGCATAGTGGGAGCATAGTGATGGTGAGGCTTTTTGTTCTCAGCCGACCTGAGGTCTCGACGTCATGGGGACATAAAACGCACCGAAAAAAAGAAGAAAATGAAAGGAGTGACAGGTACATGATACGAAATGTTAGGAGGAGAGACAGTACATAAAACGGAGGGGAAGTATAAGACAGACAGTGCTAGGAGGAGAAGGAGAGAAAAGAAGAACAGACGTTATTGGGAATAGTATGTGGTGCGGAATTTGGAAGTCACGGGGTGAGGCAGATATAATGCTGATAATCAGAGATGGTCATGTGCCCACGACCAGTCGTTGGTCTTCAAATAGTGGTTGGCTGCAAATTTGAAGTGTTTCAAGTTCTTGGTGCAGAATGGACCACAGAAGACTCCGGCGGGCAGCTGGTTCCAGATGGGGACAACTGCGTGAGGGTAGACTCAACACAGGTTGTTTCGGGAACGGACTGGAAGTTCATTTGCCAGTTGGTGTGCGTGAGCATTACATCTCTGGAATGTACTACAGGTGGAGTGGACTGCTTGGTGTTGGGGCTGCTGGGGTGGCAACATCCTCTGTAGAAGGGGGATGCGCATCCGGACAATGCATCTTGTACAGGAGGCAAAGTGCTGCAGCCATCCGACGAAGAGCAAGACTCGGCAGCCAACACATTGGGGCGATGACGCGGATGGCCCGGGCTTGCACAAGGTCGAGTCTTGCAAGAAGGGATGGGGCCGCTCCCATCCAGACAATGGGGCAGTACTCCATCTCTGGGCGCACAAAAGCATTGTAGGCTTGGATGCGACCGGGCACGTCTAGGAGGTGGAAAGCCTTACGTAAAGCGCCAAGTCGCTGTGTTGCCCGGAGGGCTACAGTACGAAGGTGGCGCCGGAAGGTAAGCTCACCATCGAAACTGATGCCCAAGATTTTGAGCTCTTGTTCCGTCACGTTAGATCCTTTGAAGTCAATCGATGGCATGTCCCATTGGGTGCGGTGGAAGCTGACAGTCAGTGCCTGGGATTTGGCTGGTTCAAATTTTATTTTCGATTCTTGACCCTAGCGGGAGATGTTGTTGACTGCTAGCTGGAGGGCGTGGGTGGTGGGGGTGATACAGCGTAGTGTCGTCTGCGAACGAGGCTAGGTCAGCACCAGCTGGTACGTGGTCCTCGCAGTCGTTCACGTATATGAGAAAGAGAGTCAGACCCAGAATACTGCCCTGGGGGGGGGGGGGGGGGGGGGCTCCAGCCTGAATTGGGAGCCTTAAGGATGTCTGGCCACAAATGACCACCTGAAGGTAGCGTTCACTGAAGTAGCTGCCGAGCCACTGGTGCAGTTGCCCACGTAGGCCGTATACGTTGGACTTGTGTAGAACACCGGGGTGTGATACGTGATCAGACGCACCGGCTATTTCAATGGCAAGTATGCGTGCTGCGCCTTTCTCCCCGGCTGTATGCAGCCACTGGTGGTGGAGGCTGGTAAGGAGGTCGGCTGCACTATGACCATGGCGAAATCCAAACTGTCTGGTGGAGAAGACGTTGTTCGACTTGAGGAAAATTGTGATCGTTCTTTTGATGATTGTCTCCATCACCTTGGACAGAATACACAAGAGCGAAACTGGACGGTAATTGGAGGGTAGCGACTTTGATTTCCGTTTGAATGTAGGGACTATGTTGGCAATCTTCCATGTCTTGGGCTGTATCCCAGTTTGGAAGCATTGGGTAAACAGTATGGAAAGCGGTTGCGCCAGTTCAGCAGAGCGGATTTTCAACACCCGTGCCAGTATCCTATCCGGCTCGGTTGCCTTTGATGGGTTGAGCTGGTGAAGGGTGTGTTCAACAGCAGCCACGCGGAAACGGACGTCCGAAAGAGCCTGGTCAGTTCGAGGTCTGACATATGGGAATGGGGCTTGTTACAGGCAAGAATTCAAAATCCGATACACGTGTACAGGCACACTCTCCGAACGCGGTCATCTTAGCCGAGACTGCATTTGCTTGCAAAATAGCGGGCCATGCATTCTGCTTTGTCTGCGCTGGCTGTGTACTCCCGTCCATCGGAATCACGTTATGTCGGAACAGATTAACTACGCCCATTGCCAGAGGCACGCTTGACGGTGCGCCACCAGTCACTGGGTGGCAGCTGCTTTGAGGTCATTTTCTGTCTCAGTTTCTCCATGAAAGCACTCTTGGCAGTTTTGAGACAGGCAATCGTTGAGAGCCGTCCATCTTGGTAAGCTGACTGCCGATCGTCGTCAGACTGGTCGTCTCTCAGGCACCTCCATGCACGTCGTTTCCTCACTGTGGCAGCAGGGCACTCAGGGGTCCACCATGGAGGATCTGATGCACGGGTTTTCAGAATTTTAGAGGGGATGAACCTCTTCATACCCTCCAGGATCCTCTCTGAGATGCCAGTGCATGACAGGTCTGGATCAGTCCGAGCAATAGCTGCCCAATTGGTGGTTCTGAAGAAGTGACGGAGCCTGGTCCAATCAGCATGCTGATACCTCCATACTGTTCTTGATATGGGAGGCTCGCGTGATGCACGGATCTGGAAGTCAGCAAGTATGCAGGCAGGGTCAGATTTGCCAAGAGGTGGCACGACAGTAGCGAATGATTCTACGGGTAGGTCGGACATAATCAGGTCCAGTGTGTTTCGGCCACGCGTTGGTTGGTAGACTAGCTGCTCAAGACCGTGCATGTAGCACATGTCCTCTGCATGCTCGCCGGCTCTAGTTGTTCTGCTACTGTGGAGCCACTCTTGGTTATGTACATTGAAGTCCCCAGCAACTGTCACAGTAGATTTGCGGCAGGCTGTGGAGGTGAGGCCCCTGCAGATCACGTCGAAGATGCTGGTGTCTGTGTCTGAGCACGTTCCCAGACGGTATGCAGCACATATAGCCACAGGCCGGCCAGTTGACAGTTTGACGTTTAGCCATACTAGCTCCTGACGAAGACATCAATGGTATCCAGTTCGTTCATGGCTAGCGTGGCCTTCACCCAAACTGCCACCCCGCCACCATGGCGGTTTTGGTCGCGTCTCAGAGGTTGGTAGTAGCCAGGGAGTGTCAACTCTGCTTGAGTCACAGCCTCTGACAGCTTCGACTCTGTTACTATGGAAACATCCGGGGATTCAGCATGGAGCACATGGCGAAATTCATCTAACTTACTCATTAGCCCAAAGGCATTTGTTACGAACAGTTTCAGGGTTTTGTTGGTCATTACCGGCTGAGGGGTGCAAACGCATTGCCAACTGAGACAGAGTACTTGGCTGCTTGGTCTGCAGGTGGTGAATCTCGTTGGTGGGTGCGAGCTTTCATCCCTGGAGTCCGACTCAAGGTACCTGCATCGGCAGAGCTCCCATCCTCACTGTCCCTTTCATCTGCACTGCTTGTGTTGCCACTGTCCCTTTCATCTGCACTGCTTGTGTTGCCAGTGGTGTTTGCCTGTGGTGCGGAAGATTCTGCGGTGCTGCTGCTGTTGCTGCTGCTGTTGTCGCTGCTGCTGCTGTTGTCGCTGCTGCTGCTGCTGTTGTCGCTGCTGCTGTTGTCGCTGCTGCTGTTGTCGCTGCTGCTGTTGTCGCTGCTGCTGTTGTCGTTGCTGCTGCTGCGGCTGCTGCTGTTTTCGCTATTGCTGCTGCGGTTTCCACCAGAGTTTTTGGTGAAGCGCCACGGTCGGCAGTACAAAGGCCTAGGCCAGAAGTTGGGGGCGGTCACAATAGGCATGGAGGTGGCATCTACGGTGACTCTGGCTGATACTCGTCCACTCTCTCCTACATGTACACTGCAGGTATGCACGGGAATGGAAGAGCCTGATATTGCCTGTTCGCTTCTGTCCATGATGAACTGTTTCAGGTGGTCCTTTGTGCAATCTGGGGAGATGTTGCCCACGTAGGCAACAGAGCGCTTGGTCTTGGGTGTCCCTGCAGAGACCAATTTCCAAGAGTCGTCCGTGATGGTGCTGAACACAGGCTTGGAGTTCTTGACTGGCAGGAGTTCAGTACCCTCTGCGTCAAAGTACATGACATTACTCCGTTTCCGTGTCCACTGAGGGCACCGTCTTGCTTGCGTGCCAGGGTGTGGCAGCGCTACGGGTACGGGGTTCAGTGTGCGTTCCCACGTGTTCTGCCTGCTGCTTTGGCGGTTTTGCACTCTTATTTGCGCGCGGCTTAGACTTTCCAGTGCTAGTACGGGTACTCTTATTCGTACTACTAGCTGCACTCTCCTTGACCTCCTCGCCTTTTTGTTGCTGTTGGTCGACATGGGCAATGGCGGACTGCCTCAAGGAGCTCAGTTTGCCTCGTAACTGTGAAACGTGTGCACATAGCTCATCCACACGCCGTTTCACGCGCTCCTCTCGTTCTCTAAAGTCTAAACTCACTAACATACGACGACAATTGCTGGATCAAGCTCGGGGTTCACCTGCCAGCTCGTCCATGGCGGAGAGTAGGTCAGGGAGTGACAGCTACTCAAAATATCACCTACTCTACACTACACTACGATTCTACACTACGACTCCTAGCTCCTAAAGGCTCCACTCTGGCCTGATGCCGGGTGGGCATGGGCTGCGAAAAACGACGAAAACTACAGCTCAAAAAAATCAAACCTGCCTCAAGTGTGCACACGTCCCCTTATGCGTTGCGTTTTCTTTGTCGGGCCTGTGTTGTGCTTGCAGTCCGGAGTACTCAACAAATTACTTCAAGCAATTCACTCTGGTGCTCAATGCTTTGGACAACAAAGGTATGGTTGGATTTCCTGATGCTATTCACCTTCTGATGAATAGTATGAAGTGCTTTACTTTATACAGTTAGTGTAGGTACTCAACTAATGCTGAAGGTAATAATACATGTACATGTACATGTACATGTAGTTAACCTGTACGTGTAGTTAAATGGAGGTGATTTTCATTTGCGTTGATTAAAAAAGCACACGTGTTCTACGGACTTCTTCTGTTGTAATGTTGCGTACTTCTGTGTGTGTGTGTGTGTGTGTGTGTATATATGTGTGTGTGTGTGTGTGTGTGTGTGTGTGTGTGTGTGTGTGTGTTTGTGCGCATGTGTGTGCGTGTGCGTGTGTGTTCTTGTGTATGTGTGTGTGTGTGTGTGTGTGTGTGTGTGTGTGTGTGCACTTGTTGCATGTGTGTAGCTGCCAGAAGCCATGTGAACCGCATGTGCCTGGCTGCTGATGTCCCACTGGTGGAAAGCGGCACTGCTGGTTACCTAGGACAGGTTACTGTTATCAAGAAGGTACGTGGCAGTGCACCCTGCTCATTCTGTAAGTTGTTTGTTTGCAGTCGGTTTTGTCGTGTTATTGAGTGTTAGCATCGGTACAGACCAGTGCTCATACTGGCTGTTTCTTTAAAAAAAAGTTTGCTTTAGTTTGCATGTAATACTTCCAATGTAGTACAGTCGTCCCTCTCTAATCCGGCTCTTGTTTATCCGGAACCCTTGCCAACCGGCGCACTTTCTGACGAAACCGATTTTTTCGTTCAATTCCTACATCTTAATCCGGCACTTGAATTCCGCCTCCGGCAGTGACTTTTTGAAACGAATCGCTCAAACTGCACGTAGTTTGATTTCATAATCCGGCAGTCGTAAATCGCGTACCGTACAGGTGCACTCCTTGCCAGGCCAGGCTAGGCCAGTCTGGTCAATGTTGTCCAGGAGACAACGGCAGTCAACCAACCAACCATACTTTCTTATTTTAGCAAGGAGTAGTGTCCTGCCAATTTTCAGGTGTGTGCGTGTGTGTGCAAGAGTACATGTGAACATGTTCTCTGTTTTACTTTATCACTTTATCACTGTGTATATTCCCGGAGAACAATTGAGAATATAAAGCCGTGCACCAAATACTTGGGTCGGCACGGAAAAACCCTGCGTTTTGACGTACATATGATACATGCATGCAATTGGGTAGGGCCGTGTCAGAGGGCAGGATTTCTTAATCCAGCACCCTCGTTAATCCAGCAGAAAACGCCGTAGCAAAAGGTGCCGGATTAGAGAGGGACGGCTGTACTTCCAGTGCATGATATATCACTTGCCTTGTGTATTAGTTCATTGCAGTCTGCCGCTGTGTATTCTGTGCTCATCTGCGGCTGTTGGTTTGTGCACACAGGGTGAAACCGAGTGCTATGACTGCTTGCCGAAGCCTACGGCCAAGACCTTCCCGGGATGCACCATTCGCAACACACCGTCCGAGCCCATTCATTGCATCGTGTGGGCCAAGCATCTGTTCAAGTAAGCTTGTCATGTCCATCTACAATGTACAGTGCTGTAGGTACATGACCAGCAGAGCACTGGGTGCTGAGTTAGGCTAGTATAGCTGGAACTGGTCGCTTTGCAACTTGGGAGTCGCTTTTGTTTTGTTTTAATCGACACGGCTATTGCCTTTCATTACTTATGCATGCATGTTGGACTCAGTAGAGCGTCCAGCCCCTATATGATGTCCAACCCCTATATAGAGTCCATTGGTCCAAAATCCACTGTACAGAGTCCAAACTTGGAATCAACTGTGAGCTCAAAGTTTAGATGTACATCACTCCCTGGCCCTGTATAGAGTCCAGCCAATTGGCTTCACCCCTATAGAGAGTCCATTGGTCCAACATCCACTGTACAGAGTCCAAACTTTGAAATCAATTGTACAGAGTCTGTATGTGGACAAAACTCCCTGTATAAAGTCCAGCCAATTAGGCATCCCCTATCCAGTGTTCAAAATTAGACATAGGATCTGCTGTGAGCAGTTAATCCTTTACATCATTCACTTCTCAAGATAAAAAAATAAGTATTGAGGCTCCACTGCAGCCACTTCATTACATGAATAACCCTACAAACACCATCCTCAAATCAAGTGGTCTCTTCGCAGACGCTGCAAATTACAATATCTCAATCATGTAGTGTTCTCAAATCATTGTGCACGCATACACACATACACACACCCACACAACGCCAAGAAAATACCAAGAATCGAAAGAGAATAGGCCATGATGGAGAGCCAAGGATTAATTTATTGTTTTCAAATGCACGCGCACACACACATACACACACACACACACACACACACACACACACACACACACACACACACACACACACACACTTATACAACGCCAATAACACCAAGAAAAGAGTAGAGACACAATACACACGCAACTCCAACAGCCATGCAAACGACCACCCATTTACACGTAAAGTAAAGAGGGATAACAAATAATTGTACGAAACGAATGCGTACGTGGACGGGTGCGCGCACGTTTACGTACATGTATTAGTGTAAGAGAGTAACATAGTGCAGTAGTCAGCATAATACTAGCACATGCTGAGAGTGCAATAGCAAGCTTCACCATTGCTCATGGCCATGCAAATGTTCAGCAGCACTCACTTCCGCAAGCTTCTGAAGATCAGCACACCTGCAACAAATAGATGGCACAAGGATACGCTTATTACAGTAATGATGCATGGAAGCACACAACTACTACGTTCTCAACGAATGTGATGCTCAATGAAAATCCATCCACTCAAAGACCTGTGAACAGGTGACGGTGGGGACAATAATCTATCAGTAATACGAGGAATACGATCGTTTGTGCACACTCAAGACGCACAGACACACCAACATACATGTAGTGTACTCCACAGTGTTTCACTTCACTGCAACTAAATAATTGAAATGAGATGATTTAACAATCTGTACAGCGTTACCGTCAGTCAAACAGTCTTCCCCAAGATGGAAATGCAATGTTTTGTTGTCACGAGGCAATTTCACTGACACAATGTCATGTTTGTGACATCAAAACGGTTACTTCATGGAATACATTACAGTATGATCTTGAGAAGCTTTTTCTTGTCATCGGCATACAAGCAATCCTCCTCCTACTACTACTAGTACACTGGCACTGCGTTTGTCGATCCCATTGTATTTTGGCATCATACTAGAGGAAGAGTGTCGTGGAGTTCACATAATTATCACAGGACAAAAATACATTTATCATGAAATAAAAGTGATTATGGCTAGACGATTGATGCAAAGTCCTTGCAGTCCTTGAGGACTGATATCATTGTCACGCAACTATTACGAAGTCGTTGATTACTTTTAGGGCATTCATTCAAGCAACATCAAACAAACGCGATACGCTCCTTGAAAATGGAAAAATTTCAATCATAACGACAGAACAGCAGACCAATCGAAACGAGTAAAAGCTTCCTTACCTCAGTCATTGTCCTGCCATGTAGTTGGACAGCCTTTTGACACGGTGGTACAGGCAGCTCTTGTCCATTCAACCAGGGTATCCTTGTGGCGTCGAACGAAAGAGAGTGTCAGTGTATCTGGCTCGTCAGATCGGAACTCTGCTGAACTTTTCTCGTTCTCCGCTTTCTGCTTTCATCCCACGCACTGATGAAACCGTTCAAACGTCTTACTGTCAGCAACTGCACAGCAGAACTGGCAGCCATGGCCAGTCAAACAGGGGATCCTTGTGGCGTCGAACGAAAGAGAGTGTCAGTGTACCTGACTCGTCAGATTTGAACTGTGATAATTTTTCTCGTTCTCCAATTTCTGCTTTCATCCCGCGCACTGATGAAAGGCTGTCAAGTGCAGTACGATATACAACAACGTAGAAGTTCAGACTCCATGTGCTGGATTGTGCACATTTCCATCCTGAATTGGCAAATACTGTACAAGCAGAAATATTCGTCTGGAATTTAATTTCGTCTTTTTCGTCCAAGGAGCTGTTGGACAAAATTAAATGCCGGACTAATATTGATTTGTCCAGCTTTTCAATACACTCTTATGATCCATGGACGAAATTTACAACCAGACGAACTCCCTTTCTTTGGAGTTGGACGAAATTATTGACCGACGAAATTTTCTGCTTATACAGTACTGTGTACAGCAGTGCATGCGTCGGTTCAACATCGTATTTTCGTTGTATACGCCGAAGTCGCTTCACAGGTAGAAAATCGACAGGGGGCGGGAATTAGAGAGGGGGCGGGAATTAGAGAGGGGGCGGGAATTAGAGAGGGGGCGGATCAACGGTACTTTACGGTACTACTGTACTCTATTTCCCTGAAAAGATGTGGTACCTTTAACAAGAAACCCTAAGATTACAGAAGTGGGTGCAACTTACAGTCGAGTGTACTAGTATTGAAGTGAACGCACCGAGACAGTACAACGGAGACTTGAGAATAGGGACGCGGCTTATACTCTACAGTGCTGTCAGGTGCCGGGGTGTGTAGTGCCGGAGAATGGACAGGCTAGGATTTCACCAAAGCACAGCATACTAATGTATACACGGTGACTCAACTGTGCATAGACCATAGTACATGTACATGAAAAATCAGAACGGCCTAGGCTACGAGGCTGATCTCCCAATTCTTCGTAACCCGACGGTGCTGTCGGGTATTGGGTTATAGTTTTTGCATTGCAGGCGGGACATTAACTCCGAATTATTACTGTTGTTTGCTACTGTTATGTAGTCAATTATTCGGTGAGGTCGATGCGGACAACGAAGTTGCTCCCGACATGACGGATCCTGAAGCGGCGAAGGGTGGTGCTGTTGCAACGGAGGGTGCCAGTAAGTCAGTGCTTCCGCGGTTGGCGTGGGTTTGTCCTGGTTGTCTTGATTATTGTACCGGATACTGATTTGAATCACTCCTTCTTGTGTCTGTATTATGTATGTGTAGCCTGTCTGCCGACTGGTGAAGAAACATACACGTTTGTAACATTTGTGTATGTTCCTTTGTTGAGCAGTTCTCTCTCTCTCTCTCTCTCTCTCTCTCTCTCTCTCTCTCTCTCTCTCTCTCTCTCTCTCTCTCTCTCTCTCTCTCTCTCTCTCTCTCTCTCTCTCTCTCTCTCTCTCTCTCTCTCTCTCTCTCTCTCTCTCTCGTGCGCACGTGTATGATTGTTTATGTACATTCCAGGCAGTGATTCGACTGCGTCCAGTACACAGGAGAGCTGCGGCACTCGTGAGTGGGCAGAGCGTGTCGACTATGACCCAGAGAAGATATTTACAAAGGTAGGCGTGGGTGTGTTTCTTCTTCTGATCACTTCACAGCTACTCTGTGCATATCACTTAGCAAGGGTCCGTTCAGGATACTAGTTTCAGGACAGCTTCGCATGGAATGTTGACTGACTTTCAGTCGCCTCAAGAAGAGAACAGAGTTCACCATGGTGATTGGCAGAGTTCACCATGGTGATTGGCAAACCCTCGAACCAGACAGTAAACTGTGAACCTTCCAAGTAGGACGTCTGTTGGTTTTCACTTTGGACATGTGTTTCAGGTAGGTGGTAGGCCATTGAATTGAAACTTTGAAAGTAGTTACTATTCTGGTGAATGCTACAACCCGTTCAGGGGTCAGGCTTGTTTCAAAATTGGTGAAAGTCGTCTTCGTGAAAGGTGGGTTCACTACCCGGGGGACTTTTCATTTGACATTTGCTGACCACTGCTAACAGCTTCGACAAGTAGTCGGTGAGCAAGTGATTGGGTGGTAAGCATTGTTGTACGCAGTAACGAACTGCTGTTTTGAATTTCACGCCTTGCTCTTTTTAACTGCAGCTCTTCCATGACGACGTCGTGTATCTTTTGTCAATGGATAACTTGTGGAAGAAGAGGCGACCTCCCACTCCTCTAGACTATCACTCGTTGCCAGCGGAAGCTCATGATGGTGGGTACCTTGAGGGCATTCTCGTCTGTGTTTGAAATCCAAAGGACAGTGCTGCTCAATGAAGTCTGATCGAATGAGGTGGTGTGGCACCAGGCGTCATGCCTCCCCAGTCAACACTGGGCTGTGCACTGGCTCAGGGCACTGGCTTATTTATGAGATCATATGAGCATGACTAGTATGTCATTCACTGCACTATTGCTATTTTACTACTGAAGTAGTGTAGTAACGGACAGCAATTTCCGGGAATCAATAATCTGCATAATATAAGTACCAATTCAGCTTTGCGAGCGGATGTGCGACTATTCAGTATTCACCATGCATACGGGATGCATTTCGAAAAATCAGTTTGGACATTTCAAAGCTACCGTGGCCAGTCTTGATCCACCTGCAAGCAGATAACCAAGAAAGGATGCCACCCGACTAAGGCTGGAGGGCAGTGGCGCAGGAGAACCATTTATCTATCGCCACAAGTAGCGTCCGCCGATATGCATGTCAACCTGGAGAGGTGTCCTTATGGTAGATAGGGGTTCAGCCGAACAATCACCAGCGGTTGATTTCATGGCTGCACAGTCCTGCTCCAGCGTGGGATTGAGGTGAACGGGATACGCAATTTCGGTGAAACGGTGGCTTCAACGGGAGTCCTAGGTTGCCGGCTGAGTTCCACGACTCTTGGACCACTGTGTTGTACTACTTTTGGACTGGATTCTCAACTTTGATTTGTGCAGAAAGAATTTGTGTGGCAGCGCTGTGGGAATTAATTGTAATTGTAAGGGGTACCGGTAGTCTTTGCTGCGCATGTGCACTGTTAGTCTGCCTGTTGCAATGCTGCTGCAGGCATCCTGTACCATAGCCTGCATAGGGCTACTACCCCCGATGCTATGTAGTATCATCTTTGCTGCGTTCCTGATGAACGCACACACATTCTGTATTGTGTGCATGTCTTTCTGTGCTCCTGTCCAGAAGTGAACGGTTCGTCTGGCAACCTGAGAGATCAGAAGATGTGGAGCCTGCAAGTGGCGGTGGACACACTTGGCAGAACGTAAGACCGTGATCCTTGTGGTGATTGCTCTTGCGTTAGTTGTGATGCAGCTGATTGCAGCACCGTACACTCCATCACCAGCTTTCAGCACCTGTCTCTTCAGTTATACTCACTATTGCTATGGTATTGTGTGTGGCTGGTGCGGCGACCAACAAAAGAAAACAGAGTTGTCAAAAACAAAGAGAACAATACAAAGCGAGAGCGTTATATTGCTAACTGAGAGCCACGCGCAAGCTAGCATGAGCTGTGCCGATCGCTGTGAAATCACAATAACATAGGTACAAGTTGAATCAGCACTGCAGGCAGTCTGCTGCACATCTTCGACAAAAAGGAAGAAGAGGAAACTTTACTACGCCAGTACATACTCTGTACAAAAAAACCAAGAAATTCAGCACAGTAATGGATAAAATTAGAACGAACAAGATTTCGCATGTGCCATATACTGATACGATATACAGAGTGTTTCCAGCATAACAGTACTTCATAGAGTGCCCATGCTCACGTAGCTAATTGTCCAGATTAGATACCCGAAAACACTATCTGACACAGCTGTAATGTGGTTCGTGTTTTCGTGTTTGTTTTCCTTGTTGTAATACCAGGTTAGGTGAGCTGAAAGTCGCTCGTCAGCAGCGTACGGACAAGCAGCTCGTTTGGGATAAGGTACTTAGCGTAGATTGTTGGTCTGACTGCTGCAGTGCATGCCACCTGAGTGCCAACGAATACAGTCATGTAATTGAAGTAGTATAATGTGTGATGATGGTTGTTGATCATGGAGATAAGCAGATCAAGCAGCTGACCAAGTAAACGGACAGCTAAAGAAGAGGACAAACTAAGGAACAGATAGGCCGACAGAAAGATGTGAAAAGTGGACCATTGGAGATTGGGCAGCCCATTGTTGCGTTTTGTTGTGAACATCCACTTTGTTACCACTGTAGCTGTTAGCTCGTGCGAGCTGTTTGTGCCTCTAGCATGGTATCTCTTCTGTGCGCTTGTATGTCACTCTGACATCTATTCCTCTGTCTCTCTTTGTCTCTGTCTGTCTGTCTGCCTGTCTCTCTCTCTCTCTCTCCACACATCTTTCTGTCAACAAGGTCTTACCACACCTGTGGAGCTTGACCAATGTGGTGTATGGCTATTTGTGGATGTTTCGTCTTGCAGGATGACGATGAAAGTCTGGACTTTGTTACGGCTGTGGCAAACTTGCGAGCACACGTCTTCGGTATCAAGAGGAAATCGAGATTTGAGTGCAAGGGTAAGATACGCACACACACACACACACACACACACACACACACACACACACACACACACACACACACACACACACACACACACACTCGCGCACAAGTCCAAGAAACCGAGATCAGAATGCCCTGATCATTTGTGCAGGGCAGAGCAGCAGAACTTGCACATGGATATCTACACAGTTTAAGTGCAGTTGCTCGCTCTCCTGGGGGTCTAGCAGTACAGTACTGTTGGACGCTGAAGAACGGACAGGCTACCAGGCACTGGATGCCCGTCTGTACATGGCGGCTCAAGCATGTTGAAATTTCTATATGAAAATAAGAACGGCCAGGCGACGACTCTAGATCCCCAGTTCTTCGGCACCACACAGTACCTTACTTTTTGTCTGCAGTAAAGCAACCAATATTGTGAAAATCTACTACTGTCGCACAATTTCCAATGCGTCAGACACTTGCTGTTTTTCAGCTGGGGTGTTGAGATACCCTGTAACCCCATCAGTGCCACGGACCCGGGTGACTCAATTCCGGAGACATCACTGACCAGTGGCCATACATTGAACACAACAACGCCTCACTAAACTGTATTTTTCCGTATCACAGTGGTTTTGTTCTCAACAGGCAGTACTGAGTACGATGATATTGTATTGTTTCTGTTTTCCTTTTTTCTGTTTTTTTGAAGCAATGGCGGGTAACATAATTCCAGCAATTGCCACAACTAATGCTGTCATTGCTGGTCTCGTTGTCATGGAAGCGTTCAAAATTCTCCAAGGCAAGGTGTCTGACTGTAAAACGGTGAGTTGAGTTTTGTCTAGTGTCTGTGCTCATAGCTGATCGGGCTGCATGTTGTACACACACTTACACACACACACACACACACACACACACACACACACACACACACACACACACACACACACACACACACACACACACACACACACACACACACACACACACACACACACACACACACACACACACACACACACACACACACACACACACACACACACACACACACACACACACACACACACACACACACACACACACACACACACACACACACACACACACACACACACACACACACACACACACACACACACACACACACACACACACACACACACACACACACACACACACACACACACACACACACACACACACACACACACACACACACACACACACACACACACACACACACACACACACACACACACACACACACACACACACACACACACACACACACACACACACACACACACACACACACACACACACACACACACACACACACACACACACACACACACACACACACACACACACACACACACACACACACACACACACACACACACACACACACACACACACACACACACACACACACACACACACACACACACACACACACACACACACACACACACACACACACACACACACACACACACACACACACACACACACACACCTGTCCTATCCTATTGAGCCACTGCCATGTAGGTTACGTGGGCCCCGGAGGGGCAGCTGAGAGAGAGGAGGAGCACACAGCCCTGTGACGATCCAGGTGATGCGGCAAGCGAAATCGGCGGGAGCAGGCGCAACACATGTGAAACCCTGACGGTCCTGAACGGTCGGATGACTACAAGTCCGTGAGCAGCAATGACGGGCGCGGCCAGGTGTAGACGCAAAGCAGCGGTCACACGCCTGACAGTGAGCGGCGCAGCACAGCAGAGAAGCAGGCAGCGGCAGGGGCGCATCGACTGCTGACTGGGGGTAAGCATACTTGTGCCTTGCCAGACCTCCACGGGGCAATGCTGGGCATCTACCAGTGCTGAGTACGCCGAGCGCCAGGTGGAACGCGACTCGCATGCAACTCGCCATTCCCCTTGTGGCCGCGAGAACGAAGGTCAGACATAATACAATCCTTCCAGCGCCGACGAGGGCCATGAGCTGGGCGACCTGACGGAAGCGTGCCAAAGAGAACTTGCTTCGGCAGCCGGTGGTCCTCCATCCGAGCAACATGTCCGAGCCATTCAAGGCGGCGGTGCTCCACCTTCGTGCGGATGGTGTCGGGATCACCCCACCTCACGCGTAGTTGGTGATTGGTGATGTGGTCATCCCAGCATTCTTGGCGAGACACTCCCATGATCGAGCAGATGCATCGGTGGTGGAAGACAGAGAGCCGCTGCAAATCCCGTTGAAGAGGCGTCCAACACTCCGAACCGTACAGCAAGAGCGACAAGACACAGACGTTGAACACACACCTCTTGATGTGTAGGTCCAGGTGCTTGTTGCCAAAGATGGACTTTTGCAAAGCGCCACACGCTCGGGAGGCATTCGCAATGCGGGAGTCAACATCGTAGGATGAACGGCCGCCGCTGTGAATTACCGAACCCAGATACTTGAATTCGGTGACACAGACAATGTCGACACCAGCTAGACTGAGGGGTACGCGGTCAGCAGCAGACACATCAGCACCAGCAGCCAAAAACTTTGTCTTTGTGGCACTAACCGCGAGGCCAAATTCAAACGCCGTGTTGTCAAAAGTTGTCAATGCGGCCTCGGCACCAGCTCTTGATGTAGCGAACAATGCCGAGTCATCAGCGAACTGAGCCTCCGTAGCAGTAGTGACAGGGTCGGTGCGGTGAGACTTCCCGTAGAGGTTACCAGTGTCAGAATTGTGCGAGAAGCTGAAACCAATACCAGGTACACCACTAACGCGCTGCTGCCATCTGCCTACCACGGCCCACATGAAAATGTTAAACAGCACGGGCGCCATTGAGCAACCCTGGCGTAGACCATTATGAACGCTAAATGGATCTACAGTTGTACCACTCATGCGTAATACAGCAGCCATTGAGGTGTGAAACGACTTGATCACCGCCAGCATGGGTGAAGGGACACCAGCTCTAGCCAATACCTGCCAGAGACACTCACGAGGAACCGAGTCGTAAGCTTTGCGCAAATCGATGAAGACAAAGGAACCCTTGGTTTGATGTTCTACTGTCTTCTCCAAGAGTTGGCGGATGGTAAATATCACACACACACACACACACACACACACACACACACACACACACACACACACACACACACACACACACACACACACACACACACACACACACACACACACACACACACACACACACACACACACACACACACACACACACACACACACACACACACACACACACACACACACACACACACACACACACACACACACACACACACACACACACACACACACACGCGCGCGCGCTCGCACACACACACACACACACACACACACACACACACGTGCACACGTTCACACATGCACACACATGCACACACTACTACTTGTGCTTCCTCACTACCAGAAACTGGTCAGGTGGGTCTCCCCTGGGGAGAGATAATAGCGATTTAGAAGAAATCTGGGAAAGATGACTCCATTAAACCAACTGCCCAACGGCTGACAACCCCAAAATCACAGTGTAACGGTATTCATGGCGCAATGGGAAATGCTCAGTCTCGTGCCATTGGGAATTTCTCGAAGTATTCTCCGCGAGTGAGAGTCTTGGAAAGGAGACTTCGGACATGATTTGGCAGACGAAACTTACCTTGCCGCTGTCAGTGAACAACCTTACTGAATAATTTCGTTTAGAGAAAGAACTTTGGTTTGCAAAAGGGTACGCGCGGACGAATGTTTCAAGAGCCTTTTTTTTTAATTGGCCCACTTACTAAAATAATTGTTCTGCTATTAGTTAGAGCTCAGTAATAGGAGCATCACTGGCCTCTGGCGAGGGTCCCTGGCTCGAGTCCTGGTGGTGACAGTCAATTTTTTCTTCAGACTTTTCCCCTTTCCCTCAAACCAATGAATAGGCGATTTGTTACGATAGCAACTTATTACCAGCTCAGATCATACAACTTGATACCGCTGGGTTCACATTATTGACTTTGTAGAGACAAGCATGCATTTCACAAGCAGGTGCCAGTACAAGAAACAGAATTTACGGTTGGAATACAATGTAGCTCACTAAACGCCGAGCATGCCACATCAATACTCATTGACCTGGCTTCCAACACTGCTACTTAGTCAAAGCTTAGCTGCAAATAGCTGTCACTCAAATTGGTCTTTGAGAGTGAAGTACGAGTACCGTAAAGTCTTGTATAAAAGCCGCACTTGAATAGAAGCCGCCCTCGAATAGAAGCCGCCATTTTGGGCCCATCAAATCACACATAAGCCTGGTTTTAGTGTAGACATACATAGAAATACCTGTCTCATATCGAAGCCTGCAAAATTTCACCAAGAAAGTCATAGAAGCCGCGGCTTTTATACAAGACTTTACGGTACGTTAACTGTAACACAAACAGTGTTGAGACCCATCACAGACAGCCCATCATAACATCATATTGCGCGTGCTGTTTTGCTCGTTTGTGCTTTTCTCGATGCAGATCTACTTGAGCAAGCAGCCGAATGCACGTAAGAAGCTGCTGGTTCCTTGCAGCCTAGTTGAGCCCAATCCAAAGTGCTATGTGTGCTCCAGCAAGCCAGAGGTAGGTCACACCGGTATTGTTTAGTTGTTGGACTTTCTGCTGCGTTCACATGGGGTTGTCATCATGCAACAGCCATTCCTAGCCAGAAACATTACTCTTTCGTTCGATTTGTAATACATCCACACCAAGGATAAGTAAGACGGTGGCAGATCAAGCGGAACCACTCTGCATTGAGTGGCAGATGAGGAGACATAAATAAGCATAAAGGTCAAAAAGAAAATCAGTTATCATCCTATTGCAAGAAAGAGGTATCATAAGATTATACTGTTTGTACAGTATATGCCTCTGTCCACGTTGATATCCTCAACCACTCTTGGATCTCCGCTTTCGCGACGATGAGGTGTGTGTGTGTGGGGGGGGGGGGGGGGGCACTTGGACGCCTGCGTCTTCGCCGTATGGTAATGGTGCATCATTGTCCATGACAATGACCGCACCTGCAGTAGAACAATGAAGATGACACTAATCAAACAATGTGGCCCTATTATAATAAAAAGGTTCAAAGGCTGAAGCACAACCACGATTAGTTGGTTCACCTGCCGGTAGATGCTGTTTAATTGAAGGTAGTAGCTTCTGCTTCCACCATTCTTCAAAGTGCTTCGCGTTCATTTCATTATGGTAATCATGAGATTTGGTGTTTCCCACAAACACCAACTAACACCCTGGTAGAAAACCACCTTTCCAACCAGCGTGCAGGATTATCAGACGCTTGCCCTTCCCAGAAGGATCTTCAAGGGGTTGCTTGTCACCCGGTGCACCGTTTAGATACCTACAGTAAATTGTACGCCGCAAAATGTTCTCCCAGTAACATTTGAATACATGTAGTAGCTTCTTCCACAAGCAGAAAGCATTGAGACTACTGAAACACATACGTGCGCCACCTATACAATGAAGCCATCTTCACTAGTTCTCATCACCACTCATATCCAAAGACACATACAGCATTGACAAATTATACCGTTACAAACACTGCACCAGTGCCATGGTTTTCTAAATTTGGGAAGACTCGCCATTTCCCGGAAACAGTATGATGGGCATTGATCCAGGTTTCATCCAGGTAAACAATTGGTCTGTCTTCCCGACAAATTTCCCTGATGCGACGCAGAAAGTGATGACGCCAAGCAACAGTATCAGCCCGCTCCATCATTAACTGAGTGTTCCCCTTTGTCTACCCAACGCATATGGCCGATTGGTTTGCAGGCCTGCCTGCGAATCATGAGGTCCCGAGTTCAAGACCCGCGCTGGTAGCAGGGAGCGTGTAAAAAGACTTTTTACGCGTGTTGAACTGCGCCGACACCCACGGTCAACTGGGTACTCACAGCTCGGACACGGCTGTCTCACAGTGCGTGATCTAGTGCACAGCAGCGTGGGTATGAGTACAGGCTCTGTAGTCGTGATTGCGGGGAAACCCCGCACTCAAATTCAAAAAAATTCTCAAACTTGCTCGACGCGATCGTCGACTTATGCTGATATCGAGGCCCTTCTGAGCTGCACGGAACAACGAGAATCACACCAACTAGCTCTATACATGCGGTAGTGTAGGGCCTTGCAGGAACCGAGCCGAAAAAACTGTTTCTTTCCCGATCGAACTGTTTCTTTGCTGACTTCCTTGTTGAACGCTGCTACGTAGTGAGACTTTGGTAACGATTCGAAGTGGAGTTGGAGACGCCTGGTATACCCTACTGGAGCAAACGCCACGGCTTTGGGAGGTTTTTCCAGGTAGGACTATCTCTTGTTTCCACGCTCAGAAAAGTTCTTCGTGTTCTGAAGGGCAGATCCATGTTCTCGGCGACTTACCCGAAGGTACATTGTGCTTGTTTTCAAAATTTTCAAATTTGTGTGCATAGGTTGTGTGGAGTGTTACGATGGATCCTGATCATGACTATGCGTTTCATGTGGGGCATTTGCATTCCCTATGTCGTTTGGGTGGCTGCAAGCTACCAACCCACCGTAAGGGCAACAAGTCATGGAGTGCCCCAACCTATAGTGTCAAGGATTACTCCCTAGACATATTTCGTGCGTTTGGTGAGAAAGTGGAAGGAGATAAGGAGGATATACACCCAAGTCATTTTTGCAAGGCGTGTTTTGATAGCATGACGTCTGTCATGAAGACAGTAGGAAGTGGTGCTGTTGCTAGTATTAGTGGTGGTTGTGGTCAGAAACTGCCAGCTTTGCACCAATGGTCTGCACATACAGACACGAAGTGCAGCATTTGCACGGCTATTGCTGCGGCCAGAAAGGGTGGCCGACAAAAGAAAGCCAAATCCCTTCACGGTGTGTGTGCGGCGCCACGGCCTACTCAACCCTCCCCCACCCATGGTACCGATGTGGACCCGGAAAAGCTCTCCGCATTGTGTACTGGAAGCCATGTGTGTGGATTGCCTCTGTCGCCAGACAGATTCACGTTCGTACCGAGTTCGTTGGTCTGCCCTATTTGCGGCCTTGTCGTGAATCGTGCTGTGGAATCGCCGTGCTGCAGCAAACTGTTCTGTGTGTCGTGCATTGTGGGTTGGCTGGGAGCCAGCACTGTTTGCTTTTCATGTAAGCGTATGGTGCTATTGTCAGGTTTTAAACAACCACACGTATTTGCTAGCAGCACACTACCTGAGCTTGTTGTGTCTTGTGACAATGTTGGTGAGTTAGCTTTTGAGGGCTGCCCAGCAAGAGTTCCCCTCGGAACATTGAAGCAGCATGTAGCGGACTGTGCCTTCGGCAAGAACCCGCCGCCCAAGCGATATTTGTCGCCAGCGTCTACAGTTGGTAGTGTCCTGGACGCTCCGCCCAGTGTCCTTCAAGGTGATGTCGGGTCGAAGCTTCTCACAAAGCTTATCGAAGCTCGATCCGATGATGGTCGCCTTGAACAGCGTACCCGAGGCAGTACCTCCATGTGGCACCGCGTTCCTGTCGCCAGGGTGTCATCTGCGGATGCCTCCTCTGCGACTCTGAGGAGAAGGGAAAGCCTTCTCACTACCATCCAGGAAGCAGCATGTGGTGGAGCGAAAGGAAAGGATGCGCAGAGCATTCACGCGCTGCAATCATTGCGTACGGCACGACGTGAGGATCTTCTGCGAGAGGCCGGGTTGCTCCCAGAAGGCTTGACCAAGGGGATTGGACTTGCCATCAAAGCTGACCTCCAACTTCCTTGGAATGGCTTGCGGAAGCTTCGCCGCTACCTAAAGTTGTGTGGTCTGCCACTAGAGTCGGAACGGGAAATGCGGAAGCAGTTGTCGGAAGAGCTCCCGTTCCCTCTCGTCGCTGAAGAAGTTCCTCTTCTTGATAGCTCTGGCACGGTCGTGATGAGCCCAGTCGTGCGCTTTGAGGACCTCGTGCAGCTCGTTCTGCACTTTGTTGAGCTGAACGAAACAGCGGGCACGTTGCTTTGGAACGGGACACTGCCAGAAGATGAGCTGTGGGTGAAGATTGGAGGGGACCATGGCGGTCATTCATTTAAGCTTTGCTTCCAGCTCGTGAATGTTTTGCACCCCAACTCCCTGAGCAACACTGTTCCCTTCTTGGTGTTCGCTGGAAAGGACTCGCCCTCCAATTTGGCAACGATGCTTCAGCCGTACGCTGAGCAAATTGCCAACCTTCGCGGATCGACATGGAAGGGTAAGACCATCAAAGTGTGCCTCTTTGGGGATTATGATTTCATGATGAAGTTGTATGGGCTGTCAGGAGCAAGTGGTGTCAGACCCTGTCTGTTCTGTTTGGCCACCAAGAAAGATATGCAGCAGACACATGACACTCCCTTCCCTGACAGAACCCTTGCCACTTTGAGCGAAGACCATGGTCAGTTTGTGGCATCTGGGTCCAGACTTCAAAATGCCAAACAGTTTAACAATGTCATCAGACCCCAAATCCTCCCGATTGACATTCGTGATGTGTGCATTCCCATACTGCACCTTGATCTTGGTATTTTTCCTCTGCTCTTTGAGGCAATGATCAGAGATGCAGAAGCCATTGACCTCATGCTGGCAAGATCGATTAACGCAGAATCAGCAAGCGCAACATTCAAGGAAGTAGCCGAGAAACAGCAGCAGCTATGGGCACTGCTATCAGAGAAGGCACAGCAAGAACAGCAGCTCTATGTAGCACAGACGCAACTGCAATGGGCATTGCTGAATGCAGCACAAGCGGTGCAAGCAAATCATGCGGCAGAAGCACAACACGCAGGGTTTGCAGCTCAGTTACAGCAGCACTGGGCAACACAACAGCAGCAATTAAATGAGATCAGCGGCCGCATCGCTCATTTAGAGGAGCAGCTCGTGGGTGCTAAGGTCAAGAATGGTCCTTGCGCTTCATCCTTTGAACCGGTTTTGGTGAAGCACAGGATCGATCGGCAGGCCTATCATTCTGGCGCGTTTGTAGGTAACCACATCAACAAAGCACTACAACCGTCAGTAACTCGTGAAATTGTATCTGCTCCGGTCAATGTAGTCGCCTCTGTTGTCAATCCTGATGGTGCCCACTTTGCTCCGACACAGTCTCAGCATCAACTGATCCAAGCTGCCGCAGAGTGCTCCCAGAGGTACCTGTCGCTTTTTGCTGCGTACGCCAGTTGCAGAGCCGTCTTCTCTTCGACTAGCGCAGCTGACGACACTATCACTTCCAGCTTGCAGGAGAAGATCAATTCCTTCATGGCGAATGTCCGGTCCGAGGTAGTAGCACGCCACAAACGCCCTGTAACTCCTAAGTTGCACCTTCTCGAGTGTCATCTTGTCCCCTGCATGGAGAGGTTTGGCATGGCTCTTGGTGCTCTTGGAGAGCAAGGTGGCGAGTCCATCCACCACAAGTTCAACATGTTGCGCCACACTCTGCAAAATACGAACAAGGATGTCGACCGCCTCAGGATTCTAGTGGCCCAGTACCTGACGACAGCGCTGCCAACTCACAACAAGCTGATCGTGCCGGCTGCCAAGCGCAAGAAGACAAGCTAGCAATAAGCTGAGTATGTGACGGCCACTGGGTGGATCATGGAGCGAGCTGCAGGATCCACGCGCTCC